ATATTAAATATAAAATTTGTAGATCTTTGAAAGTCCATCTTGTTTGTAACTCTGATTTAAAATTAGTATTTCAAATCTGTAGCTTTTTAATTGAAAAAGAATACTGTATAGAATATTATCATATTTTTTATTAGTCTAATAAAAGTTTTGTATTTGTATATCCCAAACAATTTGAAAAACTTCAGTGACATAGATGGTTAATACTCATTGATTCAACTCATAAAATAAATAAATATGATTGACTTTTTATTTTATATATTTGTGATTATACGTGTTGCCCAAATCCCAAATCATTTGGGATTTGGGACGCCAAAATCCCAAATTACTAGTATTTGGGATTTGGGATTTGGGATTTCAGCAAAAAATACTAATCATAATTTGGGATTTGGGATTTGGGATTTTGGCATTTGGGATTTTGGCATTTGGATTTTGAATTTGGGTGGCAGGTATATTTGTGATATTTATAAATATTGAGATATTGATATTCACTTCTTTGTAAATAGTGAAAATTGTGATATTGTTGCAAAGACATTAAAAATAATTTGTGATTATTGTCAATGATCTCCTCATTATATTCTTTCAAATTAAAATGACATTGAGGCTAAAAGTATTAAAAAAATATTTTCTGATATAAATATTAATGAACAAGAGTGTGAGGTAATTCTTTGTATTATTCATATAATGTGAATATGGATGACAAAAATCTATAAAAAAAAATCTATAATATTATGAATTCAGTAATACATAAAAGAACAAAGATTGGTTATGAATAGTTAATTCAAGATACTATTAATAATTGTGGTATTCTATAATTCAAAAGAAATTACATGAAAAATATATAGCAATTGGTACTGTGGACATATCAATATTCACCTTTTTTCTTGTAAATTATAATTACAAATCTATTAGAATCTTATTATAATGAATTAAAAATATTAACATCTCCATTGCATGGTTTAATTGATATATTTATATTTAATTTTTTTAATTAATTATTTTTTATTTAATTTTTTATTTCATTTCTTTACTATTTATCTTTTATTTATTTTTTTTTTGTTCATTTATTCTTATATTTCTTATTAAATTTAACATTTATTCTTTTTTTTTTTTATCTATTTCTTCAGCTGTTCTTTTTTTTTTATTGATTCCATTTTTTATTTTTTTATTTTATTTTATTTATTCTACCTATCTATTTATTGTCTAATTTTTTATTTTTTATTTTACCATTTTACCTATCCATATCTTTTTTTTTTATTTTTTATTTATTTACCTATTTGATTTTTTTTTTTATTCTGATTTTTTTTTTAATTCATTTATTTATTCAATTCTTTATTTTTAATTTTATCTATTTATATCTTTTTTTTTATTTATTTACCTATTTAATTTTTTATTTATTTTTTAAATTAATTTATTTTTATCTTTTGTTACTTTTTTATAAGCACTATACATAATATCATAGATACTGATTACAAAAAATGATTTAATTTCAAATGAGTTATCTTTGACTTTTATATTAAAAAAGTATCTGTCTATAGCATAGATAATAATATTATTAAAAAAATTCATAAGTTCTTCTTTCCATTTCAAAATCTACTTGTTAAAGAGACATATATTATTATAGATATAATTAAAAAAGGTAAAGAATCATCAGGCTTAACTTTACTTAATTATTATTGTTTGTTTCAAAATCAATATTTACTATCATGTTGACATATTTTTCATAAACATATATATAGAAATATAAAATTATTAACTACTGATGCTTGAAAATATTTTCAAGAAATGTTTGAAGAGTATGAATATGAAATATATGAAGTTTGTGAAATAATAATAGAATTTATGTCAACTGAAAAACAAAAGAAAACTGAAAATTGAAGATTAACTGTAGTGAAATTAACTAAAAGAATTTGTGATAGATACTGAAGTATTGAAGAGATAGGTGATAGAAAAAAACAAAAGCTTTTATCTACATTAGAAATTTCTTTAAATTCAATTATTTCAAAGTTTAAGTTAAATAAATAAAATATAATTTTAAAATTTTATTATCAATTATTATATTACAAAAGTTAAATATAATAATGATATTTAATTAATTATTACTATTATTATATGATTTAACTGTACTTTTGTAATTATCATATAAATTTCACATGATTTAACTCCACTTTAAACAGTCTCTGAATTAGGTTAAAATCAACCTATTAAGAAGTCAACTTATCAAGTTTGCCTTTATAAAAAGTATTTTAAATGAAGTATACTATATATTCTTAATCATGTGATAGTTATAATAATATAAAGTTACATCTGATATGACCTAGTTGCATGAATGGGACTTTGTGAGATACTATATTTTCTATATAGAAATGAATATGAACTATATGAACACTCTCTAATGCCATTGAGAAAAATTCCTGTTGATAGGCTAATAAGGAAATTTATACTTTCATACTTATTTTCTTAGAATTACATTCTTATTTATATCATCATTTTGCCCATTAATATAATGTATATGAGAAATCTATAACTAACCTGAAATATAATTTGAAATAGTTTTTCCTTACGTTCTAAACCAGAAATTGATTTTTCTACTAAATATATACACTTTATTCATAATGCTTCTCAGTTCATTCTTGATAATCCATAAATTTTTTTTTAACTCTTGATAAATAAGTATAGTTATAATATGTACAGTTTTTAAGCCTGATAAATATTCATCAATTTTTATATAAATAATCAAACGACATGATTATATTTACATACAAAATTATTTTGGAGTCCTGAAATTACAATTTCAGAAAAAAAAGTCCAAATAGTTTTTCATAGAAGATGAAATTATTTTACTTAAAATTTGAAATTTTTTGATCACCCAGATTTATTCTTTAATTGAATATATATATAACTGGGTACTTTTTTTACTTCTATATATAAAATAGATTTTGCATAAATCTCAAAAAGTTGAAATATCTCAAAAATCCAAAATCAATTTTGGAAACATGTATAGATATGATATAAAAAAGTTAAAATGCAAGGAAAAAGTAAAGAAATTTCTTATTTTTCAAATATTTTATATAACAATATAAATTTGGTTAAAAATTAGTATAACAGAAGATAATTTTAATGGAAAGTCTTAAAAATTTTAAATCAGATAATTACAGTCACTGGTCATATCACACAGGTTAAACACAAAAGAATAGACAGGGGTGTCATAATTTTACCTTGTACAAATCTTTATAAATACAAAAGATATGTCATACTGAAAAGAAATTTTGATTTTAGCTGATTTATAATAAGATGCAATAGGATGGTTGATTGTTACCAATTTTTAACTGATCTATAATATAGGAATTACTATTTGTTACAGTGATTCTTTTGTATTTGACTAGTGTATTATGAAATGAAATGGTAAATCCTTATATATTGATAACAAGAGATATTAAAATTTGACCTCCTTGAACTTAGCCATTGATATTATTGACCTGTGTTCATATATCTTGTAGGCTTGCTTCACAGAAATGTTTTGAACTTCATCAGATTAAATATCCAGATATACTGGTCCCATTAATATATAGACTAATAGATGGGTATAAACAAAACTATCTTGTTTCAATTCCTGGTTCATCTGAAAAAATTTATTGAAGATATGCTAGATATAGAATGTCTTACTTTGTTAAAAAAAAGAAAAAATACTTGACTGGGATCTCAAATATGCTATGACTATTCATACTAGTCAAGGAATGACACTTGAAACCTCACGATGAATTTGGATCATTGATAAGCATTTGACCTGAGATAATCTAATATATCTTGCAGTTGGTTGTGTAGAATATTTAAACCAGCTTATTCTGATTGAAAGTCCTCCATTACCTCCAGAAATTAAAAAAAAAAAACTTGATATAGAAAAAAAAAGGAAATTGAAAAATTGATGAAATGTAGATTAAGAGAATTTATTCAAGAAAAACTTATTGGATACTATTATCAGGATAAGAAGAACATCATAAATTTAATTTATCTGATGATATTCTTGTATTAAAAAATTTGCAAAAAAAATAAATGTACATTATGTCTTAATGAAATGAAATGGAAATATGAAAAATAGGGATATATATCAACGGACAGTTGACAGAATAGATAACGAATTAGGACATATAAAAAAAATATACGTTTAACTTGTTTAGAATGTAATCGGCACCATCGAGTTTGGCTCACTCAATGGACTACAAATGAAAGTCAGATGTAACATTTATTTCATCATCAATATCATTTAAGAAGTATATATACTCATGTATAAGATTACTTAGGTCTTTAGAAAAATTATTGTATAGTATGGGAGGTCTATATATTTCTAAAGTGTAACTGAATAAAAAATATCATTGACTTGAGAATAAATCGATCTAAGACGATCTTTTACCACGTTCAACTCAAGCATTAAAACAAAATCCATATAATTTTATAAGTGCTCGAAATCCTTCTGAACGCCAGGTATGATTGACTGCAAGAATCTTGAATAATCCTCATCATTAGAAAAATGAAAAAATATATTTTCTAAAATTTCAGGTGTTGATAACGTACGAATTAGCATTGATAGTTTTTACATTCATAGTTTATTTTTTTTTTCGATTAGATTTATAATAAATATATCTTCCATCAACCTATTAAAAAAAACAGTTACGTTTTTAGAGTGTGATCACATTTACATTTTTCTGTTCAATTGAATTTTTTTCAGTCGGATAAATAATCTCAGTTAATAAACCCTAGAACAATTGTTTCGATTGATGAACATGAAAGTATATTTTTATCATACATTTAATTAATTGTGAAGATTTTATTGTCGAATCAGAAAATATGCAACAATGCGAGATCGGGATCACCATGTGATCTGTAAAGTATTTTACATATAATATCATGATCTTTGAAAAGAATGTCGACTTTTAATTTATTTATTTTTGTTTAAAATAATAAATAACAAGCAAGTATTTTATTATCATCATAATGATCGAATGCTAATTTCGGAAATTGGAAGCAGTCATCCACCAATTCGTCTCAAAAGAGAAATCTAGTTTTAAATTTGAATGTGTCTCCATGTTACTACCCCTACAATAACCGTGCTTGCCACCAGGTGGGATGAAATATCCTTCGGCAACCATAAAAAAATAATGTCTATCTGTATATGCATACATTAAGTTTCCTAAGCTGTAGTAACGATTAGAATCATAGCCATCAATAAAACGGTATATTTCTACATTGTCGTCATCATTAGGACTGTAAGAAATAGCCCTTAAACATTGATAATTGCCTTCTGGTATTTGAACCTTGATAATACGATAATCATTATTCAATCGTGGTTGGAAATTAGAGTCACTCACCCACCAATTCGTTTTAAAATAGAAATCAGGTTTTAAGTCTTCTGTCCGAATATTAGAACCTTCACAAACACCATGATCACTACCAGGTGGGATGAAATAATCTTTGCTAACCCTAAAACTATACAGTCTATCTGTATACGCATACTTTGAGTCTCCTAAGCTAAAGTAATGATTAGGATCATAACCATCAATAAAAAAGGTTACGTGTTCAAAATCGGATTCATTGTTAGAATTATAAGAAGCAACTTCTAAACATTTGTAACCATCCTTTGGTATTTGAACCTGGATAACACGATAGTCTACATCTTGTCGTGTCTTGAGATTAATATTATGAGCACTTGATGAGTTATATGTAGAAATGTTGTCTTTTGCAATAGGAATGGCTAATGCTTGAAAAGAAATTAAATCCTATTTATATGACAAATGAGTTAAATATTAGCCATTGTTTTACCATTTAACTAAAGTTAAGAATAAGGCACATACTAGTAACATATAGAAAATTAACAATCCGACTATTCCTTTAATTTCCATAATTAAAATAAAATTTAGATCAGTAGACACTTGGTTGTTTTATTTAAAAAATCTAAAAGATAGAAATTTATATTATTATATCAGAGTAATGTTCTCGTAATGAATGTAAAGTTTTTTCTAATTAGCATATATATAATCTTTAATTTCCAAATCAATTCCATACTAAATAATTCGGGAACAAAAAGACCACTATCCGAAATTTAATTTTCATAGTATCCGAAATTAGTTTTAAAATATATATAAATGAGCTAAGTAAAAATAAATTTTATTTGTAATAATGTAAACATACTACGTATTAATAAGTTATTGCTTTGGTGGTTATATTATCTTTATTATAAAGTATCTGATATTTTTTTTTTCTGTATTTCATGAAAAGTATTATGTTGTAAAACCGATATTGCATTTTATTTATAAAAATTTTTGTGGGCGTTAATACCAAGGAACGGATCTTTTCTGTTTTCTTTTTTATAGCGGAGCTAGTGTCAAAGGCACAAAAAAATTCGCAACAATATACGTGGTGATTAATATATCGAAACAAAATTCAGAAATATACATGTAAAATTAATTGCATTATAAATATGAAATCGAGCTTCTTTACAAGTCTATATAACTAATAATCATCATGAAATTTTTGTTTTTAATAATTTTAAATGTTAACTACTAAGTCTTTATTATTTATTATAAATTTGCGGTGACAGTAATGACAATTATAAGTATTGAATTATTTAAATTTAAAATTATTATTTAAGTTATTTATTATTTGTTTCGTTTTGCGTTCCTCCAGTGATCTCTCTTTTAACGATGTTTCCTTCAGCGATCTCACCTTCTAGGAGAAATAATAATCATAATTTACAAGAAGAAAAGTAATGTTTCTAATTGATGCTGTTGCTATACTTTTCTGTTTTCCTATTTTAACTGCCTTCTTCTCCCTTTCTTGTTCTTATTGTTTAACTTCTTCCTTGAGTCAACATTATAAGGTTATGCAGCTTCGATCTTTTTCCGTTGGTGTCTTCAAAGTTCTTGATACTAGGCAAGTTATTCATCGATGGCTTTTCTCTTGGGTTTGGTGTAAGTGTTGTTTCCTCAAGGTTCTGCAAATTCGAGATCTGGAGAGTGGATTATTATTGTCACTATCCTCGGAATGTTTGGAATTTATAATATTCGTATAGCAAAAATAAAATGCAAATTTTAAATAAATAAAAAGGGAATTAGAAAAATAATATTATATATTTAGTAAAATAAAAAATTTATAGTGATGTCGGTCTCCTTCCCATTGTGGTGTCTTCAAACACTAGTCAAAAAAAAATCACTGATTCCTATATTATAAATCAGCCAAAATCGGAATTCCTATTTATGCCATCTATTTTGTGAAAGTTTCTTGGTACTTGGCAAAGTTGTTCATCAGTGACTCCTTTTCTTGGGTTTGGTACAAGTATTGTTTCCGAATTATGATTCGGATGATCCGTATCCGAAATCCTTTTTTATTTCGGATAAAAATAACAGATCTGGAACAGTTTTTGCGTAACATGATAATCAGTTTTTTTTTTTCAGAAGTCACATATGTGATATAAAAAAATCGAGGTGAGACATATGTATTAATTTGATAAATTTGATACAATATCTGATTGGACAGATTTAGATTATAGATTATCGTAAAAAAACTAGTCATTTGTCATTTTGGTATTTCGGTATATTTTCGTTATGTATAAATCATTGTCCTTATTTCGAAACTTTGGCTTATTATCTAGGGTAAAGATCATTATTATTATTATATATATATATATAAATTTGGAGAGTTAATAATAATAATTACTTAATTATACACATATATTTATATTTTAGTCGATAAAATCACGTCACTTTGTCACCGAAGCGTCACCGTCAACTTTAACCGAAACATTTCATGCTCCTAAAAATTCTATTGTGATTATTATTATTATTATTATTATTATTATTATTATTAAAATAATGTCAATTTATATGCTTTACATTTCTGACAATTTCCGATCATATTATTTATGTTAAAAAGGGTAATTATATTGTAACTCTTATACCAGGTGATGGTATCGGACCAGAAATATCAGAATCAGTGAAACGGATATATAAAGCTGCAGGAGTAAGAAAATTATAAGAAGATATAATATGTTTAAAAAAAATAAATAAATTATAATTAAATTAAAATATCAATTAATTAATACAGGTTCCAATCGAATGGGAATCAGTAAGTGTTACTCCTGTAATGAAAAAAGGAAAAACAGCGATTCCCGATGAAGCTTTAAATTCTATTATGAAAAACACGGTAGCATTAAAGGGTATGTAAACCATAATTAATTATGTACTAAAAGAAAGATGATAAAATATATAAATAATTTAATTTGATTTAATTTAATTTAATATAATTTAATCTTTAAAACAAATAGGACCTTTGGCAACACCTATTGGGAAAGGACATGTTTCCCTTAATCTTACACTCCGGCGTACATTTAATCTTTTTGCTAATGTTCGACCATGTAAATCAATTGTTGGCTATAAAACTCCTTACGATGATGTTAATACAGTGTTAATTCGAGAAAATACCGAAGGAGAATATTCTGGAATCGAACATACGGTAAATAAAAACATCAATGTATAAATTTTTTATCAATTAGATCAATTAGATATAATATAATAATTATAATATATTTTCAAGGTTGTTGATGGAGTTGTTCAATCAATCAAATTAATTACTAAAGAAGCATCTGAGAGATGTGCACGTTATGCATTCGCTTATTCAAAGGATATTGGTCGAAATCGAGTTACAGTTATACATAAAGCTAATATCATGTAAGTTTTACTTCTCCCGCATAAAAATAAAGAAATTTAATTAAATATATAAAACGAGAAATTTTAGAAATTTTAACAAAACAAAATAACAATAATCACAATAATCACAATAGGAAATTATCCGATGGATTATTTTTGGAAGCATGTAACGAAGTGGCACAGGATTATCCAGATATTGAGTTCGATGATATGTTATTAGATCGTGCATGTCTTCACGTAAGTTTAATAATAATAATAATAATAATAATGATGATGATGATAATCATAACAACAACAATAATGTTTAATTAATAATACCAATTATATAAATTATTTTTATTAATTAAAGATTGTTCAAGATCCAGCTCGCTATTCAGACACAGTTATGGTCATGCCAAATTTATACGGTGACATTTTATCAGATATGTGCGCAGGATTAATTGGTGGATTAGGTTTAACTCCATCAGGAAATATTGGGAAGGATGCTTCAATTTTCGAAGCTGTTCACGGAACTGCACCTGATATCGCGGGAAAAGGTTAAAATTTAATATTTATTTATTATTATTTATTAATATTATTTATTAAATATTATTTATTAATATCATTTATTAATATCATTTATTAATATCATTTATATTAATAGATTTGGCTAATCCAACTGCATTATTACTTTCATCAATAATGATGCTTCGTCATATGCGTTTATACGAACATGCAGATTCCATCGAATCTGCTGTCCTTAAAACTATCGCTGAAGGGAAGCACCTTACACGTGATCTAGGGGGAAAAGCAACAAACACTGAATTTACAAATCATATAATCGAAAGTTTGCCAAAAATAAAATGAAAATTTAAAATGAATTTTTTTAATATATTAAATATATATTAAATAGAATTTACATTGTTTCATGATAGAAAGAAATTAGAATTTATTTTTTATTATTTATTATCAAATTATTTATTATCAAATTATTTATTATCAAATTATTTTATTATCAAATTATTTTTATTATCAATCACATATTATCAAATTACACATTATCAATTACATATTATCAAATTATCACATTATATGCATATAACCAATATAACCAATGTAATCAATTATTTTTATAAATGAAGGACAAGATTAGATTTGTTATTATAATTTTAAAGTTTTCGAAATTTATTTGATTCATCAGAAATTTGTTGTGACTGGAATTTGTGACTAAAGTTTTTTAAAAATGAATTACGAAATGCAAGTACTCAATTCTTGTGTTTATTTAGTTACCATGTATTCGTAAATTTGTACTCGAAAGATTTCATAATAATAAATTCTTAACGAATGTGCAAAAATATCCACCAAGAGAAACAAAAAAAAATGAAGAAATTGTGCGTATATTTTAATATTGATGAGTACAATAATTTTTATCAATCATATGATTGCCAACCAATACTATTTTAGTTTATTAAATTCACTACAAGATTCATCAAATTTGAATTTGTTTCAAAACTTCTTTCGTGACATTTTATCTTTATCTTCTCGTGAAATTGAAATGGTGGGTATTAATTTAATTATTTGTTTTGATGATATTTTTTATTTATTTATTTATAAACTTCCTAATAATTTTCTTTTATTTCTGAGCAATACAATAATTGATAGAAAAAAAAAAATAATAATAATAGAAATAATAATACAAATACTTGACATAACAATAATAGATTTTTTCTATATAAATAGTCTGACCCATTAGAATGTGCTTTAGACCTTACGAGACGTCTTCCTCCTCAAAATACTGAGGAAAATCTTTCTCAACTTATGAATCTTGTTCCTTCTATTCAAACTGATTTATTTAATTTAGTTGACCAGCCATTAAAGGAAGCATTATGTCCTAGTGAAGGAAAAAAATATTTATTGTCAGTTTATAACCGGGATGGAGATTCTTATCGGTAATGTTTCTCGAAAATTGTGAAGAATTAAATGTGTTGGAAATATAAATTGAAACTTAAATCAAAAGTACAATTAAAATTAAATATTTTTCTATCCGTTAATATAATAGATCTCCGTGGTCAAATGAATATAATCCTCCTTTAAATGATTGTATATTACCTTCCCTAAAAATACGCAAATTGGAAGTAGCCGCCAATGATGCCTTTGATACTTATCGAGAAATGTAATTTGAATTAATATTTTATATATATTTTATATATATATATACATATATATGTATATTATTTATATATTATTTATATACATAATTTTTTTGTTTCAAGGTATTATGAAGGCGGCGTTTCTTCTGCTTATTTTTGGGATGAAACAGATGGATTTTCGGGTGCTGTGCTATTTAAAAAGGGTAATTTTGAATTTTGAATTTCGGGAATAATAATTGAAAAATTGATGATGATGTAATTTAATTATTATTCTTCAAAATTTAAAATATAGTCGGTGATGGGGTTCGAAAAATGAAAGGTGCTTGGGATTCGATTCACGTATTTAAAGCAAACGAGCGAGGTCGTATGGCACATTATAAGTTAACTTCAACAGTTATGTTATATACCATTACGGGAAAACCTGAACTTGGACATATGAATTTATCTGGTAGTATGACAAGACAGGTAATTAAATAATTTTAATAAATTTATCTATTATTATAATTTAAATAATAATAATAACAATAATAATAATAACAACAATAATAATAATAATAATTAATATATTTTTTAAAAATAATTTAAAATGTATTTAATAATAGTTTGAAGCTGATTATTCATTTGACGAACCTTTGGCTCACATAACCAATATTGGTCGAATGGTAGAAGACATAGAACTTAAAATGCGCAATTTACTTCAAGAAGTTTATTTTGGTAAAACGAGAGATATTGTTAATGATTTAAGATCTATCAATTCACTTGTTGAAACTCGAAAGCAAGAAGAAATTCAAAGAGAATTAGTAGGAAAATTAATGGAAAGAGATATAAAAAAATAATTTGATATATTTATTATATTTATTTTTTTCTTAAATATATTTTTTGTGAAATATTTTTTTAACAATTCATTTTTCCTTTTTTTAATAGACATATATATATATATATATATGTCAATTATCAATTATTCTTAAGTTATTTTAAATCAATCAATCAATAAAGTAAATGCGATTAATTTATTTAATTATATTTGATCCTTTCGTATAACGTTTTTGTCCTCTTTGTCTTGTCTTATATAGTTTTTTCTTTCCTAAATTTTTACTAAATTTCTTTTGTTGAGAATTGGTTTGATCAATGCGAGCTCGATGAGTTGCATCAATTACTCGTGATAAATCCTCGAGCAAAACGTAATCTATAATTATAATTATAATAATTACACATTTTGATTATATAATCACATTATTAATATTACTAATTAGTTAAAAGTGGAAAGAGGGAGAGAGAGAGAGAGAATTTTTTAATCACTTTACCATTCATTAATTCTTGATAACCATATTTATTCAACGGAATAAAACTGGTTTTTGATCTTATCCCATTACAATTATATTTTTCTTTATGTAATTTCGAACATGTTAAAGAACACGTAAGAAATTCACACCTGGGACATTTATATTTCCAATCGTCGTTATTACATATTTGGCAGATTTTAGGATTCGTGACTAAAAAGAAGAAAAATTTATGATTATTATGATTATTATTGTATGCGATTAACTTTAAATATTTTTTACCATTTTCAGAATTATCAGTTATTTGTTGTGAAGCGGAAATGTTATCAGAGATTTCTGAATTTTCTAGATCTAATAATAAATGAAATTTGTTAAAGTAAAAAATAAATAAAATAAAATAGTGACATATTATGAATTATTACAATTGATTTCTTGTTCTTTATTATCGGAATTAATATCTGCATTCAAATATTGTTGCAAAATCAAAGCGAGAGGGTCATTAAACGTCGAATAGTCCGTCATTTTGGGGAAAAATTTTTTTTAAACAAAACGACAGTATTAGAAATCCGTGACCAAACGATTGTGCTACAATCAAATCATTATTTGAATAAATGCGCCCGTTTCTTCAGACCTGTAGTCCTGCTGCCATATTTATTTTTGATTAATTTTTATATATAAATTAATAGTCCTAAATTTAATTAAATAAATTCAAATGCAAAAAATTTTTTTGTTAATTTTACCATTTAGCTTGAATCATTGGCTGGGTTCATCATGGGTACTAGGCTGTTTCACTATCACATACCAATTTTTTGTAGAAAATGTAAAGTTTCTGATAAAAAATGGTAACTTTATAAGTTCTATAAGACTGGGATGTTCACTTTCCAAGATCTGGCTGTAAAGTTGTGCTTGGGACAAAACCTTTGTTTTGAAAAAATGGGTACTTCTGGTGTTATCCATCAAATTTCAATATCTAACTTTTTTTTTTTTTTTATAACGTTTTCAAGTACAATAATGGTATAAACAAGATACTTTACTAATAAAAATCAAAATATAACTTTTATCAAAGTTTTTGCATCAAAAGTATTTCTTTGATATATTTCTATTCGATATAATTCTTTATGTAATTTTTATATTATTTATTTTATAGCCAAAGTGAAACCTTTCCACTGATTTTAAATAAAATTTCGATTACATATAACCATTTAAAGAAATTTACATGGAAAACCGAGAAATCTCAAAGAGGATCTGCCATGTATTTTTATTTTTTTTGTAAAAAGATGTTTTCAATAATCAAGGTTCTATTGATAAGAATCTATATCAAACATGCACATGAGATCATGCATAAAAAATTAGAAAATAGAAAAATATCAACCACATGATTCGAATTCCTCTATTAAATAAAATTTTTTTGAAGTTGTATCAAAAATAATTATTTTAATTCTCAACGAGAATAAAAAGAAACCAATAAATCAAGATTACTCTAGAAAAATCGAATTTTCTAATTACCTTTTTACTTAAATCACGTGTACATTGAAGATTCATAAAATATGACGCGTCTTTGTAATATTATTAACAAAACAATAATTTTGTTTTTTACCTTCCATTTTTCTTTTTGTATAAGGAGACATAATAAATACAGTAAATACAGTGTTGCGCATTTTTTATTAAGTAAAAAATGGATAGATGTAAATATTATAAATTCATTAGGTCATGACCCGAATTTCTTAAGTTTCTTGGGTTTCATATCAAAATAAACATCTAAACATAATTATGAGTTAGTTTTTTATATAAATACAGTGTGGTATGTCTTAATCCGACAAAATTTTAGGTTAACTTTGAAAGGTATTTATTTTTGGAAAAAATGTATTTTCAAAAAAAAATAATACCACAGAATTGATAGCTTTATAATAATAAAATTGAAACATAATTTTTTTTTTTTATCAAAGTTACTCAATAAATTTACTTTCTTAACAATGTGTGTTTAATGTAACCTAAATTTTTACAAATCAAATTGTAGAATTTCTGATAATGTCATTTTTAGATCAGAAATTAAATTTATTAATTGCTAAAAAAAAATTCTTTGGCGTTACGCGCAAAATTTATTTATAAAAATCTATAACCAAAAAATCGAAACATTTGTCGAGTTAAGAAGTATATACTATATCTAACAGTTCAACCATCTAATATAAATAAACTATATAAATAAAATTATATGTGACACAAAAAAGCTATATGTTATATATACATATATATACGATGTAAACATAAAAACAATAAATAAATAAATAAATATAAAGAATTTAAAGTTTAATTATAATAATTTAATAAATATTTTAAAAATCTTTTTTACGCGCCAAATATATAATCACATGTCGTGTAGAACATATACAATGCTCGTAGAATTTTCGTAGAGAAAAAAGAAGAACAAGAAAAAAAAACAAAAAACAAGAAGCAAAAAACAAATAATGTACCAACTGGTACTAAAATTACCAGTAATTCGAAAACACCAATCAATTCTCATTACCATCAATTAAATTTTCAATTCAATGCTACACACATAATTAATAATAATAAACAGATAAAAAAATAGATTGAAACGGGTAAAGATAATGAATAGAACAAAGAAACATAATAATCATAACAATAATATTTATTAAACATTTACTATGAGGGAAATTGTTGGTGTTTGTTACTTATCATATCATTCACAATACCTGATAAAGCATAATACTTTTATACAACTTTATACAGTAACACTTTGACAGGCATACCTTTACAGGCATACCTATACTTTTTTTTTTACATATATTCTTTTTACAGATCTTGATATTAACTGGTTTATTATTATTAGCTTCCAATATTCATATACATTATATATTGTCACACGATCCGATCATTTCAATCATTTCAATCATTTAAATCGTTTCAATCGGTTCAATCGTTCAATCATTCCGAATGTTGTTAGCTTAGAATAAGAAGTATTTCAATAAAAGCTATTATTATAATCATCATCATCATCATCATCCTTATTTTTTAAACTTTATCATTTTTATATAAACTTTATCATTTTTTTTAAAATAAACTTTATATATATGATCTATTCTACAATAAAGACTATTACGTAACTGTATTTATGCGTTTTCTATGCATTTCACCGTATTCAAGTACTATAATGAAAGAATGTATATAATAATAAAGACTTGTATTATAGTAATGAGAAAAAGTCTCCTCCTCGAACGATAATTGATAACAGAAAAAAGTGTAATATCTGATGATTTGAACTTTATAAACTTCATTGTTTATTGTTTGTTATAAATTTAATGGGGGTACATAAATTTAATATTTGCATTAATAATAATAATAATAAATAATATTTCTAGAATTTTTTACTTGGTGTGACAAATAATCATTTATTAGGTATATAATGTTATGTGCCAAGTTATATTATGTGTGTAAAAAAAGACACCAACGAAAAGTTCTAAAAATTTATGATAAATAAGGTTTAAAGATAATAATTTACACGATACATTTATGGTAATTAAAAAAAAACAATAATATTATTATTTGTAAAACGAATGAAAGGTAGTATGAATTAAGGTATTAAGTTGGGAATGTACATTCTTTAATTATACAAAATAGGAAATAAAATTATTTACATTTCTGTTATTTTATTGGTCTCAAATTTTTAAAATATACAACCTTTCTCAAAGACTAAATGATGACAGTAGTAATGAAATAACCGAATAAAATAAAATAACTGAATAAAAATAAGAAAATAGCAGAGCAAAAAAAAATAGCCGAATAAAATAAAAACAGTAAAGAATAAAAATAAAGTTAAAATAATAATTATAAAATTGTTATAGTTTAAATTTTACTTTGCATTAGTTAAATTATATTCAGCTTCAATGCAGTTGTCAAAATTTTTTCACTCCTCAAACACTACTTAATATAATAAAAGTATTTGGCTAAATGCTATTTGATATTATTATTTTTTTTTTTTTATTTTTTTTTCTTAAACAAAATTGTCTTATTTGCAGGTCTTGTTTTCCTGTCTTGTATGTTTAAAATACAGATCCTGCCATTGAAAAAAAAATTAACGAATGAATGAACTTTCAATCTCAATTATTACATGTCAAAATTAATTGTTATTCTATTATATATTAACTACAGTTATTTTTTTTTTTAATTTATCTTATTATTATTTTGGTTTAAAAGGAAAATAAACAACAACGAACAAGAAAATGACAACGACAACAACTAAAACGACTACAATAAAAAGTAACCAAAAACAACAACAATAATAATAACGGAAGCAACAAGCAGAAAACAACGACCAAAACAACAACAACGACGACAACAACAGTATCAACGTGAATATAGAATTTCCACAATTAGAGAAAATAACTAGAAAATAACAAGAATAATCTATATAATGATTAATTATAACTATAACTTGAACAATTAATTAAACAATTAATTCTATTTTTATTAAATTTGTTATGTATAATATGTAATATACTGTACATTTCATAATATGAATAATTTAATAAATTAAAATTTTAAAGTTTAAGAGAAGGAGAAAAACAAACCATTGGTGTTTATTCAGTTCCATATGGTTTCATAACATGTATGTGGATAAAATGGATAAATAGAACAAATAGATTATTATTATGTTTATTATTATTATTATTATTGTTGTTGTTGTTTTGTATATGTTATTTGTATATAATGATAAAATTTTTTAAACCTTTTCGATATTTTTACTTTTTTTTCACACGTTAATAATTGGCTTGCATCTAATAAGTAATTTCGGTAATTTTAATTTTTTAAATTTATTAATAATAATAATAAATAGTGATGATAGTAAGAAAAAGAAGGTTATAGTATAAAACTTTAAAATGATGTATTACGCATATTACGCAGGGGTTTAATTAATAAAATTTGCACTTGAATTATTATAGGATTCGATTATGCCACCTTTTTTTTAATTAATATTTTTTTTAATTATAGTATTTTTTAATGGGGGGTTTTTTTTTAATTCATAATTTTTTTTCATTTTCCCTCCAGACCAAAAATTGCAAACAAAGTTTATTCATTATTTCCATGTTATTTATTATTATTATTATTATTATTATTATTATGTGATCTACAAACCGATTTATTATGTAAAACATCCCTTTTCTTTTTTTTTCTATAGCATTTATTATCAACTGTAATTAACTATAAAATTATTGCGATTAACAATAAAGTTATTACAATTAACTATAAATTATTAATAAACATTATTATCACAATATTAAAAAAAAATGCACATTATTGCAGGTAATTATTACTCATGACTTACTTATAGATCTACTGAATGCAGATGCCTTGAAAAACGCGACATTGAGCACCAATTATCTATACCTTATCAAACTTTTCATCTTTCCCTTTCCTCTTTTTCCATTCTTCCCTTTTCCATTCTTCCCTCCTTCTTTCCATTCAAATATTTTTCATTTTAAAGAGAATTATTGTTATTTATGAAAATATTATTATTAAATGAATATCATAAGGAGAATTATATATAAATAAATAGATATAGATAGACAGATAGATAGATATATATGTATGTATGTACCCTAAACTGAAACTTCAATAAAGTTAACTAAAATATATTAATTTACCTTATCTCTGATACAAAAAAGTTATTTTAATTAGGAGTAGGAGAGAATAAATTAAGCAATAGATTAAAAGTATATAGATATACATTTATTTTGATATACACATTATGACTAATATTGCTGATATACAGATATAGGTAATGTTATATGTATGTGTAAGTGTTGTGCGTGTGAGTATGTATTAGTTGTGTGTAACGAGTTGTGTTCATATTTAAGATTTCTTTAACCAATTTCTCTTTCTTTTTTTCTTTTTTTTTTTTTTTATCATCACATCATTTTATCATCAAACACGATTATATGGAAATTATATATGAAATTATATCCTAAAGTAGTAATAATGATAACTTGATTGCATATAATGATCATCCTTTTGGAATGTGGCGAAGTCACGAATTTATCATGTAAAAATCATTCTTTATTTTTTATGCATCTACTGTAATCTAACGTTAACTGATTACCTGATCAGTGGTAAAAGTGATACCTAAATATAAATAATATAATATTAAAGTAGTAATATAGCCGATAACAAATGAATAAATAAGTAAAAATTAGAAAGTATAAAAAAGTAAAAAGTAAAAAGTTAAACGTAAAGATGTAAAAAGACGTTTATATTTATAAGTTCTTGACTAAAACCATAAATTCTAGAAATTTGATTTATGAACATATAAAAAAAAAATTAGGGACGATTCTATAAATGTCATAAATGTGTATATGGGTATATTAGATAATATACAATCTTTAAATAGTTAAAATGGTTAATAAATAAAGGATAAAAATAGATAAAGTGTATACCCATGCACAAACTATTTATATCATTACACAATTTATATTGTTATTGGTGATTTTTTTTAAAAAAAAACGATGATGAAATAAAATAATAAAAATTTGTTTTTTTAGGATCGATTTACAAATGCGTAACGTGTAAATAAATTTCCGACTTAGAAAGGTACCCTCATCAAATCATTATTTATCCAATACATACATCACACATCATTATCCCTCAAAAAAAAATGTGCACATCATCAATAATACACAAAAATACACAAAAAATAAACACGACACATTCAATCATATCAATTATATACAATAAATATCCGATTTGGAAGTGAAAAATCTTAAAATCTTGTTATACCTTTTGAACCAAAGAAGGAAAGGGCAGAGAAAATGAAATAGTTAAAAAAGGAAATCAATAATAAAAGAAGAAAAAGAAGAAAAAAGAAGAAAATAATAATAATAATAATAATAATAATAATAATAATAATAATAATAATAACAACAGAATGATGATAAAAAAAAAATGTCGAGAAAATGATGAGAATGATGTGATGATAAATGATAATTAAATAATGATGTGTGGGTATTAGACCGGATTTTATGTATATATGTAAACATTAACAAACATTCAAATTTGTTTAAATTGTTATTATTATTATTGCAGCCACACAATATTATTTATAATTTTAATTATTCATAATCAATATTTATTACTTGTTATTTTATTATCATCATTTATCATTATTATTACGACTTGTTATTTTCTTTATTACTTGTTATTTTTTTTAATTATTGTTGTTAAAATCACATCATATTCTTTTAAAATTTATTTATTAGATAAAAGATGTTAAATTATTTATTTTAAGTATTAATTAATGGAATATTTTTTTTTTATAATGTTATTAAAAATGATTGATTGAATGAATGTTATCATTTAATAAATAAATATTTTATTGAATGAATATTATGAATAAATATGATAAATGAATGATATGAATGGATAATATAATGGATCGTTTAAAAAAAAATTATTGTCATTATTCCGTAAGTCACAGTGAATTCAGCGAATTGTAGAAAGAAAAGAAAAAGGAAAAGAATAAAAGAACGACGACGTAACAGGATCAAACTTGATTTTGGTATTTAGTATATTGGGTATTGGGTTTTTTGATTTTTTTTTTGATTGAATTGTTATTACTTTTAGAAATATTGTTATTTTAACTTTACATTTCATCATTTTTTATAATATTATTTTTACATAATCTCATAAAATCCATATTCTTATTATTTGTTGCCCTATTTTATACAAATCATGTAACGACAAAAAAAAAAATAATAATAATTTAAAGTTACCAAAAAGTTCTCAATAGTTACAGAAAAGAAATTTATATGTAATATTATTAATATATACAGTATAAATATATTCTATATCTATCTATTATATACTTTTATATAACTTTTTTGTACTCATGGTTTTTTACTTTTATTTAATAATAAGCAGTAGACATTGGCAATAATAAATATAAAAATATACTGGTATAATCGTTTCTGCATGAATGGATTTTCGACGCAAAGATCTTAATATTAAAATGTTTCTTTAAAATTTATAACTTTTATAATTCCAAAATATTATTAATGATTATTGATTATTATTATTATTATTATTTATTATTATTTATTTATTTATTATTATTATTTATAATTGTTTCCAAAATATTCGCCAAAAATTGCTCGACATATTCGGGCTAAAAAAAAAAAAATAATAAAAAAATTTTATATCATACGACCATCATACGACCATTTCATGAATTTCATCATTTTTTTTTTTTATATATGTATACATATATAGTATTTATACTATATCTACTATATATTCACCCAAGTGTTTTTTCTCAGAGAAGACTCGGGTTTCATTTCACCAAAAAAATACAGTATATATTATTAAAGTAAATTTAAAGTAGGACATTTAATAATTACACATATATCTTTAAAGTAAACATAATAAAAATTATTTCATTTGAATTGGGTTGGGCATTTACTTATAAATACACCGCATCCTTGGTTTCTCGTTGAAAAGTTTTCCTTTAACAAATTTTCGAAATTTATTTCTTTTTGTTGTTATATAGACGAACTTTTATCTATCTCTCCCTCTATAGTCTCTCCATAGTCTCTTCAGGGCTTTAATAAATAAATATATATATATAAACTTATATAAACACATATATACATTTATAATTAATATATATATTATACACACACTATCTAATTTTCTTTCTATATAAAAGAGACTAAATAGGATTTTGAGTAGTTATCTGTTCATAAAATATATATAAAAATACAACGAAAGGAAAAAATTTTATTCACGAAATTTTGTTATTTATTCATATATATATATCTCTCTTTCTATATATATCTTTCTCTCTCTATTTATTTATTTATTTATTTTTTTTTTACGAACGAAAGAATCTTCTTTTATTTTTATCATCAAAACTCTCTCTTTTCTTTTAAAAAAAATGGATACTGATTGGTGTATCATGTGTGATTCTCATTGTAACATTCCCGTAAGTATTTATTAATTTAAAGAATATTATTATTCAATCGATAAAAGAAAGATTCGAGATATGAAAATTATGACTATTCAAAAAGCATTACTAATAAATAAATAAATAAATAATAAAATTATATTATATAGGGAACTATCTATTGTTCAGAAGAATGTAAACTTCAAGACCGTATGGAAAATGCATATTTTCCTCCTCCTCTGTCATCGGCTAGTAGTAGTACGGCTTCTTCTTCTTCCTCTTCTTCACCAGCTTCATCACCATTGTTAACTTCTACTATTACAGGTGGTATTAGTATTGTAGATGGTGATGTTAGTGGTATCGGTGGTTTTGATTATGGTATTGGTATCGATGGAATCGGTGGTTGTTTCGGTGGTATTGAAAATTTAAAACATAAACAAATTTTACCTCCTTTGGAAACAACAACAAAGTCAAAATCAACAACTTCCAAAGTTCAATTACCACCTCCGCAACAACAGCAACCTACATTATTTTATCATCGCGCTCCTCTGCCTCGTTATAAGACAGGAACTACAAATAATTGTTCCAGTAATAGAAATTTACGTGGTGTTGGGCGTTCTTCGAAATCTTTATACGTTCAGTAATAATTATGATAATAATAATAATATAACTTTTATTTTTATTTTTATTTTTTTATTATTTTATTTTTATTTTTATTTTTATTCTATTTGATGCCAAAAAACAAACAAACAAACAAACAAACAAACAATCAAATTCAAAAACAAGCAAATATTTTATTTTTTTCGTTCAGATTTTTCGTTGTCTTTTTTTTTTTTTTTAAAAAAAAAAAACTTTACCCACCACGACATGACCATTATTACCCATCATCCACTACTACCTACCATTCCACCACCACCTATCATCCACTGTTACCTTTAACATTATTAACAAAATGTATTTTAAAAAGAAAAAAAAAACAAAATTTCAGGCGAAAATTTTTCCTTGTATATATATATAGTCAGTTATAGCAATTTTTTATTATTATACAGTAGCAATTTTTTTTATCGTAGTTTTTGAAAAAAAAAATATATAATACACATCCAATTGTGTATATATATATATAATATATATAAACAAAAAATGACTTTAAATTAGATAATTAGTATTTTTAGTATTATTATTATTAGTTTTAAATTGTATCGATGATTGGAAGAAGAAGGAGATGAAAAAGGAGATTGATGTCCTTTTTCGTTTGTAGTTTTTTTCGTTTGTTAGTGTTGTTAGTGTTGTATTGATGACTGACTTGATCAACCACCACGATTTTTATATCGTCGCAAATTGAATGTGATGATGAAAACGTGATGGGGAGAAGGAAATATATATATATATAAATATAAAAAAAATCAAAAGATAAATTTATAAAATTTGTTAAATTTCCCCACTGTAAATAGAATATATTTTTTTGTCAAAGCATTTTTATTATTTCATTTTATCAAAAAAAAAATTGGTTCACTAAAAGTATTATTATTTTTATTATTTTTTATTATTTTTACAACATATATAAATATAAATATATATATATATATATATATATATAGTACATACACACATTTTATATACACTTACGAAACTTCCCCTCCCCCCCCCCAAAAAACCAATTTTTTTTTTATCTTATAAATACATTCAACATATACAATTCAAAAAATTTAAACTTTCTAAAATTGTTTTTTTTTTAATTTTTTTTTTATTGTTTTTATTTACTAAAAGAAAAAAATAAAATAATTTTTTTATTATATTGTATTTATTTATTTTATTTTTTTTTTTAAATTTATTGGTTGAGAGATAAATGTTGAACAATGAATATTCAATCATATGTTACTATCATTATCATTCGCTTAAATTACAAATAAAGTAAAACTCTGTGAATTCTATTATTTATTTATTTATTTATTTATTTTCTTATAAAAAATAAGAATGTAAAACGATAACATAATAAATAATGATAACGGCATAATATAAATATAAATGGTATAAAAACGATTAAATATAGCAGCGATAAACCAAAACGAAAATGATTTTTGATAACATCACGAGACATAACCAACATGAACATGTTTTATATAAAAAAAAAAACAAGTATGAAACGAAAACAATAATAATAAAAACGTCAAAGATGAATGAATGACGATGAAACAAAAAAAAAAACCGTTTTGAAGGTGAAAATCAAGATGATGATAACGGATATACATATATATGTTTCATGAATTTAGAGTTCGATATAATCACCTCATCAATAATCCTTTTTGTTTTTTCGAATTTCATTACTATAATGGAAAATTATGAAACATTATTTTTCTCTCTCTTTTCAGTTTAGAGTCCTTTAAAATAATAGTTGTAATAAGTAATAGTTGTTGTTAAAATAACAATACTAGAAAAAGCAATTGAAAAATAATCAATATTGTTTATTTATCATTATCATTATTTTAAATGTTTTAAATGCACATGATTTCTAACCAACTTTTGTTGTTACCCCACAAATAAAAATAATTAAAATAAATCAATATAATAAATAAAAAAAAAGTAACTAGGTTCAAATAATAATAATAATAATAATAATAATAATAATATCAAATAAAAAAAAAAGGAATTGATTCTCCTCTGGATAAACATCATTCAAAAAAAAAAGAAATCACATATATATACAACATATACGACATATACATCAACATATATAACAACACGCGCATACATATATAAAAAGATATACAAAGATATATACAAAAGCGGCGAGACAACAACCGATGATGATAATAAATAATAAATAACAATCATAATCATAATAATAATAATAAAAATAAAAATAACAATAATAAAAGGTTTGAGCTTTTTTTTTCCAAGACATTCATCAAACCTTAAGTATAATAATATGTAATAAACTTATTATAATAAACTCACTGACAATAACAAAAAAATAAATATTCATCAAACAATACACAATTACATAATTAAAACTTTATTATTATATATAAATAAATAAAATAATAAATAAATAAATGAATAAATAAAAAAAAAATAAATCATATATTATTTTTTATTTTATTTTATTTGGAAATTAAAAGATTATTAATGTTCTTAATTATTATTATTAAAAGTTACTAAAAGTGAGTAATTAAAAAAAATAATAAGGTGAGAGAGTCATTAAAAAACCATTAAAAATTAAAAAGTTAGAGTGAGTAATTAAATTAAAAATTAAAAGTGATTAATTAAGTAATATTACGGAAGACGGAAAGAAATCAAAACAATTACATTAGATGAAATTGTAAATAACAAGTTTGGTTTTTTTTTATTTTATTTGGCGTATTTTTATTTTCTTTCATTTTATATTTCTTTATTTTTACATTTTATTTTTATTTTATTTTTCATTATTTATTTATTTTACTATTTATTTTTTATTTTGATAAATTTTACTTCAGCTGAACAAAACAACAATGAGATAATAACTCTTTTTTTAGTATTAATGAATAATAATAATAATAATAATAATAATAATATCAACAGTGGAAATATAGTAATACAGTAATACAATTGATAATAGTGGTAATATTAATTAATAATAGTTCTCCTGAAAATTTTCTCCCTTTTTTTTTTTTTACTATACTCTAAAAAAAATCAATAATAAAATAATAAACAAAAAAAAACAAGATTTAACCTTGTTGATTAATATCATATTTTTTGATTTTTCCCTTACACAACGCAAAGTAAAAAATCTGGTTTTTATAAGTAAATTTTATCGGGGGATGAATGAATGAATGAAGGTTTTTGAGATAAAGATAGAAAAAAAGTCACTTTACATTCGATGCGTGTTACACTAACTAATCTCCCTACTCCTAAATTTTTTTTATAACAAAAAATTTTTTTTTTTTTAACAATATATTTATATATTTATATTCATATATATATAAATTCTAGAAGTACAAAATTCTACAAATGCTACAAAATGCTACACACCTGATAACTAATTAATTAATTAGCTGTAGGTGAATGCTATTCTTCATATGCTATTCATATAAAGTTACTTCTATCATTCATTATGCTACTTTTAGTATTTTCTGCTGCTTGCCGCTTCCGTTGCTTCCTTTTTTCTTCTTTTTTCTTGTTGTTGTTGTAGTAAATGTGTATTGGTAGATTAAAAGGTTCCCTTTGTTGTTGTATATACTTATAATAGGAAGGTGTAGAATGGTGAAAAGGCGGTAAATTACGTGATGAATTACAATGATGAATTGGCAATAATGATTAATAATTATAATAATTATTATTGCATATACACAATAGACGGTTTCTCAAGAATGTCCAAAACATCCATTATAATAATAAAATTTGTTTTTTATTAGTAACACCAAGTCAGACTTAGTGATCTCGTGCACCAAGTTTACTTATATGTACACACGTGTATACGTCTTCATTTAATTTTATTTATTTTAATTAATTTAAAAAATATTTTAATATTTGAATTTATATTTTAAATTAATATATTAAAATGACACATGAACCAAACAGTTTAGAAAATTATAACTATATTTAGTCTTATATACTTTTTGTCAATTAATATTTTAATTTTCTTTAAATTCCATTTATCTGTCCGTGTTCTTCATACATATATCTAAGTTAGTTTAGCAATTACACTATTTTACATTATTTTTTTTTTAAAACTATATTTAAACTATGCATTCTTACGTTTTTTTTTAAGTCTATCATTCTTTTTTTAGGACTATTATTCTTTATATATGGACAATCATTCAAATTTCTTTTTTAGACTATCGTTCATTTCTTCTTCTTCTTTCATTATCACAATTATTCTTTTTTAAGTTACTGAATAATTATTAATTTATTTGCATTTTATTACAGTTTATTGATTTTTGTTTATTGATTTTCGAATCATTATAGAATTTTGCTGTTTAATTTTATCAACAATTCGCGCGCCTTCTTATCATTCCTTATAATGTACATTTCGGCATTTAACGCGTCGTGAAATTATTTGATGAATTTGGAGAAGATTGGTGAAATTTGTCAAAGCGGTAAAATGATATGCGGTAATATCATATGTTATTTCTTATGATTTCTTATAATTTCAATATACTATCATGTCATATTATCTGTATATTATCGTTTCTGGTAGATTTAATAAATCTTTAATTACACAGCGCACAAATATTATAAAAACTTTATTATTATTTATTATTTTGATTACCATTATTATTATTATTATTATTATTATTATTATTATTATTATTATTATTATTATTATTGTTATTATTGTAATAATAAATACTTTTTAATTGATTTCATTCTCCTGAACTTGTTCATTGAACTTTCCCTTATTATTCAAAAAAAAAAACCAAGACCTCAAGCATAATCGTTTCAAGTTAAATATCATATTGCTTTTTTGTTATCATTGCATTAAAAAAAAGCACTAAAAGCATTAAAAGTTTCATATTAAATATCATATTGCTCATTGCATTAAAAGATTTGCATACATGTACATAAAGTATATGTATTAAAGTGTATATATTAAAGTGTATATATTAGGGTATACATATTAGAGTGTATATATAAGGTATAAAGGATAGAAGAGTGAATACTGCATAAGTTCATTTTAATGCCAAGGGGAACTATTCCTAAATAACTAAAAAAAAATATTAGATCTTAACTTGTAACATTGAAGATGAAATAGATGAAACAAATAGATGATTTTACGACGTCATGGGTAATTTTTGATTACGATAATCTCGTTAATCCGATTGGCCTGCCATGACATAATTTCCTCCAGTTATTATTACTATCAAATATATAATGTAATATATATTTTTAAGCGTAGACCAATTTTTAGGGTTTAACTGATAATCTGTCACACCAATTTTGATCAACAACTCAATTCTTCAGCAATAGAAGAAAGAAATAAAAATGAGGAAATGGTTTTTGTTTGAGGTGTTGCAATAATATTAGACGGATGTCGGATGTTCAACTTTATTTACTTAGCAAAATATTTTTTTTTTAAAAAAAAATAAGACCACTTTTATTTAGAGATCGACATTTCCATAAATTGACTTATTCTTTACATTACAGTAATAATAATAATTTAAATAAAGTTTTAAAAAAATAAGCTATTCATTCAAATAACTACTTTATTTTTATTCTTCTTTCTCCCCACAAAATTCAAATGCTGTCATACACATTCCCGGCACATATTCTTCATAAATCTTTTTTCCTTGATCATTTTCACTTGCTCCCGCGGCTATATGTAATGGTACTAAATGATCATCTGTAGGATGAGCTTTTCTTAATAATGGATGATTAATTAAATTAATTAATTTTTCATTTCTATCTTTACCGCGAGATTTAATGACATATTCTTCTACATCTTTATCAAAAGATTTCACATAAGAACCCATCCTACTGGAACTAAAAAGTTCACGTAAGTTATGAACCATTGTACCTGAACATACTAATAGAACACCTTCATCTCTAAATAAAAAAAATAATATATTTAAAAGGTTATATGAATTCATGAGAGCAAGAGATGAATAATGAGATGAATAAAGTGATGAATAATAATTACCTTAAAGGAGCTAAAGCTTGACCAATTTTTATATGATATTCGTAAGAAACATTATGAGCGAGAGATACTTGTATAATAGGTATTTCTGGTTCAGGAATTGCAATTTTCAGAGGAATCCATAAACCGTGATCATATCCACGTTTAGTATCAATGTTAGCTTGAAATTTAGACTAATAACAGAATAATAATAATAATAATAATTAGAAAAGAAAAAAAAAAATTAAAAAAGTTTAAATAAATAAATAAACTCCGTTGTATATAAAAAAAATTTTAAATAAATAATTAACGAGTAATAAATTAATATTTTGTACCTGAACTAATAAGTTTACAACTCTATTAGCCAATTCAGGAGAACCTTTACCGTGATAAGTTAATTTATAATATTTGTCTTCAAATCCATAGAAATCATAAATTAATGGTGTTTCTCCTGGAAAACTTCCCACTAAATAATAGTAATAATGATAATATTATTATTATATATGTATTTAATAACTCTAATATATATATTCTTATAGGATATTCTCGAATTAAAAATAAAAAACATATATATATATATATATGTATATATTAACAACATATGTACCATTTATACCCCCAGATGTCTCCCAATGAGCAGAAAATACAACGATAGCTTTTGGTTTAATTTCATGTAAAATTTGATTGCCCCATTTTTGAAAGAATTTATAGGATTTACTTTTAGTATCGAACACTAAATTTGGACCTAAATCATGGAGAATAATATTAATAACATAGATATTAATATATATGTTTATATTTTATTTTGTATTTAGAAAAATTTAGAAATAGATGTAAATAAAATAAATAGAAATAGATATTAATATATATTTATTTATTTACCTCCATGAGAAATATAAAAACAAGGTAATCTCTTATAAGCCATTTTTTAATTTTTAAATAATTTTTTCATCTATCAGTTATATTTATTAAAAAGGTAGTAACTTTAAAATGAATGAACTAAACGAATGGAGATATATTATAGTCGCGTGTATAGTAGTTTAGGAGATGCTTCTAAATTGAGTGCGGTTCAATTCTCCTAAATTGTGAGTGCCTCCTAAATTGTGTCTCCTAAATTTAAATTGTCGTGTCGTTCAATTCTCTTAAATGGGATAAATGAGTTTAATCAAGGAAAAAAGAAATATTTATAAAGAAACGTATTACAAAGTACAGTATTAATAGTATTATCTATCTTCTCGTTCTTTCTATTATTATATCTCAAACGTCATATCGTGTAATATATACGCAACAACGAATTATCACATGATTAATTATTAAAAATATTTTTTCTTTATTGAAAATTTCATATATTACCTTTTGTTTTACAACTATTCTTCGATTTAGATCGTAATCCTTATTAACTAAATCACTTATTCTAATTAAACTATAAATTGATTATATTAATAATTGCTACATAGATCGGAATCTATTTTTTGTTTTTTTCGCACAAAGATATGCATTAGGGATATGATTTGCACAATATTTAAATTTGTTTGAGAGAAATCCACCACCATGGTAAAATAATTTTCCGGCTAATTATTATGTTTTCTCTCTCATTTTTTCACTTTCTACGGTCTTTAAAAATTGCATTCGATCTAATAATTTTACATGATGGTTATTAAACGAATAGTTTCGATAATCAAAAATTTTACATTAATTCTCTTATTTATTTTGCATTGACTAATAAAAGTAATTTTTGATTATATATATAAGTTATATAATGTGCGTTTATTTTGAATTTAATTCTTTACCTTTTCTGGTTATACTAGCACGTCTTCGAAAAAAAGTGAATGGACATGTATTTTTTACCGCATCAATAAAGCTGAATTTATTTTTTATTTTTTTTCGCATCAATAAATTATAGCTTTCATTTATTTTGATTGAAAGTTTAAAATAAAAATATATCTACTAACGCCTCATCGATAATTACTAAAACTAAGATTACAATGACTACAAATAGTAATAGACTGACAACATTGACAACATTGCACATAACTAATACAATACACACTTCGACAAAAAGAACACTAAAGAAAATTCATACAATTGTTATTATAATATAACAACAATCAATAATATAGTAAAACAAATCAAAACTTACACTTTGACATTTTTGCTGAACCTGAATTCTTCGATATTGTTGCTGAACCTGAATTCTTCGTTGTTGTACTTGAACTTAAAAATTGACATTTAAGATATATTTAATTGAGTCTTTTTTAAAATGAGTTTTGAATATATGAAAAATTAAACTAACCACATCTTTGGCATGTAACTGGACGACAACAACAACAACAATTGATAATTATTCCACACGAACAAAAACACATGATCTAATTCAAAAATAATACAACTTAAGAAATATTAAATATTTACCGAAAATAATATCAAGATATATACTAAAGAAAATTGTTGTTTGATCAGAAGTTTTATATGCTTTTATGTATTTAACGCTATAATTTGGGATTTATTCTGATTTTTAAAGGACTTTAATATTATATATATCTGCGGAAATCAAAGCTTTTTGAAAAAAATAAAAGAGAAAATTAGCTTTGGCCCATACCTTTTGGATTTATTTACATGCAAGGATTATTATTTATGAGTTACTATTCACAAAGAATAGTCCGAGCTCTATTAATAGATAAAATTGCTTTATTTGCCATTGACTTAGGCGGATTTTTTTTACCGCATCACTAAAGATGGCTAAGTTTAATTTTTTCCCCGTTTTTCTTATTTCGTCAAACAGAGTTGTAAATTCAATCCAAAGAATTTGGGTTTCGCTAGAATATTCTGTTCCGTTACTTTGTTCGCACGTTTGAATTTGTAATTATTTCACAATCCTCCACTTCGGGCTTCAGATCTCCATTCTGCTAAATCGGAAATATCACAACCAGAAACATCAAAATGCTCAAGTTTTTGGCAATAATGTCAATAATGTACAATATCACAAATAGCTACATCAGTAATATTTTTACATCCACTTAGATCAAGATATTCCAAATTCTGACATGATTGCGCTATTTTTTCTAATTACACTGTTAGTAATATTGCGACAGAATACCAAATCAAGATACCGAATATTAGAGGATAAATGCGCAATATCTTGTATCGATTCATTAATATATTTCAATCCAGAAATAAACAAAAATTCTAAGCTATGGTTCGATTCTGCAATATCATGAATAGATATATCTGTAAATGTTTTTACAGTAGGAAATATTTAGATACTTCATATTATAAAATGGAGAAATATCAGGAAATTTTGGGGGCAAAAATATCCGGATGTTAATGATCCAATAGTAGAACAATGGTTAAAGGAAATAGATTTAACTAAGGTTCCTAATTTATCTCGTTCAAATAATGGAGTTGTTAATTATAATCAAGCTAGCTGTAATTTTCCAATAAATCAAAATCAAGGTTCTTGGACGTGTCAAAAATATAACGCTCGATGTATTTTACTACAGTTGGTAATTGGTTCATCACCTTATTAATAGATCATTTAGGAGAAAATAATATAAAAGCAACATTTTTTGCAGTAGTCGTGTAGTGACATCTCCTTTAACTCTTATGAATGAGGTCATCATGTAGCATTGAAATCACTTTCTAATGAATCTGTAGTTGCTGAATTAAAATGGACAATGAAGATAATAATCCTTTTTTTTATACGGTCAAAAGATGTTATTGGTGTTACTCCTAAATATATGCGTCCTCCATTTGGTGATACTGATAATCGTGTTCGTTGAGAAGTACGCTAGATTTTTCAAGTTTTTCCTTGAATAATTAATCTCATTAAACCTTTACATATAATAAATTTCTTTTTTAATAACAATCCTGAATTTGATAGTAATGATTGGACTCCCAAAACCAATTAGTTTCGTACTTTTAACATTTGATGATGAATACAGGATTTATTTGACTTGAACATGATCTTTATCCTGAAACTGTTGAAGCCGCAACTAAGATCAATTTAAATATTACCACTAAATGTATTAATGATGATCATCCGTATTTTGAAAGAAAAATAATATTGATAAAAAACCATCAAAACTAAAACCAGTAATAATAATACTGATGGTGATGGTAATACTACAACCTTCAATGATATCTTTTCCACGACTTCTTCCATTTCTTCCACCACTTCTCCTTACAAAATTTGTTATGAAAATATTGTAATGTGTTTGTTATCAATTATATCTTTATTATACATATTTTAATAGAATCAACTAAACCCTGATGGGAAGAAATCGAAGTGTGGAACGAAAATAGAGACCCAACCACCGAAACATCTTACACATAGAGATTTAGAACAAAGATTTATGTTTTAATTATATTTATAAACATTAATATTTTGATTTAATATTTTAATACTTTTATACTATTAATCATAACTTTCTTTTTTTAGATATTTTTATTTACTTTTTGATATTTTTTTTATATTAAATTTGTCGAGAGCCTGATATAATAATAAAAAAACGTAATTGTATCACTACATTTAACTTCTGGATATAAAAAAAATTTATATTTATTTTATTATAAATTTAATGTTACAAGTCATAAAAATTACAAAAATTTACAATATAATAAATTACATAAAACAAAAAAGAATATGAGACAGAATAAACAAACAAAAATAAAAATAAAAATAAATCAATAATATCATTATTATCATTATATATTATTTAACTGAATAAACTTTTCACTTTCTCGCCTATTGTATCTTTAGAAAATTGCTTTTTATATTCACTACTTTTAGGTAACTCTCGTGTTCTTTTATCTTGTAAACTTTTATAATAATCACCACCATCACCGTCATTTCCAGGGAAAAATCCAGATGGTGTACTTACTCCAGCAGTACCTTGATCAGTACCAGCTCGAACTGTTTTATTTGGTATTCCTTCACCAGTAGAAGATTGTTCTTGTTTAGTTGGATAAGAAGGTTCATTGACATTTTGTGAAGCGATGACATCTTCAGTATTAGTGAAAGAAGTGGAACGGATACTATTATTTTTTTGTTGTTGTTGATCCGTGTGTTTTTCGTGTGTGTGTTCCATATTTATTTTATTTTTATTTGCTGATATATTAAATCGTAAAAGAATATGTTAAGAGGAAAGGAATGAAATTTCTCACGGAATAAAAAAAAAATCGAATGAGGAATTATTTATAATACAAGGTAATGATTTAATAATTATATCATATTTACATTTCTTTCGTAATATTTATAATATTTATAATATTTTATAATTATTTGTTATCCAAAACCAATAATTATCTTTAAACCCGAAAATACCACACTAAAAATTACTATTACAACTTTGAGTGCACCTCTTATTCCGTCATCAATAAATTTAACCAAAATTATAATTAAATCAACTATTTTTCCTAAATACCAAATTATTATTGTTATTAATAAAATTTCCCATAAAATAATTCCCCATTTTAGGTATTTATTATTTTGTTTCTCGAGAAATTTATAATTCAAATCAATAATTAATAAAAAAGTTTTTGCTAATATACCAAATCCAAAAACATCTTTAATTTGAATATTAAAAGTAGCATTAAAGAAACTAATAGAATTAGTATTGGTGGTAAGTTGTTTATTTTTTTTTTTTTTTGAATCTGAATTTGAACTTGAACTGGATTTCCAAAAGTGAAATACTGAGCGAGTAGATTTTTTGGTAGAAATAAATGATTTCATTTTTTTATTTATTTTATTAACAGTTAAAAAAGTGCTTACGTTTCATTGTTTCATTGTAATTTCTCGTTTTATATATAAAATTCGTGGATTCGTAACACAAGATAAAAATTTCAGGGATTTTAAAGTCCCATTCATATTGACAAATATAGTAATGTCTTCGTTTCACGTATTTTTAAATATTGAGTTGATCTTTTTTCTAATAAACATTAATAAACATGATCTAATCGAGAAAACATGATGACAAACGTAACATATAGTGAACGAGCAACAAATTTTAATAATAAAACAGCTCGAAAATTATTTGAAATCATTGAACATAAGAAAACAAATCTTGCACTCGCACTTGACGTATCAACAAAACAAGAATTTCTTGATATCGCAGACAAAGTTGGTCCTTATATTTGTTGTTTGAAAGTGAGTAAATAATAATAATAATAATAATAATAACAATAATAAATAAATAATAATAATAATAATAATAATAAATAATAATAATAATAAATAATAATAATAATAATAATAATAATAATAATAATAATAATAATAAGATATGGATATTAATAATTATTTGGAATTAATTGTAAAAATTTATTTTTATATAATTCAAAGACACATATCGATATATTAATAGATTTTGATAATGATCTTATCGAACAACTCAAAAAGCTACAAATTAAACATAATTTTTTGATCTTTGAGGATAGAAAATTTGCTGATATTGGTAGTAATATTCTAAAAGAAAAATCAGAAATTTTTATCTTTTCAAAATAATTTAAAATAAATTAATGAAAATTTTTTTTTATATAACCTTTGACGATTATTAGGTAACACAGTAAAGAATCAATATTCCCAAGGTATTTACCGAATCGCAGAATGGGCGGATATTATAGATGCTCATTGTTTACCTGGTGAAGGTATTATAAATGGATTAAAAGAAATTGGTTTACCATTAAATCGTGGATTATTACTTCTTGCTGAAATGTCTTCGAAAGGAAATTTAATTACCCGAAATTATACAAATTCCACGATAGAAATGGCTTTAAATCATAAAGATTTTGTAATTGGATTTATTGCTAGTGGAAAAATTACCCTAAATGATAACAATAATAATATTCAAAATGATTTTATATTTATGACACCCGGAGTTGGATTATCTAATAAGGAAGATGGATTGGGTCAACAATATAGAACTCCTCGAGAAGTGATTACTGAAAGTAAAAGTGATATAATAATTGTAGGACGTGGAATTTATGGAAGTGGTAAAGATGTTATAACAGAAGCTAAACGTTATCGAGATGCTGGATGGAATGCTTATTTGGAAAGATTAAAATAATTTATACATTATACACAGTATACAGTAATATGTATATATATTTTTAAATTAAAAAAAAAAAAAAAAAACTACCTCCTCTTAAAGATAATTATTCAAAGATCATTTTAATACTTTATTTTTGATTTATTGAATTTCGCTTCTCAAGATATGTAACAACATATGTAACAATTCTTTTTTATTGCATGGATGATTAAATTAGTTTCGAGAGTTCTGAACTTTGGGAATATTAATCAATTTTAATGAACACCAACACAAATTTCTACTTACCTATACCACAATTCCTTGCCAAGTGTTTTGTCATTTCTTTCTTTCACTTTAATTAATACAGATAATACTTTATTGAGAAAAATAATAAATGCCTCTACGTCGAAGAAAATTGAGAATGATTAACGTGCTCAATATTATCGTTAATAAAGAAATACATTAATTATTATTACATATCAATTCGCGCATGTTGTACAGTTATAGTAAAAATGTGTACATATGAATATATATATATATATATACATATATATTAAAATAGATTAAATTTATTAAATTACATCTGATATTAAGTTTAAAATATATAATGAAGGAATTTTTGTAAATAATTTTGAGCTCTTAGAATGATTAATATAATAAATTATATAAATATACACAAAATAATGTAAATAATGCTGTATGAATAATCGCTCCCCTCTCTATCAAAAAAAAAATAATATGAAAATGATGAAAATAAAAATACAAAGGGAAAGAAATGTTGTATAATTATGTAAAATTATGAGAAATGATGCGTGGGTAAATACATAATTAATTTGCTTAATTTCTACCATAATAAAGAAAAAAAAAGGAATGAAAATCATAAATCAAAAAATAACAAAAAAAAAATATATAAACTATGATGAGCCCGTCATGATAGTGCTTTTTTCGTTGATACTGATATTGCTCGGTTTATAGCAGATGAGTGTTTTCTTTCCGAAATGGTTCCACCTACTATAGCCCCAGTATTTGTATTTGTTATCATTAAAGAATTTGGGTCATCAGTTAAATTTGATTTAGGTCCTCTAGCAAGTACTTTAGGTGTAAAATATCTTATTGCTGCTATGTTTCCGCTATCTTGTACTAAATCCAAAACAGTTTTTCTGGATTTCTTCATATCACTGACAACTTCTGCTGCCCATGTCCCAACACTTTTTGCCGTATTTCGTGTAATTGGTTGAGATGCTGCGGCAAGCATATCTTCAAGATCATCCTCGGGTAACCCTTTCTCAACATCTGATCCATTCTGTAAAAGCAATTCAGCCATTGGAAATAAAGTTCTATCACCTTCTACTATCATCAGAGAGGGATCAATATGAAGCAAGGCCAACAAAAGTGGTGTTTTCAATCCATAATCATTAGTTACTTCGAATCTACGAAGAGCATTTACATCTGCTTTTAATGCAATAGCTTGAATTGCTAAAAGAATATTATTTTCTTTTACTGCTTCAAAAAGAATATCTGTCGCAGTTCTACCTTCGTCAACAAGTGAAAAATTTACAAAAGCTCTGTCAATGTATTTTGCAATAATAAATTTTTGTTTGACTTCTCGAGAATCATTACTTGACGGTTTAGACATTTTTTTTGTAACAAAAGGGGTTGGAGATGGTATCGGTGAAGGAGTGGATGAGGTTGATGGTGAAACTAATGATCTAGTTGATGGCGTTATCATATTGATGAGTTCATCCCAATCAGGATCTGACGTGGGATCAGCTTTATCTTCATTTCTTTCAATTTTTGATGAAACAGCTGGAACAGTTAAAGTTAAATCAAATTTTTGAGGCGATGTTGATGATGATGATGATACTTCAAGATTTTGATCAAATGATTTAAGTGTGGCTTCCCAAATGGAATTAGAACGTGAATTTCCAATTGATTTAATTAATTGAATAAGGTCAGGAGTATATGATGTCGTATCTAATGTAAGTGACCTAATCTTAGAAATATGTGTACCTAGGCTACGATGAATTCCAGAACACTCTTAATTAAATGAAAAAAGGAATGAAAATGGATGAATAAATGAGAATGAATAAACGATAATGAATTTGAATAATTTTTTTGAGGAACATACCTATACATAGTACAATACCCAAATTAATTGAGCACCATTCCGTTCTTCGTGCTCCACAGTCAGCACAACACGTATTCGAACTATCTGTACCTTTGATAACTTCGATAATTTTAACAGAATCATCGTTTTCATTTAGTTCCTGAAAATTTGATCCTTCTGTACGAGCGTATATTGTTGAATCTTCAAATAATAAAGGTGTTCCCTTTTTCATATCATTTTTCCTTTTTTCTGTAAGACTAGGTAGCGTGCCCCTTCGTTGAACGGATTTTCTAGCAAATGGGTTAACAGCACTTGCACCATTGTCTTCTTGCAAAACCTGATCCAAATTACGACAACTACTTGTCCCATTAAGTAGGCTCTCAATTGCATTAGAAATGACTGTTATCCACGAATTCATATCTTCAGCGGAAGTTGCTTGATATATACGTCGATATTGAGGAGTTATCACCTCAAAACAAAATCTTCGATCAGCACCTCGAGCTTCCCTTACTGTAGCGAATCGCAAGTTGATTGGTTCATTATGTGTTTCTAACGATTTTTTCCAATTGCTATACTCGCAAAGCTGCCCTCCAGCTAAAACACACCAGTATCTAGAAAATCATATATTTTTATATTTAATAATTTTTTTGAAATAATATTTATTTAATATAACAAAAATAAAAATTTATGTAATAAAATTCCTTACTTGTGCCAATTATTCTTAGCAATGGGGTCAACAGTTCCATGTTGGGTCGCTCGTGATGTAGCAAACAAAAAACCTTCTTTTTTCCTTCCTGCAGAAGAAGTTAACTCAGAATCATGATGCTCTAAATCACGAATACCTTTGAAACGATTTTGTAACGCATTTGATGAGGCAACTGGACTTGAAGGTCGATTCTCAGAGGTATTACTCATATTATCACCTGTTAACAAACCAGTACTACCATTATTATTATTATTATTATTATTACTATTATTATTATTATTATTATTATTAGATATTTCTCTCCCATTAAGAGTCTCAATCGGAAAAGGATTCACTGGATTCACTATTGTTGTTCGAGTTTCTAACGCCCTACGTCTTTCCTCTCTTTCTTTTCTCATAAGATGTATTTCTTTCGTTGCTTCAGCTACATCAATAGATAATTTATCTAATCCTGGTTTCAAACTCTGTATTCCCATTGCAGTTTGCTGAAAGAATGAAGATTGCTTTTCAGCGAAGTTTATCAAATGGTACAATATCTCTTGATCTTTTCTACCTCCGTGTAAGTCTTGCATATATGCGTAATAATCAAATCTTTTCAGCTCAAAATTCTTGCGTTTACCTTGATATTTTGAATCAGATTCGAGCTGTTTCTTTTCCTTTGCGCTATCTATTTTTAAAGATAAATACTTGGAAAGGAACTGATAATAATCACGAGATTCATCCTCGAAGTCTTTCTTTTTACTTTCAGCAACTTTAATGTCGTTTTCGTACAATTTTCGAAGAGGTTCTATTAGTAAATTAGTCATTTGATTTGCAAGAATTTCCCTATTTGATGAAATTTTTCTTGTAGCTTCTTCAAGGTAATTATCTAGAACAGGTTGAAATGCTTGAGGATGTGCAACAGCAGCCCCTTGTAATGCCCTAACAAATTCCTCATCGGCATCTCGACTATCCATAATCACATCACGAGAGTTTATAGCAGCCTTAAGAATGCGTTTTATATTGTTTCTTAAAGAATTATTTTTTTTCTCATAAGCACTTAAAGTTGCACGAAACAATGGGCCATCTTCGGGTTCATGTTGGAACATCAAATCATCTGAATTGCGCCTACCCCCACTTGAGAGAGAAGAAGTTCCGGAGGACATACTAGGTAATAGAAGTAAAGAAGTATCTGGACTTGATGGACGAACACTACGTGGCATATTTGGTGACCATAACGTAGAAGTAGATGATGGTAATAAAGATGACGTTCCAGTAAAGAATGATGAACCATCAAAGGATTCGGCGCTTTTTGAAGTACGATGATAAAGGCTTTTCGAACCATCTGCAACTTTTTTTCAAATAAGTTAATTTTTAAATAATTTTAAAATAATTTTAAATAATTCTAAAAAATAATAAATTGTTTTTCATCGTACCGGCAACCCAAAATGTGAAGGATGCCAATAATTGAAATGTATTATCTTTTTCATCGTATTCGGCGAACTAAAGAAAAAAAGGGTAATTTAATGAATCGAATAAATTATCGGAATGAACTTCAAATCATTAAATCATTACCAAAACTTACACAACAATAATTTCGCCAACCTTGATGAATTTCTTCCATGTTATGAGGAGGTAACCACTTCCACGACCATTCAACCTCTGATGTTTGAACTTCATCTGTATGGTAGTTCCCAACCAAAGTTACATTTGGATGCTTATGAAGCTATACATGAAATAAATGTTAATAAATATTTTTATGTCAATAATTAAATTTTTTTTTTTTTTTTTTGACGCGATCCTGGTATCACGTGATATACAGAAATCACTACCCTATCTTCATAATAAATGTCTGCGTTAAACATAAGGATAAATGTTCATATGCTCATGAATGATAGAGACTAAAAGCTCCTTCCAATTCGTCAAATTTGACACGTGCGATTTTTGCTTTAAATCTTCACCTACATTGGGATCATCATTAAACTCGACAGTTACAATCCTTGATAACTCCTTTTCGCTGGAAACATTAATAAATGTTAACCCTTTCACATCAGCTTTAATTCCGTCAGTCTTTCCAATATTAAATTTGAACTTTAATTCTAATCTTTTATCTTTTATTAATTTAAGCAAAAACCTATTCGGAGATATCGATTTAACGTTGGGATCTTGTATAAATTCTAAAAGATCTGTTGTAATAGGAACCGCGGCAATACCAGTTGACATGACAGGAAAGGTTATGTATGGATCATGGATCGAGGTAGAAACTGAAATTTCTGTAATTTGAACTAAAGACCAAAAATATCAGAAATTTAATTTTCTATAAATTTTTGAAATAAGCGATTTGGCTGGAAATTTGCGATGTAAAAAAATAAATAATTACAACACTACCAGTAATCTAACCACTCACATCGATTGGAGTTCCTTATGTACAAAGTTGGATTTTCGTCTAGGGACGAACTCACGATGCCCATGATGGAAGGTATATATTGTGAGTGAACTAAGTTGTTTTGGGATCCCGCAACTGCCACAAAAAAATATGAATTAATTAAGTTCCAAGGAAACAAAAAAAAATTGTGACAATTGCATATATATAAAAATCAACAATGATAAATCAAAGAAGATTTTAAGAAAAAAAATGAATGTTTTTTTATATTTTTAATATTGAGCACGAAATAGGTTGTTACAATTTTACAATTGAAATTCGAAATTAAACCTTAATCACGTTTAAATTACGTTACATAACTGTCTTTTAAGAACCCTTATCCTGTTCACCAGTACATCTTTATCCTGTCTGTGCATCCTCCGAATTTCATTGGTCCATAATTTTGAATGATTCACGTGCAGTTTAATGTAACACAAATTCTGTGACAAATGCTAACCATAACCCCTGCGATACGAGATGCTATTGCATAAGCTAATTGCGTCATCTACATTTTTGTAGTATAAAAAAAAATTGTTAATCAATCGTTACGTGCTACATACAAAATCTTCCAATGGCCTCTAGTTCCAACCCAGACTCTGATAGGCGTAACAAAGCTTTACAAGATTACCGCCAAAAATTATTGGAACATCGTGAAATAGAAGCAAAAGTTAAAGAGTGTGAGTGCCAATAGTTAAAAAAAATTTGATCATACTAAGAAAAAAAAGCATAATACACTATCATTTATTTCAAATGATGATTCTTATTTTTATTTCTATAGTTCGTCTCGGTCTTCGTGATCTCGAAAAACAATATGAGAAAACCGAAGAAGACATCAAAGCTCTGCAAAGTGTAGGCCAAATCATAGGGGAAGTGTTAAAACAATTAGATGAAGAACGATGTAAGGTAATTTTTAAATCATTCGAATTGCTAAATTTATTAATATTTTAAATGTGTACTAAAATTTCCTTGTATTTGAAAGTTATCGTGAAAGCTTCTTCTGGTCCACGTTACGTGGTTGGTTGCCGGAATAAAGTAAATAAAGAAAAACTTAAACAGGGTACACGCGTAGCCTTAGATATGACAACCTTAACCATTATGCGTATGTTGCCACGAGAAGTAGATCCATTGGTGTATAATATGAGTTTAGAAGATCCTGGAAAAATAAATTTTGCAGGGATAGGTGGATTAGGCGAGCAAATACGTGAACTTCGAGAGGTAAATTGATCAAATTCATAATTTGGTTTTAGTTCAACTAATTCCTAAATGGATTTATTGTATTTTATAGGTCATAGAATTGCCATTGATGAATCCGGAACTTTTTCAACGTGTGGGAATTAATCCACCAAAAGGTGTTCTTTTATACGGTCCACCAGGTACTGGAAAAACATTATTAGCTCGTGCCGTGGCCAGTACCCTTGAAACGAATTTTTTAAAGGTTGTTTCAAGTGCCATTGTTGACAAATATATTGGTGAAAGCGCAAGATTAATTAGAGAAATGTTTGGCTATGCCAAAGATCATGAACCTTGCATTATTTTCATGGATGAAATTGATGCAATTGGTGGAAGAAGATTTTCTGAAGGTACAAGTGCAGATCGTGAAATTCAAAGGACTCTTATGGAGGTAAATCAATTAATGTACATGTTTTATATGTTATATGAAAAAAATATTAATACTAATATTGAAATTATTTTATTAATTAAAATAGCTTTTAAATCAAATGGACGGTTTTGATTATCTTGGTCAAACGAAATTGATTATGGCAACCAATAGACCAGATACTTTAGATCCTGCTTTGTTACGACCTGGGCGATTGGATCGAAAAATTGAGATACCATTACCCAATGAGCAAGGACGTCTTGAGATTTTGAAAATTCATTCTGCACCTATAACTAAACACGGTGAAATCGGTAAATTTCTTTATTTTATTTTTGTTTTGTTATATGTTAAGATTACATAGGCACATCCCCTCCATTTAATTATTTTCCTTTTAATTATATATGTAACTTTCTAGATTATGAAGCTATTGTCAAATTGTCAGATGGATTTAATGGAGCTGATTTGCGTAATGTGTGCACGGAAGCAGGTTTGTTAGAATTTGGGACTTAAACTGACATTCATCGTTATACATTTAATATATTGAATTATTTATTATTTGATAGGTATGTTCGCTATTCATGATGAAAGAGATTATGTTGTTCAAGAAGATTTTATGAAAGCAGCCAGAAAGGTTTCAGAGGCCAAGAAATTAGAATCAAAATTAGATTATGAGAAGTTATAAAAAAATTTTTGATAGAAAATTATAGTATTTATAGTAAAATATTATTAACCTTATTAAACGTCAAATATATTATTTACATAAAACTCTATTATATGAAATATAATTCTATTTCGATGTTTAATATGTAGAAAATATTTTTATGATATGTCGATTGATTATTTATTTTAATAACTATATTATTAAGAATGTCTATTTTTGTTTAATTGATTGAATATAATGCGAAATTTTTTAAAGACACTAACATTTAAGTATCTCGAAATATTTACCACAAATTAATCATTAATTGCAACAAGTTTGAAGAAAAATTTACCAGTTATTATAGATGATTCGGGAACTGCGATTTTATATTAAAGGAAAAAATTCAAGAAAAAATAAAACTAGCTTTAACGAACTAGCTTTTGTTTAGATCAAACAATGACATATAAAATATATAGAATATTTTTCCTTTCTCAAACACAAACAAATTAGAAAAGAAGATATAAACAAAAAAAAAAATATTGTATAGATAAAAGAATAACTCCGCAATGCAAATCCAGTTTACCTGCCGATAAGGAAAAAGAATGTAAAACGTTAATATATTCTTGCACAATATCATAAACTTTACCCATTCGTGATTCAAAAGATCCGTTCATCTTTTCTATCTAAGTCTTAAGTTTCTTATTCGGCGATTCATTGTCATTCTATAAAAATAAAAATAATAATTAAAATGAAAATGAAATAAATGTAATTGATAAAAAAGTTGATAGAGAAGTTGATAAAGAAGTCGATTTAAGGTACATGTAAAGCAAATCTTTCTGTTCTTCTCTTCCTTTTTTCTTCTTCACTTAACGAGGTCAATGATGATTGGTTTGAGGGAGTTGAAGCGAGCTAAAATATGAAATTATTAAAATTATAAAATTATAAAATTATTATATAATTGTATAATAAATACTAGAAAATATTTATTCAAAAAACTTACTTCTTTTGAGAATTTCTCTGCTCTCCTTTTTTTCTTTTCTTCTTCACTCAAAGAAGGTGTAACGTTTAAAACATTTGCTTGTTCTTTATCAAGAGCAAATTTCTCTGCACGTTTCTTCAACTTCCCTTCATCTTCGATTGAGGCAACCGACTATCAGTATAAAAGTTTAATTTTTTTAATTTCAATACTTGATATTGAAAATTTTTTTATACAAAAAAAATATTTACCAATTTTCTAGATGAAGGTAAAGGAGCTGGAAACGGCATTTTAAAATAATAATGAATGTTTAATAAATATGTTTAATTTATTTTTTTTCAATAATAATAATTATATTATCTATATTTTACCTTTTAGTGGAGAATCGTCAGGAATTTTAGTATTAATTCCAAATCGTGCTGCTCTTTGAAGTTTCTTGTCTGCATCAGATAATTGAACTCCAAAACGTTCAGCTCGTTTTTTTCTTCTCTCCAATTCTGCTGTCAAATCTGGTTGACTTTTAGAGACTGGCAACGATGGTTTCTCATCAAATATAATTTTTTTACAAGTAAAACCAGATGGCTTAATAAGAATATCGGAACTTGTGGTTGATGTCGCATCATCTTTAATCGATGTATTAGAATCTTTTTGTTTATCATCGATTGTGGTCAGGTTGTCCTTTGAAACTTCAATTTTTGGTTTATTAGCCAAGGTTTCTTTATTAGAAAGTGAAGGGGAAGTAGGAGAGTCAGGAGAATCAAAATCTTTGGATAAATTTGCAATATCACTAAATAATAAATATTATAACGAAATATATTAATATTTTCAATATTTTTTCAAGCCGCGAAAAAAAGAAATAAAATATTCATAAAAATAAACTTACTCCGTAGTAAATTTCTCCCAATCATCATCAAGTCCAGTTGGAAGAAGTTCGTTTGGTGAGACTAATATATCTTTATCAAATAGATCCGTCTCACTACTTTTTGGTTCGATATTTAAAGCCGTTTGACTAGTTTCAGTAAATCCGATATTAGTAGTAATTATATCCATATTGTTATTATTTTTATTGTCATTAATATTATTATTGCTAGTTCCTTCCGGTTTATTATCTTCGGCTGCCAAAATTCTAAAAATTAACTCTTCTTTTTTTCCAGATACAGGCAATCCTTTTTTAGCCAAAAGCTCTTTAAGATCAACTATTTTAAGCTGACGAAGTTTTGACTCTGTAGTAGACATGTTTATGTTTTAATTTAATTATTTAGATAACTTTTTTTTTCAATATAAATATAAATTTTATGCTAAAATATAACTTCTTATATGGCTGAACATGTGTTACACAGAATTGCAGGGATCAAATTTTGTAAGTTCCTCTTTGATAAATATAGGAAGGCAAGAAAAAAAAATTTTTTGTTATGAGTGATTAAGTGGCGTGCAGTGAACTTGCTAGGCAAAACTAGTGTTAGGGCACAGACAACTTGCTAGGTTATCTGATGTTCAGGTCTTATAGTGACCTGGCTATACATGTTCCCAAAATTGATTTTTGATTTTTGGGATATTTTGTCTTTTTGAGATTTACACAGAATCTATTCTATATATAGAAGTAAAAAAAATACCTAGTTAAGTGTATCTTTAATCAAAGAATTTATCTGGGCAGTCAAAAAATTTGGATTTTAAGTAAAATAATTTTGTTTTCTATGAAAAACTATTTTGACTTTTTTTCTCAAAATTGTAATTTTGGAACTCAAAAATAATTTTGCATGCAAGTATAGACCTGACACTTTGATCTATTTGACATAGGAAAATGTGCTAGGTTAACTGTTATTCAGATGAAATTGAAGTAAAAATTGTTTTAGAATATTAACTAAGACAATTTGAATCTTTACAACTTGTTACAATAATAATTTTTAAATAAAGTAAATTAATAATTAAAAGAATATAATTATATATTAGATAAAAAAAGATTAAGAATTATAATTTATAGCTAATTTTAGTTTGGTAAATTTAATATTAAAAGAAATTTTTGCTAATGGTTTTTATTTTAAAGTTAAAATAATTAATATAGATAATTTACAAAAGTATAAATCAATTAAATATATTAAATTTTTTTTTGTATCTTTTATTTTAAAATTATAATAAATGGAATTAAGATATTACAAAAAATATTTATCATCAATTTGAATAATTTGAATATAAATTTATTAAAGTTTGATTAGCTAAAGAAATAATTAAAATAATAAAAACTTTGTTTTGTTTATTTGAATTATATAATATTTGACAATAATATATTAATCAATAAAAACAAACTTGTCTTGAAAATTTGACATGTCTATATAAATAAATTTACTGATTATTACTTTGTCTCCTGTAATTTATAAACTGTTCTTGAAAATACACTTGTAAAATTAAATACTAAAATATAAATGATTTTTTTCAGTTTTATGTTAGTATATAATTACTTCAATTATAAATTCTATAAATGGAATATTGTTGATTTCCTTGACTACAAAAGAATTATTGTATCAAAGGGTAATTCCTATATTATAGATTAATAAAAAATCAGTAAAAATCAACTATCCTATTACATCCTATATTATACATTAGCAAAAATTGAAAATCCTTTTTGATATGGTAATTTTTTTTATATTTAATCTTTGTAATGAATGTGAATAGAAATCTTTCAAAAAAAAATAAATAACTACCTTAAAAATTTTAAGATTATTTTGACAGTAAGTAGGGTAAGAAAAAAAAAAGCAAAAAAAAAAAAAAGATAAAATATTACTTAATAAATATAAAAAGTAAATAATAATTATATTAAAATTAATAATTATAAAATAGTAATGTGACAAGAGCCTAGAGATGGTGTTCCTAATTATTTTTCAAAGTCTGTAATTTTGTAAATTTTTAATGGAATTTCACAATTAATTATGAATTTTTATATAACAATGTTTCTATTTTTAGAATCTTTTTATATTTCTTATTTTAAAATAATATTTTTTATATCTTAATTAAATATTTCTACTAAAGATAATTGGTTCAATTAATATTAGATCTAGCTCAATAATTGTATATCTGGTTAATTGATTTTCTCCTGACTAAATTCTAGTTCAATAGCTAAATGGAACTAATTTTTTTTTTAAATAACTAGTGTAGTCTTGTCTTTATTCATATAATAAATTTCAGTAATAGTATTTAAACTATTATAAAAAAATACAAATTTGAAAATAAAAACTAGCTAGAATTATTTCTAATCTATAGCTTAACTGTTTACTATAAAATATATATACACTTTATCAAACTAAAAACAATTTGAATCTAAACAAAAAAATATTTTTTCATCATTTTAACTTCTTCTTTTCTTAAGAAATAATATTCCACCCACTAATTTTAAAACTCCATTCTATATTATTAAGTTGAGTTTCATATTTTTCTTAATTTTTAGGAGTAGTTTCTCATTGTAGACCTTCTCTTAATTTTTGTAAATACATATCAATTTGTTTTGAACTATGTTTATTAACTCATGAATAGTTAAATAGGATTATATAATTAAATTCTAACTAAATTCTGATGCAAATATAATTAGCTAGTACAACTATGATCATATGAAAAAATCATTATTATAATTAAATAATTATTTAATTATTAATCTACATGTGATCAATAGAAATTATATAGAAAATTGTGATGCAAATTTCTTATATAACAATTTTGATTGTCATCTTGTATTATAAATACAAAAATAATTCACTATAATGATAGCATATTTACAATTATCATGTATATATCAGATTTCAATAAAATAAACTTTTTTAAAAAAAAATTATTTATTATAATTTAAGAAATTTTATATAGGGAAAAAAAAGATTTTATAAGTATATTCTACTAATTATTAGTATGTTCTGCTAATTTTTATCTAAATAATTTTTCTTTTAACATTATTGACAAAAACTAATTAATAAGAAAATTCACCAGTCACATAAATATAAATAAAAATGAAATGTTATCAGTTAAAATAAGCTTTCCTGAATAAGTAAAATTTTTTTTTATCAAATAATATAATGCCACAATTACTATATAATTTCTATTGATCACATGTGGATCAGTAATTAAATTATCAATATTAATATTTTTAATAAATTGTTTTCAAATATTAATAACTTTATGAATATTAGTGTTACAAAAATGAAACATATATCACTATGTAGTTAAGAACTAGAACTTTCAATTGGTTATAGAAATATAATAGTAAAAAATTACTTTAAATTACATAAAATGGATTTGAATTAAAAATAAAAATAATTATTTTAAATATTAAAATCTTTTCAAATATTAATATTAGAAAAACAATTTAACTATTATTTTGAAGCTTATGATAAGAGCTTTCAAATGATTTTAGAATTTATATTTAATAATAATTACTTAATAAATTTTATAATTGCACTAGTTAATTAGAATTGTATTATTATTTAACCTTTGCACCAGAATTTAGCCATTGCATCAGATTGCACCAGGACAATTCCTGAACTCAATTGGTTAAATTTCTGACTCAATTAATATTGTATCTACCATCTTTAATCTTTACATCAAGTTATTAAAAAATAATTTATTTAATTAATAATTAAAATTCAATTAATTAAATGAAGTTATCTCTATAACCTGTGATTCAATTTTTATAATCTATAGTCTATTCGATTCTTCTTATCAAGGTGAACATTTTGATAGTTATTTTATTAAAATTAAATGTAAATATGTCAAGTTATTAACTAAAAATAATTTGTTTATTTCTGATTAAAATTAAAAAATTTTTTATAAAAATAATTATAGACTTGTAAAAAAATTGTAAACTTGTAAAACAATTACAGACTTGTAAAATAATTATAAACTTGTAAATAATTGCAAATTGCAGAAATTGCAAATTTTTACCATTGAAATCCTTAATAATTGTGATATAGGTAGTAATATCATAATCTTTAATTCATAATTACAGATATCATCTTTACAAGAATCTCCTTAGTTTTTGTTATTCAAAGCTCTTTACTAAGTCATAAAATTAGTGTCAAAATACAGACACAAGTCAAATACAAAAGATATGCTGTACTGAAAAGGAATTTCAATTTTAGCTGATTTATAATACTGTATAGAATACAATAGAACAGTTGATTGTTACTAATTTTTAGCTGATCTATAGTATAGGAATTACCATTTGGTATAGTGATTCTTTTGTATTTGACTAGTGAAGTGATCTCTTCAGCTGTCTATTGTTTAAAGCTTCTTATTGACCTTGCACTAGTTTTACAAGATAAGGTGACCTCCTCAGTTGTCTGTGTTCAAAGCTCTTTGTTGACTTGTTAAGATAAGAAATTAGATGATAAATTGAAAAACTATATATTATAATATTAATTATATATTATTTTCTATTACTTATATGTGGTAGAGTATTCAAATTGACTACAAATGTGTCATGAATTGGAATAATAAATATGAATCATGTGAAACAAGTTCTGGTCCTTTAGTTAATATTCACAATTTAGCATTTTTTAGAAATATTGTAACTTTCAACAATAGAACTATAAATAGTTAACCATTAAAGAAAAGAAATAATGCAAATTAAGAGGAAGTACAGATAAGTACAGATGTACATTTTTTATCTGCAAATTGAAAATCAGAAGAACTAACCATTTTATATTTCAATATTTAAGTTGATTCCAATAATCAAAACAAAAAAAAAGACAACAAATAATTAGGATTATAAGTTTACAAAAAGTGGAATTATTTATGGATTTAATAACAAATTTTGAATCTCATAGATAAATTGAATATCCAGGAGAACTTTGAAAACAATAAGATAAAATAATTGCTAAAAATACTTGTGATGTCTTTTCATATTTGATAACTAATTATATTATTAAGACCTTATTTTAATACTGCTACTAATCCACCAGTAAACATTTTCAGTATAATCAAGTACTCTCAAAACAGAAGTGATTATTATATGTGTATAAATTCTTATCTATACTATATAGTTTTGACAAAATATTTAAAAATATTTATTTCTTTTTATAGGACTCAAATAAGAAATCATTAAAAAACCTACTTGGTGATAATCTTTAATACTTTGAAAATATGAAATCTATCTACTAATATCATAATGCATTTTGTCGGGAAACTACTAAATAATAAGTGGTCAAAAGAGGAATTTATAAAAATTGGTAGAAATGATTCGATTTTATTGATGATGACTGTAAACTTTTAGTTCAAAATTCTAAATATCAAATATTTGTAGTATGGGATTCATAAAGGAATGGTATTTAATTGTTACAATTTAAGAGAGGAGGATGAAGTGAATAATATGTTTGGTCTAGAATCAATTTTATAATCAAAGGTAATGTAATTTTATTAATGGATCTGGGATTAATTAGAACAATAATTATGCTATAAATGTTATGAGTTTACTGGGAAGTATATGTATTAATTTTGTTGATTTCATTTATTATATTAATAATAATAATATTATTATTTTAAATTGTGTGCATTATAAAAATTTTGTTAAATTTTCGGATATACAATTTTATTTTATTTTATTTTTTTTTAATTCTACAGTGCAAATGAAGTGGATCTTATGGCAGTTCAAAGATATCGAAACTTAAAAGAAAACTCTCGATTCATTTATTATATACTAATCCTATTCTGATATACATACATATACAGTGAACCCTCTATAAATGCACCCTCTATAAGGTGCACTCCTCTATAAATGCACCCTATACCCCAGTCCCGTCTACTAATAACACTTATAAAATTTCCCTCTATAAATGCATTCCCTCTAATTGCACCCTAATGCTGATTCCCCAGGGAGTGCATTTATAGAGAATTCACTATATATATATATATGATTGATACCTGGTTTGAAAAAACCGAAAAGAATAATTAGAAATCTCTTACTGATCGATTCTGATTATAACGATGATGTTATGTGGTGGTGATGATAATGATGAAGTAATAACTTATGAATATTCTCTTGAAAAAAAATTTTCAATACAATACAATATTAATTAAATTTGATTTTAAATTTTAAGATATTTCTTCCTTATCAAAAAATATCAGTATATAAAATGGAGTTTCTTCAGATACTATGGATCCTATTGAACTTACTACAACCAAATACAGTGTAAAATTATATTATTGATCAAGAGTTAAATGTTCTTCTAAATCAAACTATAAATTATAAAGTAATGAATAGTTAAGATAAAAGTTTAAACTATTAAAATATGGTGCAAAATAAAGGGGAGAATTGAGAGGTGATGATTAAAATATTTTACATCGAGTATAAAGTATTAATATAATGCTGACATATTATATTATCTAAAGAAGAAAAGTTTAAAATTCTTTTTCGTTTTTAGCTAGTTACATAATTTCATACAATTTAGCACTATAAAATAACTCTTTCAAATTTATACGACGCAGCTTGCCTTTTATCTTTTTATTATCATCTTTTTAGATTAAAGTTTAGTTTTGCATTGAGGCAGCAAAACTCCTTGGATCCACCACGGAATCCACAATATGCATGTCGCCAAAAGTAGAAAGAAATTTTAATTATCTATGTACATCAAAATAATTATGTCAATTGCGTCATTTGTTAATTTCCATATGACTCAATTAGTTTTGATGACATATATAATTCAAAAAAAAATTCGTAAATATTATATTCAGTATATTTAACTTATGCATGATCGTATAGTTTAATAAAATACAATACAGAGAGGAGTTCATTTCCATCACAGAACAAAGAAATTCACATCAATTAACTATTTGGTAAAGATTATTAATAAATAAAATACTTATTATTATTGCAGGAAATATTTATGAACTTGACTTGGTAAATTAAATAAATTAAATCAAGTTTGAATTATTAAAAGCATTAAAACGTTTTTCAAAAACATATGCTGTAACGTTCCACAAAAGAATATTAGAAATTTTCATGATGCATATACCAATCAAACTTGATATGTCAAAGTGTATCACATAAATCCATCTTAAATCACGTTTTCGATAATCTCTAACTTTTTATTAATCAATATGATCTAATATTATTAAATATTATTTGCTTAAAGACAACAAATACTTTAATGAATTTAAATAATTTGTAATGATTAAAAAATATAAATTAAATAAATTATAATAAGAAACATCATTGTTAATTAATAATCATCACTTACTTGTATAATATAAAAGCTCGTTTCTCTTCTGCAGAAATAATTTGATTTTCTTTACGAATACGAACTTGCATCCATACGTTGATGACTATAAAAAAATATGCAATTTGATCGAATTAATCAATTTGTTAATATATTGTAAATAATATTACTCGTTAAATAATATTAAAACAACATACCGATTACCACTCATGACAAAACCAACATCTTCGAAAGATTGAATTTCCCCAATTATTTTTTTAACCATTATACGAAGTAAAATTATACATGTATTTTCTTTTTTTTTTTTTTTTCTTTTTCAGATGTAACTCAATCAATTTCAAAATTTTATTATTTTATTTTATTCATTAAGAAAATATTTTACAAAAATATAAAAATAGCTAATTCAAATTTTCTTTTTTCTATTTTCCGCTTTCTATTAATAAAATTATAAAACGCTTACATTATCAACGTTTCTTGGTTTCCAGTTCGCGTTAGGAAATCTACAAATAGAGAGACGACGTACAGGCGTAGCCTATAATACGCCGCCATTAGCATTAAACAGCAAACAAACAAATAGAATAAATAAAATAAATAGAAACCACCCACCTCGCCACCTAAATCTTCTAAAGCTTCTTTCTACCAAACCTACCTCAAATATCGTCGTCCTAATAAGATGTGGAAAATAAAAAAAAAACAACGGTTAATATTTTTATTCTTTAATATTCTTATATAATCTTTAATAATAATAGTAAAAGTAAACTTGAAATTAGAAAAGCGAAAAAAATGAAAAAAAGAAAAGTTAGGACAGAAAAAATGAAGTGGAAAGTAAAATAACTGAGGAATTTATTTATAATCTTAATTATGTCATTTAATGTCATCGAAACTTTTTAGAACCCAGAAACTTTCGATTGTTTTTCAAAAAAGGAAATTTGTATGAGATAATCCGGGTTTTAAAATTCGAAATTTCAAAGTTATCTTAATTACAGATTAGCATATGATTATAGATAAAATTGATCAGTTTTTTTTTCTTATGATTAATTTCATTTTCTCACTTTTTCTTCATTTTTCCCGTTTTTCCTAATTCCTTTAAATTCTTATTGGCGATGACAGTGATGAACAGTGATGAATTGATAATAAAAAAAAAATCAGATGTATTCTATGCCGTTTTGCGGATAATTGTTTCGCGAGATTTATTTGATTGATTGTTTGATTTCTTAATCAATCTCTATACATTAAGGCCTGACGTCAGTATTGATAGCATTTGGTTCTTTATATTCCCGAACTAAATTGAGGTAGTTGATTATCGGTGATCATAATGTATTGTGTTGATTAATGCACGGCACGAAGTTCGTCTGTGCGTATAGAATTCATTATCGGCGATATACAGTAGTATGCCCAATAGATGAATTTGTGTCATTCCACATATGTCGAATTTCTAGGCGAATATATCATTGGTGGTATACGTGTGACGTCACGGACACGAAATCTGCGCCATCAAAAAAAAGTTATATAATATGATTTGTATTGGTGGTATACGTGTGACGTCACGAACACGAATCTGCGCCATCAAAAAAAGTTATATAATATAAATGATTTGTATTGAAAAATATAAATATGATTTACATGTTTCAAGATTAAAAAAAAAAAAAAATTATTTCAAAACTACAATTATGAACTTCTGTAATTTCAATTTTTCAAAATCTCTAATTATTTTACTATACCGAAAATAATTTGTATATCTTTGGATTAAAGAATATTGAATTAGGTGGAATGCTTTTGCATTAACAATTTCATTATTATTTGTGACATTAGAAAGATATGGTATAATCTTGGATATCTGATCCTAAAAGGATTATGAAAAAAATCCTTATCATCATCATCATCATTATAATTTAATTTATTATTAAAAGGGATAATAATTTAATAGTAAATAATAGTTAATATATATTCGAATAATTTATTTTAAGCCTTGCCATTTCCTGTTCGAGCATTATCATAATTTTCAATAAACCAATCAGCTGATTCTTTTATAGCTATAAAAAAAATAAGAAGAATAATAAATTGTTATTATTAAAGTGTTAGAGAATAATAAAAAATAAATTAATAAATAAATATAACAAAAATTTACCAATTTCAAATGGAGTAAATTTAAAATCTGGAAGATATTTAAGTAATTTTTCATTACTCGCAGTTTTCTTATATTGACCATCTGCTTTAGTGGTATCAAACTAGAAAAAAAGGTGAGAGGAATTAATTAATTAATTTGTATGTTATGATCATTTGATTTAGATATAAATACTAACAGTATAATCCCCTTCAAAATTTAAAGCTTTAACAATGGAATCAGCAACATCTTTGATGGAAACCTCATCTTTTTCAGAAACTAGAAATTTTTTAAAAAACACTCACACATGTAAATTTGAGTTCATGAATTCATAATAATAATTATAATAATAATAGATATATTATTAAACGAATTACTACACATTTTAAATAATACCTGACAAAATGACTGGTTCAATTTCATCATATTCTCTTAATGCCCAAATAATTAATTTCGCAAGATCTCGTGAATAAATAAATTGACGAAGTGGTTTACCAGTACCAGCAACAATAAATGGAGTTCCATTTTCTAAATTAATATTAAATTAAAATTATTAAATCAATATTATTAAATTTATTAAATTAAAATTATTAAATTAATATTATTAAATTAATATTTCTCCACAAAAAAAAGAATTCATCCACGAAGGGAATTTAAGAAAGAAAAGAAACGAAAATGAAATGAAATGATTAACGAACTTTTAGCGAGATAACACTTATGAAGTAAACCAGGAATAACGTGCGAATCTTGCAAATCATAATTATCATGAGGACCAAAGACATTAGTTGGAATGATGGAAGTATACTTATCACCAAATTGGTCATTATACGCTCTAAAAATCAAAATCAAAAATAATTTTCTCTGAATTTCTCGATTTATCAATTTATCAATTTTGTTTTTTTTTTTAAAAAAAAAAAAAGAAAAAAGAAAAAAAACCAATTTGTTCTTTACTTATTTTGAATATCAATTAAACGTTTAGCGTGAGCGTAACCAAAATTAGATTCATGTGGAGGACCATTATGAATCATAGTTTCATCAATTGGATAAGTTGTCTTGTCAGGAAAGATACAAGTAGAAAGACATGATACAACTTTTTCAACCTATTAAAAGAAATATGATTAATTTAATTTAATTATATCTTATTACATTTTTAAAAAATTAAATAAAAAAATACCTTATATTGGTGAGCGGAATGTAATATATTATCATTAATTAATATATTATCTCTCAAGAAATCTAATTTATATTTCATATTTTTAAAAAGTCCTCCAACCAAAGCCGCCAGATGTATCACGTGAGTTGGCTTATATTTTTGAAAGATGGCGTGTGTAGCTTCCATTGACCTATTTCAAGACAACAAACAATATTTTATAAAAATAAATATATTTTAAAAATGATGAAATAATTATCATAATAATCACCAAAATAACCGTCGTAATAATAATAAAAAAATGTACACAATATAAAAAGAGAGAATTGAAAGTGACTAAACATACCTTAAATCTCCGTCTTTACTATTAATAAATATCCATTTTTCTTTTTCCTTCGAACCAAACTTTCCTTTATCATTATTAATTACCCATTCAATGGCTTTACCTACAAGTCCACTCCCACCAGTAACTAAAATTACTTTATCGTTATTCATAATGATTTAATTGTTTTAATTGAAATGATTTGAAATAATTGAAATAATTGAAAGCAAAATTTAGGTAGTACTGTAATAAAAAATCATACAGTTTATAGTTGTAACTGTACGACCGTACAACCATCATTAATTTTTTTTTTTTTAAAAAATCATTTGAATTTTTCATAAATCACATTTTGGTTTCTATCCCCCAACAATAACGCAAGCCAATAGAGTTAATAACACTTCTGCTATTTTCTTCCTTTTTTTATCAAACTTAAAATTTGGGTATTATACCTTGATAATACTTGAGATATATTCAGCAAAGGGATAATTAAATTTCTTTGATTGAACTCAAAATTATTTTTTTAACGCCTCAAATCTGAGCTTCCGCCTTGCTTTGTTGGTTATCCTATTCTCGAACCCATTTATCCTCTCTTTCCATCCTTTCTATTCCTCCTTTACCTTCAATTTTTCTAAAGATCAAAAAAAGTCGATGAGTAATATTGAAGAAACCGATAAAACTCCCCTTAGAGATTTACTTAGGAGAGTAGCCCGAGCGTTCTTTCAAACTCAACATATTGTAGTATTAGATCAGCTCGCCTTTCATGAACAAATAAGTGACGAAAATTTGGCAAAATGTGTTGGACTTACTGTTAAAGAGATCCATAAACTTTGCGGTAATTTGAAAGAAGCGCGACTAATTAAAACTTATACCAAATCCGAACCAAAGAAAGCGGAAGCAAGGGCGATTCCTAGAACTTATTATAATATAGATTGGCAACAAGTAATTTTTAGTATTATTTAAATGTATTAAATGTATTAAATGAATTAAATGAATTAAAATATGTTTATTTGTATTTAATTGTATTGATAATAATTATTTATATTTTAATTATTATTATTACTATTATTATTATTATTATTTTAGGTGGTTAATGTTATTAAGTGGAAAATTTATCGAATTCGTCAAATGGTGAGCGAGCGAATGAGAAATGTAAGTATTCAATATTTAATATCTAATAATAATATCTAATAATATCTAAAATAATAATATCTAATAATATCTAATAATAAATAATAATATTACTTAATAATAACACCTAATAATATTACTTAATAATAATATAATAGGAATTAGAAAACAAGGGATATTTATGCCCATGTTGTAAAAAGACATTTGCACCACTTGAAGTTCGTAATTTGCTTGATGATGCCAAACAAGCATTTTTGTGTGATGTATGTTCCACGGAATTAATTCACAACGATAATGCCGAGAATGTTAAAGGGACAGAATTGCTTCACGGAAGATTCATGGAGCAAAGTCAACCAATTATTGATTTATTAAAAATTATTGACAAAATGGTTATACCCGAGTATGTATTTATATATTATATATGTACACATAGATCATACATATATATATATATATATTATACAATAATACACTTTATTATATGATCACTACTCTCTCTTTTTTATAATCACCTTTTTATGTTCGAAAAGTTCCTCGATTAATCAATTACAAGCCTCAACTGGTGCTAAAGGTGGTCAACCTGGTTCTACTCGTAAGTTATCATAAGTTATTATTATTATTATCATCATCATTATTATTATTATTTTATCATTATATCATTAATTGATAATAATAATGTGATTTATTGTTTTTAAATTATTTATTTAGGTGAACAGGATTTACAATATTCTCAAGATACTGGAGCAAATTCAGGAGATATTGTTGTTGTGTTTCAAGATGATAATGAATCATCTAAAATTGACAAACAAAATGAGATGGCAAAGAAACGGTGAGAGATAATAATAATAATAATAATAATTAATTAATTAATTAATTAATTATTAAATTATTATTATCATTATTTATTAAATCATTTATAATTAATATTATTTTATAATTAATTATTAAATTAAATTATTATCATTATTTATAATTAATTTAATTATAAATAATTTATAGACAACAGAATGCATTACCAGCCTGGCATGCTCGTAGTACAGTATCGGGAGATGCTACGGTAACAAATACAGGAATTTTAGATGCTGCACAAGAAAATGAACATCAAAATTCCGAAATAGTAAGAGTAAATGAGAAAGATGAACAGCGAGTTTGTAAATATTATTTCCATTCATTAATAATATTTACATTATTAATATTAATAATAATTATTTACATTAATAATAATTATTAATATATTTATATTATTAATACTTATATTCATTGATATTTAATATGAAGTCTATACGGATTATTATGAAAAATATAAGAATGATACTGATGGATCACCAATGATTGATTTGGAAGAGGAAGAATTTGAAGAAGTGGAATTTGGTGTAGTGGAAGAAGTGGAATTTGGTGTAGTGGAAGAAGTGGAATTTGGTGTAGTGGAAGATGAATTTATGGATGAATTTGAAGAAGTTGATATGAACAATAATATTAATGACGATGACGATAACGATAATAACGATAATGATGATAATGATGAAAATAATAATAATAATAATAATAATAGTAATAATAATAATCATAATCATTATTATCACCATCATCAAAATGGGATCTCACATCATAATGATGATAATGATTTTGGTGATGATGATGATGATTATGATAGTAGTAATTCTCAAGAACTCATGAGATATAAGTAAGATTTAATTATTTCATTCATTTATATTTATTCATCCCTGATCATATTAATTTATATTTATTATTATTATGATCATTACAGAAAACGATCACGAACAAGTTCCGTTGAAAAAAATTATAAGAATCGTGGTACAAAAAATGGTAATAATTCTAATGGTAATCATCATTATTAATTATTATTATGTAATTATTATTATGTATTGATAATCATTGTTGGTAAGAATTAATTTTAAATGATATTCTTTGTTTGTTTAATTTTTGGTTTATTTATTTATTTATTTATTTATTCATTTATTTATTAATTTAATTTAATTTATTTTATTTACTTATTTATTTATTTATTTATTCATTTATTTATTAATTTAATTTAATTTAATTTATTTGCTTATTTATTAATTTTTTTAACTCATTAGATTATAAAATTCTTTCTTTAAATTATTTAAAATTTGTTTAATTTGTCTAAATGTATGTATTGCGAGACCAAAGACCAAAGGTAAAGGCATATGTATATAGATAGATATAGAGAGAGATAGATAGATATATGTATGTCATATACCATTTTATAGTCAATTTTTCATTTTATTAATTTGCAATAGAAGCTAACAAAATAAATGAATGAAAGTTCTCCAAACAATTAGACAATTAATTATTATTATTGATATTATTACTTTTTTTTTTGTTGATTTTCTATTGATCAATTTTATCATGAAACAAAAATATATCTACTTTATTAGATATTAGGGAATAAACTTTATATTCTGTTCTTAATTATGGTTTAATTTTTCAGCAAAATAAAATAAAATATGTATTCATAATTAATGTCTTTTACTCCGGCTACTACTCCGCCTACTCTGTTTATTTCATCTACTCCGGCTACTCCGTCTACTCCGTCTACTCCATTTATTCCGTCTGCAAGTGATCTCGTATGACCCCGATGACGTACATGACTAAATAAAATCAATTAAAAAAAAAAAAAAAAAGAGATTATATTATAAAAATGGTAATTGATATGATCAATGAAATATTGATAGATCAATCCGTTTTGAGTTACTACTACCCCTACTCTCCTTAAATTTAATTTATAAATGGTTAATTGAATTGTCTAAATAAATTATTTATACACTCATGAATCGGAATTTCTAATTAATATAATTTTTTTATTCTTTTAAATAAATTTATGGGTTCTTTGTTTTTCCATAGAATCAATTTTATATTAAAAAATTACAACTTTTACTTAAGAGCCAAAACAAGAAATTTGATCTTTTTTGGCATATATAAAATATAAAAAAATAGTCGGATAAAATAAGAATCAAAATAAGAAATTTTGATCTTTTTATAAAAAACAAAGTGAGAGCCAAAATAAGAATTTGGTATATTATCTTATATATATATATAATAATAATAGAAAAAACAGTCGGATAAAATATCTCCGCATTTACTATAATCAATAATTCCTTCTATAGAATCAATTTTATAAATTTTATATTACAACCTTTGAAATTACAATTTTAACTTAATTGCTGATCCGCCTAAGAACGGCACTATTTATATAATAAAATTTGAGACTAATAAAAACTATAGCGTAAAAGTACTATAAAAATATATAGGTTTTAAAAATTGATTTTTTCGGCGCATAAGAACATATCTTTATTTTTTTTTGAAAAATTTACCGGACTTTTTACAAAAGAATGACCAAATAGAATACTTAATAGATACTAAAATTTCATCTATGATTATATTGTAAAAATTTATACTTACCTATATACGCCGTCCAGATTCCAACCTATAATTCCGTTCATCACATCACAAACGAATTAAGGTTATTTAATCAATCTTAAATCAGTTATTCATTTAATTGACGATTATTCCATTTATGATTTAATGGGTAATGATTCTATTTTAATTTCTTGATTTGGTATAATAATCTTCGCATCCGATTATAGATCATTATAAAAATGAGATTAAGGAAACAATGTATTCCAGATTCTTCCATGTTTATTTTTATTGCCACAATCGAACTTCAACCTAATTTGTAATGAAAATGGAAAAATCATTATAAATTTAAGTGTTATCTAAAAAAAATAAAAAAAAAAATAACAAATAAAAATAATTGAAATCCATTTATTTCGATTTTTTATTAAAAAAAAAAATTTAAATAAATCGAAATAAATCAAAATAAATCGAAATAAATTGAAATAAATTGAAATAAACGAAAATAAATTTATTTAAATTAATATTTGAGAGGAATTTTTTTTTTTTTAAAAAAAAAAAAATGGCAATTAAAGAGAAAAAATCAACTTTTGAAGATGTGATTGAAAACGAAAATGTCGTCGTTAATATTTCTACCACTGATAATAACGAGAACAACAACGACGATAAAGACAACAATGATAATAATGATAATAATGATAATAATGATAATAATAGTAATAATAATATTAAAAAGAAACATGTTGGTATTCTAGCACGTCCTTACCTTTGGATATTATTATTACTATTTTTCATTCCGGCGATAGTATTGCAACGATTTGAGATACACCATTTGATATTATTTATATTCAATTTTATTGCCATAATACCTTTATCAAATATTTTAACTTTGGGTATTGATGATTTGACGACTAGGACCGGACCCGTACGTTTGTTTTTTATTTTACGTTTTTATTTTTATTTTTTATTTTTTATTTTATTTATTTTATTATTTTTTAATTATTATTTTTTATTACTTATCATCACTTATCATCATTTATCATTAGAAATATGCAGCGTATGCATCAGTTCTTCATGCATTCTCGGGAAATTTCGTAGAATTGGTGATCGAATCTTTTGCATTGGTTGATAAAGAATACGCAATCGTACGTTCGGCCATTCTAGGTTCGGTTTTATGTAACATAACTTTGGTAAGTAAATATATCAAGATATATAAATATAGATATCTGGGGACCAGCATTTATGGAGGGAGTGCATTTATTATAGAGAAAAAATTTTAAGTTCACCACACACGCATTTAAAGGGGTGTACTTATAGAGAGTTAACTGTATATTATTATTTTATTATTTTAATTTATTTATTTTATCAATAATAATATAATTTTTTTAAAGGTATTGGGAGTAGTATTCTTGGCAGGATCATGGCCAACTCATAGAAGAAGAGCCAGTAAATTTCATATTAAAGATTCATCATTTGAGGCAAAATTATTTGTGGATACAAGTTCTTCAATATTAGCTTTAGCAGTTCTTGCTTTAGTTATCCCTGCTGCATTTAAAATTGCCAATACACAAAGTGGTGAAGATATTAGTCCAAATGATTTAGAATGTGATGTACAAAATATTAGTCGCGCCACTTCGATTATTCTTTTATTAGTGTTTTTTGGTTTATTGGTATTTCAATTGAAAACTCACTCTGATCAAGTAGTTGATGCTAAAGAATTTGAATTGTTTCAATATAGATATCATTGGCTTATTGATTTTTTATTGTAAGTTGTTGATACGATAATCCTTCTCTTCTTTTTTCTTTTTTTTTTTTCCTTTTTTTTTCATTTTCATTTTGTTTTAGGATTACGATAGCTATAAGTGGAATTATATTTTGTGCTCGATATCTGGTGACAAGTGTGGAAGAGCTTGCTGAGGAATATCAATTGGGATCCGGATTTATTGGAGTTGTTATTTTCCCACTTTGCGGTATATATGTTTATAATATATAATAATATAAATATATAAATATATAATTTTATTATAAATATTATTTTTCCAATTCACAATCAATTTAATTTACAACTCTCTTTATCAGTATGTTCAAATTTCATTGAACATTTTACTGCAATAAGATGTGCTTACCATGATCGAGTCGATACTGCGATGGGTTTAATTATGAACACTTCAGTGGTTAGTATCAATTATTATTATTATTATTATTATTATTATCATTATCATCGTGTATTTAAAAAACAAATTCTTTTATCAATTTTTTTTTTCGTTCTTTTCTTTAAATAGCAAATGATACTATTAGTAACACCTATATTAACAATTGCCGGTTGGATTATGGAAAGACCATTAACCTTGGATTTCAATGTATTGGAAATTTCAGTTTTGGCTTGTGCCGTTTTAATTGTGAATTTTCTTGTTGCCGTAAGTAATAAATTAATATATATACGCGCGCATTTCACACGTAAAAAAAAAATTTAATTAATTTAAATTTATTTTGATTTTTAGGATAATCGAGCGAATTGGTTAGAAGGATATATGTTAGTTGTAAGTGTGTTTGTTTGTTTTTTAGAAAATTCAAATCAAATATATATATATAAAATCAATTCATTAATTATATTGCATATTTTATATAACTGTAAATATTAGGTTTCATATTTCCTTATAGCCATCGCATTCTTTTATCTTCCAAGTCCTCCGGAAGAAGATAAAGATTTATACCATTGTAATCCGTTTAGTCGTAATTTACTTCGGAAAAACATTACAGTGACGTTAGAACATTAACTAATTAATTAACCAACTCATTAGCTCATTAATCAATTCATTAATTCATTTATAAATTCATTAATTCATTAACAAATTCATTAATTCGATGACAAGTCATTACAAATATTCACCTATTTAAAAAAATAAAATTCATATTTATAAAACTAAATAATGCAAGGTTTTTTTTTTTTTTGATATCAAAATTATACGTTTAAAGCAAAAGATTATTTTTACAGATTAAAAAAAAATAAAGATTTATTGTTATGTGATTAATTCTGTGCTTATTGTTATATGCGATTAGTGAAAATTAATGAAAATTAATGAATGATATTAAGAAAAATAGATGATTCGAAAATGTTAAATGTTTAATGTATAATGCAAAAAAAAAAAATAACAAGATATTCATGCAATCTATCTAATTTTAAAAATTTGCATTTCTCTCTAAACATGTTTGTTTACACAGAGTCAAAAGGTCGTTTATAATAAAATTTGGTACAAATTTAATTTTTGGTACAGAAATTAAATTGTAATTTGTTGTACGAATTAAGTCTGTTCAACTTAATTCCAGTATAAAATAATCAAAGGAGAGTTATTGAAATGAATCAATTATTAACAAAATGCCTGGTAGGCTTAATCAGTTGAATTCTTTTAAAAGAAGTTTGCTTTGACGCTCAAATAACAAAATATTCACTTTATATTAGATAATCGTGAAGAAATAGCAAGAGATATATCTTGCTATGGATTACCATATGGAACATGGGGGATAGCTTCTGGTTAGTGGCGTCTGTCACAACCATTCTCACATTTGCGAAACCTCCCAGAAAACAAAATTTGCTATTATTAATTGCCAAAATTGTTATGACGATAGGACCAGTCATCTATACATGTGTCCGTTGTAATAAAGAATGGGTATTTGTACTTATGGCATGTGGGAAGCTCGCTCCGTGGGCTCTCAAAATGCTTAATGATCGTATAACTTTGAAATTTAAGAATGAAAAAACATTACGGACGATAAAAGGACTTGTCAAATTTGGCGCGAAAGACAAGTCAAAATATGATGATAAAAATGGAGATGACTCAGATGATGAGGATACTAAAAATAAATCAGTAACTAGAGCGTTAAATAAGATCTTATCCATTTGTGTTGTCTTGGCGATAATTGTACTGTGCATTGGTGGTTGGGCAGCTTTGATGAAGTTTATTTTAATGGTGGCGCCGCCAAAGTATAGTGACACGCTTAACGTTAGTTTAGCGTGGATAAGTGTAATCATCTCATCGATAATATTTATAGTGGTTCTATGCTGTCTTTCAGTATGTCTCAGTGTGTGCATAAATAAGATATCAAAATGTTTTGGATCATCTGATGACATAGTGAGTGTTATGATAATTTACTTTTTAGTAGCATCTCATGTCTTTTTTTCGCACATAATTCTTGCTGAACTTTATAAGAATTGGAATGGGCTTTCCTCTGAAACATTTCCAAAAATATCGGCAATTGTTGGGAGAAATCTGCATATAATAGATATCTTTATGAATCTTATTATAAACGTTAATTTCATTCACATTGACTTTATTAGTAGAAATCTGCATATTATCATAATCGTTTATTTTATTTTCTTTAGTATTAGAGTAGAGCTTGCCAAATGACAATGCATCAGATGATAACAAATTTCTAGGTTTAACTTCTCGCGAAGTGAAAAATCCTAAATTATGTTATACTAAAGAATTTGATAAGTTTATAACAGATTTCCTCTTGATATCGAATTTAAAATTAGAACATATGAGGAATATTAAATCGTAAGAAAGATGGAACATTATCTTAATAATGGTTGTCAAGACTTTGTTAGAATAGAATAATATATCATAATTATTTTATAAGTTAACTGTCCCTGAAGACTGGTATCTTTTTTCTGAGACTTTTAACTTATCTTGCAATATTTTTATTTTTTTTTCTGAAGCAATTTTATTTCATTATCCTTTTGTGATAACTCACGTTTCATTTGTTTTCTTTCTAAAGCCCAGGTTTTTTTTTCCCATTCGAAACTTTTTCATGATCAAATTTACTGTAATCTTTTAATTTTTGTCATCTTCCATATTGTAGACCAAATTTAAAAATAAATCATTAATATTTTGCGATTAAAATCGAGGAAATTATCCATTTCTTTGCGGTAATTGTTCCTTGTGTTATGAAAGTTTTAGATGCGATGATGAAAATTTGTAGTCTCAAGATTTATTTTTTTCAAAACTTCAGCCAAATGGGTACCATCAATATTTGATATGAAATGTACATTCAATCCTGACAATAATGGAACCACCGATACCAATATTAACGATATTAACAATTACTTTTCCAGTTCATTTACCATTACGAACAGCATCAAACGTATTTTTCATTTGTTCCAATACTTTATTCACTTCCGATATAACATTTACATCATTATCACAAATTGGATTGTTTGATACATTTCTCAAAGCGCTATGTAAGACGGCGCCTAAATTTTTCTATTCTCGCTTCTTTCACAAGTTCAATTAAAGTATTAAAAGTATCTTTGGTAATAATATTTTTTGAATAATCAAGTAGAAAGTAGAATTGAAGAACCTGTACGTTCACCTTTGAATTACGTGAAAAGGTATTTAAAACGGTGTGGGTCTTACGAAAAGAGATATTTCATAATAAGGTGCTTTCCCACTTCTTCATAATGTTTCCAAAGGACTTTCCAAGAATTAAGTTCACTTGCCAAAACCATTTTGAATAAATTTAAATTTGTATTGATACATAAAAGTAAAAATATCTGTGGGATATCGATAGAACTATGGCGTATCAAGTAAGGACAAAAGTCGAACTCTGATGGCACCCAAACAGGAGAAAAGTTCGGATTACTAAAACATGTTCCAAACTTTTATTTTCAAAAATCTTCCATCGCCTCCTTGATCTCACCACCATCACGGATTAATCTTCAAGATGCTCATGAAAATACTGCCACCACTGAATTAGAAACATTAATGCAACTGCCACTTTCGATAATGAAGCCGCCTACCACTTTCCTTTATAATAAACGTGATGATTTATTGAATTATTATGATATTCATCATCCTTCTTTCCTTACGTAAATGAGATTTTCTTTCAGGTGAAGAAAAACGAAGCCGCGAATGTGAATTCACTTAATATTGAAGCATTTAATACCGCTACAACATTATTGATTAATAAAAAATTAGATGATGTAATTTTTGTAATTTGAATCTTAAACAAAAATTCTATTCAAACTTTATAAAATTTATTCTATACTTAAAACTTTCAAAAAAAAAATTTTGATATTTTTGCTAAAGATATAATTAATTTGGTATACATTGGTTCCATTGACTTTGTTTGCTTACTGAATTGAATAATTTGCTTTTTAGATTGATAACACTACATTATGATAGTCTTGTTTTCGATAAAGATTTCTACTTGATTATTACAGAAATGAATTAAACTGAAATTCGGGGGGGGGGGGGTTGAATACTTATATACATATAGTATCTTGTTAGGAAGCCATATTAAAAGGTAATTTGTATGCAGACTATTGGATGATATGATGAAATGTGATCAAGTTTCACATTTGCAGATTCATTAAAAAAAAAAAAAGATTAAACCAATTTTCCTCGAGGAAAGAGATATTTCAAAAGACCCTTACTCAAAGTACTCAATGATTATTTAATGTAATGAAAGAATTTATTTAGAAAATATATCACATCGTTTTATTTATTTTTGAATATTTGAATATTTTGAATATTTGAATATTTGAATATCTTGAATATTTGAATATTTTGAATATTTGAATATTTTAAATGGTTTTGAAAAAATAAATGATATTATCACAAGTATAGAAAGATAAGGGGTAAATAAAAATCATTTGAATGAAAAAATTATAAGATTTAATTACAAAAGAAAAAGTGGATTCATCAAATAAAAGAATTATTTAAGATGAAGTAGTAGTCGCTGCGGTTCTTCTAGTAGATTTCCTTTGTCCCACGGCTGGCGCCTTCTTTTCAACGGCACTTTTAGTTTTTTTGGCAGCTGGTTCTTTAGTCGTTTTTTTCGATTTCTCTGCTGCTGCAGCTTTTCTCTTAGTTGATTTTTTTGTCGCTTCATCTTTTTTAGTCTTAGTCGTCTAATAATTATTAAATCATGATTTATTAATACTGTACTTTAATTCTCGATTTTGAAATTTGGTTATTATCACTGTAACTAAAGAAACAAAATTTTTATTCACTTTTTCTACCTTAGGTTTAGTCTCTTTCTTAACAACTTTTTTCTCGGTCTTTTTTTCAGGTTTCTCAGCTTTCTTCTCAGTCTTCTTCATAGTTTTTGTAGATCTCTTCGGTTTATCTTTCTTTTCGATCTCTTTTTTTTCTTTCTTAACTGGTTCTTTCTTGACTAATTTAATCGTACCACTGGGTCCTTTATCAGAAAAATTAAATTTTAATCAATTGTCATCAGATTTAAAAAATCATAAAAATAATTATAATAAATCTATAGACTCATACCATTTGGTAAAGCGAAAATTTCTTTACTGACACCTTTAGTAATAGCATTTCGAAGACTACTGGATGTATACTCAGTATCAGGAAGTTTATAAGTACTAAGGATATATTTCTTAATCGCATGACGACTATATACGAACAAATAATTAATTTTCAACAAAAAAAAAGAAAGTAAAAGCGCGTCAGGAACCTTATTATACGAATTATTGTACTCGTTTCATGTAATATTTTGATTTACCTGCTTCCTTTTCTTTCTTTCAAACTGATTATCGCGTCTAAGTATTAAAAGGTAAAAAAAATAAAATCAAATAGAATCAACAAAATAAGTAACTTTAAACTTCTTGTTTATAAATGTTTTTTGGTTCATTGAAGTATGAATATACGAGTATACATAAGTGTTTGTATATATATATGCATTTTTTTTATTTTTCGTAAAAAACAACTTTTCACCCTAAACTAATATTTTCTATATTTTCTTCAATATTTTTTTACCTCTAATCATATCTTCATATTTAGGATGAGAGGGAACACTCTTAGAAGCCTTTGATCTAGACATGGTTTATTTATTGTGAGTACGAGAAAAAGAGATTTAAAGATTTATTGAGTGAATTTGATATTAGGTGATCTTTTGTAATAATTCTGAAATGTCAGATGAGAGGTTTTATTTATTTATTTGTAATGAAAATTAATGAAATCATTTATATTTATCATGACACGTTGACAAAAAAACAACAAACGAAATCAAAATACACCACGCGTCACTTTTATTTTGACGTTTATTTTTGTTGACTAACTGCTAATGAATAATTAAAATTGTTCGTTTCATTTACACATATTTTATTTATTATATTTTGTATAATAATTAATTAATTATTATTTTTAATTATTTTAGTAATTGGGTAATAAGATCAGCTGATTTGAGGTTAATATATTAAAATTGTTACACATTTTTATAATTTTATAAATAAAATAATAATTACTTTTTTAAAGTTTTTATATTTCACAAGCGACGTTTGACTCTTTCTTTTAATTACAACAACAGATGAAAAATAAATATGATACAAATGGCACACGCACTCGTAGCACAAAAAGGCGTGCAAATTCAGATGATGTAAAAATGACGAAGAAGGTTGCGACTTTTAAACGAAGCCAAACCAGAAAGGACAAAAAGAACGATAAAAAAGAAGCTAATGATGTCAGAATTAGTCAACAAGATACCATCTATATTGTGTCTAATACAGTAATGCAGGCAAAGATTCCGTTAAAGATTTTGGCCCAAAGAGAATTCTCTTTGCCACAGTCTATCTTCGGTGAAATGATGAGAAATCGAGTAACAACCTTTATTGTGCCCGATACAGCCATGCCAACGGGACCACGAAAGAGTAAACGATCGGCATTGGCATTTGGGTCTAGAATCCCATCTAAGATCTTGATCAAAAGAGAATTTTTTTTACCAAAGTCGATCTTTGAAAAAATGATGAAAGAGAGAGAAGCAGTTCGTTAACAAAAATCAGCCGCATAATTCCTATCCTGAAACTACTGCATTCCAATTAAACGCACGATTTCTCAATTAATAAAAATGATTGCTAAATGAATTCAGATTTAATCTATTTAATATTGTCTGAAATAATTATAAATAATAAATCATCTTATATTTATGATTATCAATTATTATAGTATGGATTAAACTCCAATTTAATAATTTTGACATTCGATTTCAAAGACATTATTTGATATATTTGACATCATTGAATAATTGACATAGTTGAACGCATGATGCAGAGTCTCAACGAATGTTTTTGCAAGAATAAACACAGACAAAATATATGTAATCAAGTTTATTTTTTAAATTAACAAAGAATACACCAAAAATACGCGAGAAGTTATGGTAAATCGAGAAAAAATAACTTTATTTATATATTATATAATATTTATACACTATTAGATTAAAAAAAAAATAATAATAAAAAATAAAAGGTAATACGTAAACTAAACCTATTAATTATGTAAGGGACGTACGTGATTAAGTGACATAACGTGATATCTTTTTTTAACTTTCTTTAAAAAGATTACTTTCATAAAAATCAAGATTATTTGGTAAAGGGTTATAATCGAAGATCGGCGGCTGCTCATTAGGATTTGGTAAAAAGTTATAAATAAATCCATTGAAGATCTGTGTGTTAGGATTTAGTAAAGGGTTATAAATATATCCATCGAAGATCGGCGGTACATTAGGATTTGGTTCATTAGTATCACGAGGGTTATAAATATATCCCGGATTTTTAAGAGAGTGAATCGATTTGGAGATTCTTGATAATTCATTCCAAAAATATTTATCAGCCGATTTCCATTGATGCGATGCCAACTTTGAAATTTCTTCGAACGTGAGAAAATCCTTAAATTCTTTATGGATATTTTTTCTAAAAAGAATAAAAGCGTTTTGAGGCCTAGGTATTTTCCTTTTAGATCGAGTATTTACCGAAGTACATATATCAAGAAGTTCCAGTGTAGTTTCAACGAGCGGATATTTATTTATAAAAGATTTAACCATAGGTTGACTTTTATTGGGTAGCAGGTTAATGTTTTGAAGAAAGACTCGAATGCTTTTTTTATTACTTTGTCGTGAATCAGGAAGCTTATTAAAAATTTCATTTATTTCATTTGAAGATGAATCTGAAAAACCATTTGAATTCATCATGGATTGATTGAATTGATGCTTCTTCTGATTCAACTCTATTTATAATATTTTTATGAATAGCATTGACATTGAGCATTGCATTATATAAAATGTCGTATTCAAAGTTTTAACTCAAATTGTTAACCTAAACTCATTATTACATTAACAAACTCATTAGATAAATTTCGTTTTTGAATGAAACTAGGCGTATTGATGAATGCATCGTACACAAACAAAAATCGAAAAATCGATGTAAAGAATATTTTAAATATCTTTTTTTTTAAAAAAAAAATATGGTTTAATTATTTACTGTCTAGAAATATTCAAAGATGCCCAGTAGCGAAATCGTGAACGTAAGATTTTTAATAAAAAAAAAAGTTAATTATTCATCGCGTGTGCATGAATTAATTATATTTTGATTTAAGATTAAAAAACATGAAAGATCTTGCATTGTTTAAATAAACGATCTGCAAGTTATACAAAAGTCATATAATGTCCTGTTCTCTATATACAGTAATATGTAACCGAAAGATAAAAAATAATAATGCTTTAATGCTTAATGCTCTAATGCTTAATGCCTTAATGCTTTAATGATTAAACAATAAATGCGGGAGAAATTATCATTTCATTATTACTTAACGCCTTTTAATAGCATTTTTAATTTGTTTTTTGTTTTTATTTTGTTTTCATAACAAAAACACAAGTAATTTACTGTATCAATGCATTATTTATTACTGTCTTGAAAATGAATGCTACGAAGTCAACAAGTTTTTACTATCATCTCTATAGCATTCATGCATTATTTCGTGAGAAAACAATATTATAATAATACACTTATGAAATGCAGTGTGATCAGATCAGTACTTGGCAATCGTAATTTTATTATAAATCATAATTGACGAACTTAACGAGAACGTTGATTTATAATGTTTATTCAGTGATTATGATAGTATATAGTTCTGCCCTTAAATGACTTAATGTCTTAATTATATTACGGACTAAGCTTTTATGGCATTATAATGGCATTATAATTACGACAACGTGCAGAGGATAAAAACGAATAAGTTGGTTTAAAAAAAAAAGAAATATTATTCTCTAATTATGAAAGGTAACAATGAAAATATTACAATTGGGTTCAAGACTTGTCCCAACCGAAAGAGTCGAAGAACTGCAGGAAAGTAAATGGCGGGTTGCAAAATACGGACAACCGCTTTATTATTGGGGATCAACTATGGAATGATTTTTTAGCCGTGTATTTATGTGGGAGGATATGATCCAAGTGGTGTGGCCAATGGGAGATTCTTTGGACGATGTGAGATTAAACCATGGAAAAGATAAATTATTATGGTTTCCGGATGATGATGAAATTATAAATGAGTTAGAATTAGTACGTATGCAAAAAAAAATGATGAAAATATGTGCATTAGTTACTGATATTTGCTTGTACTCATTTTTCTTCTTGGTGAATATACCACTACAAAGAAAGGGAAAAACAAGAAATCGAAGGAAAAAAACATCAAAAGCATCATTAATATGGTTGAGAATGATGAAATGACATTAAATAAACAACGTCCTTGATGTTTGCTTACAATTATATACTATATATAGCAATTATCAAAAAATAATAATGTTATCCGATATATTTTGAAACTGTCAAGTTAATAAATAAAATAGTGATTATGTATAATAACCAAACGAGTAAAAACATTTAGAGCATCATTTAATATGGTACGAGCATAATGAAATTCTTAATCCATCAAATAATCAAATTGTAACTATTTTTAAAATTAATTTATTATAGTTGTTTATATAATTGTTTTTTTTAATTATTTTGATTATCTACAGTACAGACTTCTAAACAACTAATAAATTTAATAAAATTTAATTTATTTAAAAAAATCTATCATCCTTGGAAAAATAAATCCTCATTTTCATCCCATACCCATTTTAATAACTCAGTTCCTATTTTGAAAAGAAAAATTAAATTTTGAAATTAAAAAAAAAATGTGAATTTGAGTGTACAAAAAAAAAAAAGGCGATCTATGCTTACCATAAGCTTTAGGTTGTAAGCAATAAACGGTATGTAATGGAACATCCATATGTGGGATTTTTTCTTTTTCAACATCCGAGAAATAAGCCAAAACAATCCTTAAAACAACTCGATGAGTGACAATTAATATATTATCAGTCATTCGTTCCAATTCAATAATTAAAGGATTTATTCGATGAATTACATCCAAATAAGATTCACCCATTCCAGGATATCTATAATAAAGTTTATTACTTTTACGTATAGAATATTCTTCAGGATAAATTTCCTCTATCTGTTGATAAGTCATTTCTTCACATACACCCTTTAAATAAAAAATTGATGAAATGATTATTAAATGATTATTAAATGATTATTATATGATTATTATATGATTTAATGGAAGGAAACAAATTTAAGAAAATTAGAAACCTACTGCATAAATTTCATTGAGAAATCTAATGTGCTATATAATAAAGTAAATAAAATAAAATAAATGATTATTTATTAGTTAAACTGTAATAAATTTCATTAATTCATTTCAAGAGTATTTTATTAATATCATTGACAATACCATCACATCAAATTCTTTTGGATCAAATTTCTCTACAGTTTCAATTGTTCTTTTTAACATACTTGTCCAAACCAAAAAATTAGGTTCAGGAGGTTCAGAAGGTTCAGGAGGTTCAGAAGTTTCGGGAGGTTGAAGTTCGGATGTTAAAAAATTAAAATTTCTTTTTTTCTCTTCCTTCAATTGCTCCCGATATTTTTCAAGTTGCTTCTGGCGGAAAAGAGCTTTTTGCGTTTTAATAAATTTAGTGAGACATGCTGCAAATTTTCTACCTCGTTCGGTTAGCTTTAAGAAATTCAAATTGTTAAAAATGTTATAAATTAATGATCTCCGATATTTGTATTTTAAAATTAATTAACCCAACTATATATCCTACTGTGTATTCTATATGTTCTATATATCCCGATACTGATTTTTTCATAATAATATTTACCATTCAATTATTAACAGCAAAAATATAATACTTACAGAGGAATCACCTCCTAAAAAATAATGATAATAACTATTATTTAATTATAACCACAAAACAAAAAGCTCAAGACACAAACAAAAGCGAAAGATTCACATAATAAATAAAATTAATTAAAGCTCACCAATTCTTCCCAGTATATTATCAGTACTTTCTCCATGCCTTGTAATCCAAATTTGACGATCTATAAATTGATAGAAGTATATTATCATACAAATAATATAAAAAAAAAATCCTATGAAAATTCATATAAAATTTTATTTTATTTTCTTCCTTACCAACAAGATTTAAATTCATTAAATAAAAAATACATTGACCGCTTAAAAAACCTTGAATATTATGTGCAATTACCTAATAAAATAATGTAATTCAGTTGCAATGAATAAATAATAAATAATAAATAATCTAGAAAAATAAAAGAAAATAAAAAAAAATGAATAAATATTTAAACTTACTTTCTTTCCAACATTAATTAATTTGCAATACTGTATATTTTCTAATTCCTCTTGTTCATCAATTGTTTCATAAGCTTTTTCATAATTCGTAATGCGTTTTCTAAAGTCATTTAATGCTTCTTCAGGATCCATATTTTTATAATCTGGACCTGATAATTTAAGTGCCATATTTTTTTCCAAAACCTACAAAACAACAATAATCATCTAAATTAATAATAATGTAAATATTGTAAATTATTATTATTTGTAAATTTGATTGATTTTTAATTTTACCTTTTTATCAGTACATATTGATTCAATGAATAAAATTTTGAAAGAAGATTCACGCTGGATACGTTTCATTATTAGTTTCCTAACCAAATATATATATATATATAAATAAAATAAATGAAGGAAAAAAAATGATGAAAAAAACGGCAAGAAAACATATTTACCTTCTAGTTATAGTTGAATTTGTAGCATCTAAGCATTAGAACACATTAAATGAATTAAGAGAAAGTTAATATAAAAAATATTTTAATTTTATATTCTTAAATTCTTAAATTAAAATAATTAACTTACCATGAATTCCAATTCTACCGCCTTTTTTTAGCCAATCAATTAATTCATCTAAGCATTCCATCGCGATGTGTTCTCGCAATTGCTTTGCTTGTTCGTTGTGAGGATCAAAAAATGAAAAAGAATGAGATGTTGAACCAGGTGGATTATTATTATTTATTGAACTGTGTCGACGAAGATTTCCAACATTGAACACCTGAGATGAAATGTTATGAAATGTTATGACAACCTTCCTTTAATATTTCTGTTATATTTCTGTTATATTCCATAATATGAATTAATCACCTTTGTTTCATACTGTAACCACGTTAAATATCTTTTAAGTTTTTTGGTAATGTATGATTTTCCTCTGGCGGGAAGACCAACTATTAAAAAAAAAAAAACACGAACATCTTCAATACCTAAATACCGCGTATATAAAATATCAATAAAAGGAATATCTATATCTACCCACTTACCCATAACAACGACTAGCTTTGGTCCTGCATCACCTAATTGTGGCTGAGGTCCTTTTCGATTTTTTTTTTTAAAAAAAAAATTATTTACTCCGTTACTCCGATATAGATATATATATAAATGTGTGTGTATATATCCGAGACGAAACATTATGAAAAACTTACCAGCTCCAAGTTTTGATTGAACAATTCCTTTACGAGAAAGGTTAATAACAATTGAAAGTGTGCATTAGTAATTTCTTGAGGGCTTCCCTTCGCTATATTATCCGAACCAGTTTAATATGTATATATAAACATTAACCTGGTAGATCCAAAGAATATCTATGGTGTTTTAAATAAGAAAGTGAAAAGGCCTCAGCCTCATTATTGGACTTTATTTCAGTATCGTTACTCTTACTACCATTACTACCATTCATATCATTATTACAATCATTAAATAAATTTTGTTTAAAGAACGACATTTTATTCGATTCGCGTAAGAAAAAAAAATATAACTAGGTTAACATTTATAAGAAATTTTTAGATATTAGGTGTGGTACAATACAGCCTTTCATTGCGCTTTTTTACATGTGATTTTATGATGAACTTAACTATGTATGTATGTATATCTATTATAAATAAATAAATAAAATTTTAAGGATTATAGATAAATAGTAAGATTAACTCTTAATTGATTTTCGAGACACTGGCTTAGTGTACTTTCGTAACACCAAAAAATAAAACAATGGTAGATTATCTGACGAGATTAAAGTTTATAGTTAAATCAGTTTCCGAATCGTGTATTTTATTCATTCTATATTAAATAAGGTTTTACTAGTTTTATTATTATATACAAATAATTTATATTATACATTATGGCAAGTCGGACGAAAATCTTAATGAGAGTTTAGTCTAATTTTACGTATTATTATAATTTTATATATATATATATTATTAACTAGTTTTAAGTTTTATAGATAATGAACTTTTGAAGATTATCCAAAACAAATCTGAATCCGCGAAATAATACATATGGTAATCTTAAAATTCTCTTAACATCAACCTTATTACTTTTTACAACTAGAAATTCATTTGAAAGCACACTATAAAGACCAATACATTATTAACTGTACTTCATGTACTAATTCTGAATTAATATAATAGATATCTGCAAGTGATTAATATTTTTTTTTGTTTTTCACATAATACTAATAACAAAACTGACATAACCAAAAGTGTACAAACGTCAACATACTTCCCATTTAAATTCTTTATCAAAATTTTCTTCAACATTTCCATTAAAATTCTACTCATTTCATAATCCTTTTATTCATTGCAAAAACTTATCACCGAACTTGAATTTTTTATTCATTGCATCAAGTTTATCACTGAACCTTTCATTCAACTTATCATTGAACCTTTAATTCATTGTATCAAATTTATTATGATTTGTTAATCAAAAAAGATGTTAGTAATTTCATATAAAATATAAATTTTTTGCATACATTTTTGATTTCAATCAAATTATTAACAATGCAGTTTAACTTGCAAAAGAACATTGTGAAATTTTTTCTTACCAGATGTAATTTCTAGAAGAAATACGTAAAAAATTATATAATATTTTTTAACTTCTGCTCAAAAAAAAAAAAAAAATTTGGAAATAATAATTGGATTAATTAAATAATGATTCTTAATTTTTCCGGTCATACTACTACGCCTGTGAAACAGTAACTTTGAAACATAGCGATGAATGTAATGATATAATAGTTTAAGTACGTGTTCAGGATGTGAAAAACGTAAGTAAAAGAGGATATGTATATGATGTAATTGACTGATGCAAAAATGGTTCTTAAATTAAGTGCCAGTCTTTATCTCATGAAAAAGAAATAAAGGTGAGTGTATCACCTGCACCTCAACCCAAAAAGACCCTACCCGAAAACCCAAAAAATGACCGCTCCCATATAATTAATAAGTTATTGGTGCAGTATCTTCATATATCTTTACGATGTAGCAATAGAAATTGTGATCAATATGATCAATATCAATAAAGAATTCGTTATTTCATCGAAATTCCTAGCATATGAATTAAAAATGTCCAATGGGCACCTATGAAAGTGAATCGTATTATATAGTTGACCCAAATTAACTCTTCAACGGGATTAAGGTTAAGTTCTAATCAGTTAGAAAATTATAAATTTTTGAGAGAAAAAATGAGTGGAATCGTTTTTAAAAAGATTATAAGTAAAGGTATAAATTCCTACGGAGAAAGGAAACAACTTTGCGATGATGATTAATTAGTTATTTATTGATTATTTATTAACTATTTATTTCTTATTATATTTTTATATTTAGAGTTTGAACGGAACGTTTAAGAGAAATTATGTGAGCTATTATAATGATTAATTATCAATCATTTTTACGCAAAATATATTCTTTATTAAAAATATTACCGGTATAACAAGAAGCTTAAATTTGGACCATTCTTTAAGGTTTATAGAAATAAATGTGGTTCTGAGCAATTCCCGCTTGGCATAATCGAATCATCTCTTTTAAGAAGTGACACCAGAATAAGTATATATTATATATTTTTCTCAACTTCATTAGTAATTAAAAAAAAACAGATAAATTGAATTCTCAAATATAAATTACAAACTTCTCCCTGACCCTGAATTCTTGTTATAAAAAAACTTTCTTTTTCAAAGATAATGTTGAAGAACTGTCAAATTATTTTAATTTAAAATATAATGCAAAAGTGAAAGTTTGAGGTTTGTCATAAATTTTCTCGAAATTAAAAAAGAGGATGCGACACCTCTTGGGCATTTGAAGGATTATGCATATGGTTTAAAAAAAAGGTGACGAAATTAATAGTTTTTTAATTTTGTTTATTAACGACTTCCATAAATAGATCTTCATAATGTTGTGAAATAATCAAATACTGTTAATGGAATTTAGATCACAATTGGATTTAGCTACTTTTAAAAAATTAGTCTGAATAAAAGTCTAGACCCGGAGTCTATTTTAAGGACACCCATTTATTTAATGTGGCTGTTTCTTTTACTTATTTCATTTCTTCTCTTCGATTTCTTTAATCTAAAAAAAAAGCATTGCTGCTAAACAAGAAAACGGAATAAATGACAGAAACTGGGGAGACAGAAGAATTGGAAGACTAGGCAGATTTGTTACATTAAAACTTTAATTCGTGATTCATCGGAAAGAGATCTACATATAAGAACCATAATCTCGTTCCAAATAAAAATTTCACAAGAACTATCTTATAAAAGTCTCTTTCTCCATTAATATTATAAAAAGTAATGGTTCTGATCTAAACATACTAGTTTCAAATGACAGCATCAATAAAATAAAGAGATATGCCCTTTTTTTAAATATTATATAACAATTTCTAATCTATTCTAACCTAATCAATATAAATTATATTACAGTGAGTGAGTATTTAAATTCATAATTACTGAAATTAATATTTCAATTTAATTCTATATTATACTGTATAACAATAACAATTCTCTACTTTAATCAATTATAAACTAATCAATATAAATTATATTAAAGTCGGTGAGTATTTAGATTCATAATTATTGAAATCAATGTTTCAATATCGCATAACAATTTTCTAATCAATTATAAATTAATCAATATAAATTATATTACAGTAAGTGAGTATTTAGATTAATAATTAATGTTTTAATTTAATTCAATATCAAATAATAATCCTTTAATAATATTTTTAGTATTCTTGAAAAGTGTAGTAAACGTCATCAAGATAATACTGTTATAGATTGGTGCCATCTATGTAATGTCAACCGATTTCAAAATGAATTTAATAAATGGACAAGTGAAGACAAAGAAATTGATGAATTTATTCAACAAATACAATTATATGCAAATAAGTATCAAGATATTATTGAGTGGATTCCATTCGAAAGACTTGAGAATGTCACATTTCTTGCTAAAGGGGGTTTTGCACAGTATACAAAGCAGAATGGCTTGATGGATTTATTTATTCTTGAGATTATGAAAGAAAAAATTGGAAAAGGTATAAAACAGATGTCTGCTTAAAAAGTCTTAATAATTTCACAAATAAGAATGAATTTTTGCAAGAGGTAAATATTTCATTTATTTCATATTTACATTATTTTAAATACTGTATTTAATAATTATATTTTATTAATACTAATAAATCTTTTAGATTAAGAATCAACTTAAATTTCGAGGTAAAAATATAATTGCTATATATGGCATCACTAAAACCCAACGAAAAATGAATATATGTTGGTTATGCATTATGCAGAACATGGTAGTCTTCGAAAATTATTGAATAACATGTTTAAAAAATTAACTTTGAAAAAAAAATCTTATATTTTATCAGCTATTATAAATGGACTTAAAAATATTCATGAAATAGGCTTAATGCATAAAGATTTTCATTCTGGTAATATAGTTAATGGAACTTCAACTAAATGTTATATTACTGACTTTGGACTGTGCAAACCAGTTACAGAAAATGATCCGGAAAAAATTTATGGTGTAATTCCATACATGGCACCTGAAACGTTAAATAGAGGAGAATACACTCAAGCATCTGACATTTATTCTTTTGGCATGGTTATGTTAGAAGTTCTAACTAGTTATATTATAATATTCCACATAATGAAAATCTTGTAATGAAAATTTGCAATGGGTTTAAACCTGAAATTAAGTGTGAAATTTCTCAATAGAAATAATGGAAAAATGCTGGAATTTTGAACCTCTCAATCGTCCAATTGCTGAAGAATTGAAACATCAACTTGATAAATATTCTTATAATGGTGAAATAAGAAAACAAATTAAAGCAGCAAACGAATCAAACAAGAATTTTATTCAATTTAATTCAAATGAAATGCATTCTGAAGCAATATATACAAGTAGACTTATATTTAAACTTACAAAACCTGAATATGATGAATATGATGCATTTAGTAAGTATATTTTTGTAAGAAATAAAATTTATTTGTCTTTTTTTAGAAAAAAAGAATTTTGTATTAATTATCTATTTAGACTTAAAACAGCAATTTTTTTCAATTCCTGATAATTAATTGGTAAAAGTTATTAACTATATTTAATTTGTATAAATGAAAAAACTTAAAAAATGGAATGTAAATTTAATTGACTGGGAATTATTTAAATTTAAATATACTATGTTTCATTTGATCTTGTTATTATTATATTTGATATAGGATTATTTATTATTCATTATTACTTTATTTATTAATTTATATTTTATTATTTTATTTGATTACTGGAATTATAGAGTATAGTTTTTATTTAAATTAAAGCTGACCATTATGTAATCATTTAAAATAAATCATTTTTGTCTTGATATTTCAAAAATCTAAAAAACTGTATTGTGTAAAGGTAACTGAAAATCCATACGAGTTAACTTTCTTTTTTAATTTTTATAATTAATATATAAATGAACAAGACAGTTAATTGAAAAACAAGTGCTATTTATTTATATCTTTATTGTGTATAAACTCATATATGTATGTATATTCTTTTCTATCAAAGTACTTATAATACAAAATAAAATTCATACCTATAATATCATGTATTCATTATTATCTTTTATAATTATCTTTCGGAATTATCTCTTATAATTATAAAGTAATGTTTTTATTTTCATCTATGAAGATGACATGCAATTAATAAATAAGTATTGTTGAAATTTGAATTAAAGAATAATAGAATAATACATTAGTAATTTTATAGTATTTGCTGGATCTTGAATTGGTAAAATCTATAAAATTAGGTATCACTTATTCATTCATTTATTTAAATTTCAATATACAATATTCTGCAGGCCTGGGTATTTTAAAAATGTCCAAATTTTTCAAAAGGTACTTTGCATGGCATGAGAGTACTATAGCCAAATCAATTATTCAATTAACTCTTTAAAATTCATAATTCGTTCTTCAAAAAACAATCACATATCAGATATTAGATATACAATACCACTACATTAAGTTAGAATTACATACTCATAAGGTTACATTCTATCTGGTTATAACCTATGGAATATATCTTGACACCATTTGAACTTAAAATTTATTTGTTAATTAACAAAGTAAGGTTTAATTGCTAGACATCTCGTTTGTAATGGAGGCAGTATTGAAGATTTTAAATCTTAAACTAGCCAATCTTTTTTTTTTTACAGTATCATGCTAGATTTGTACATGTACATTCAATTTTAAATATCAGCCAAAAATGGGTGTTTAAAAAATAAATAAAATTTAGGTACATAAATTAACATTTATATATAATTTTAATGATTTATTTGATTTAAATTTATTTTGTTCAAGTTTATTTCTAAAATAAATAATAAATATAATAAATATTAATTAATTTATTAAAATAATATATATCGTCACCAAAATTTCCAGAATCAGTTATAAATGCACATGTAGAAGTACCACACCACAACTGAAATGTTTGATTATTTTCTTTAATTCTGAGAATTATTAACATTAATAAACTAATATATTTTATATCAGTTAAAACTAATTTCTCGTAATTAATAAATAAAACATAATCCATTGTTTTTGTAATTTGGATTTTGTTTAAAACTCAAATATTTATAATCGAGTATTTGTTTCAATCTTTCTTCTCCATCTTTTCCTTTGGATTAACAATAATATTTTTGTTGTGTTGGACTATGTCGGAATGTTCATTCTGGAATAAATAAACAAAAATAATTTCAGGAAAAGGGCAATAAAGTCTTTTTTGACCAATCTATTAAAACTAAGTTGTTTTTTAATAAGTACTATAAACGCATCTTGATAAAAAAAAACAAGGAGATTAATAGATGGTAAAGAAAGCTTATTTCTAGAAGAAAACAAAGGAGGCACTTGTGTACATAGGCAAACTTGATAAGTCGTCCACTGATAGCTGAGCTCTTGTGGCTGAGTTATCGAGGTGACCGTGTTATCAAAATTCTTGATAAGTCAGCCGGCCAAGTTATCAAGGTTTACTACATCAGGAATTATATAAAGGCGTTCTAATAACTCCGTGAATATCGATGCTATCGGAATGAAACACATATCATTTTGTAGCCAAGAACAAGGCTTTTCTTTCTATATTAGAAATATTTTAGTAGAAAATCGTTCTACTCTTTATAAATCGCGAGCGAAGCTGAAAAAACGTGAAAATCTCCGGAAATTTTTACGTTTTTTTCGACTTCACTCGCTATTTATAAAGAGTAGAACGATTTTCTACTAAGATATCCCTAAGATAAAAAAAAAGGCCTTGTTCTTAGCTACAAAATAATATGTGTTTCATTCTGATAGCTTCGATATTCACAGAGTTATTCTAAATTAAAGAAAAACGTGCGTAAAAAAACGTGCGTGCAAAAAATTTTGATGCACGATTTTTTTACTGACGTTTTTCTTTAATTTAGAATAACTCTGCAATTATCGAAGCTATCGGAATGAAACACATATAATTTTGTAGCCAAGAACAAGATCTTTCTTTTTATTTTAGAAATACCTTAGTAGAAAATCGTTCTACTCTTTATAAATCGCGAGCGAAGCTGAAAAAACATGAAAATCTTCGGAAATTTTTACGTTTTTTTCGACTTCGCTCGCGATTTATAAAGAGAAGAACGATTTTCTACTAAGATATTTCTAAAATAAAAAGAAAGGCCTTGTTCTTAGCTACAAAATAATATGTGTTTCATTCCGATAGCATCGATATTCGCGGAGCTATTACGTTGTAGAACGGATTGTTCTAGAATGTAACGTTCGTAAAACGGATCGTTCTAGAATGCCTTTATATGTAATTAATAAGTCAATTGATCAATTTATCAAAAGTTATATAAATTGATATAATATTATTAAAAATTAAAATTTTATTTAATTTTATTGTAATTAAACCATAAGAATATTATTTTTATTAAATGATTACATTAAAAAAATTAAAAAAATTCATCTAAACTTAATTTAGACGAATTTGATGCTGTAAATCTTTTAAATCTACTATAAATAAATGTTTAATATTTAATTTGTTGTTGTAAATAATTATATATATTTTCATATCATCAGATTCTTCAAAATCATTTGTATCTTTCCCATTCTCTATACTTTCCGTGTCATTAATTTTTTCTATATCTTCTAAAATCCGTTCATTTTCTATGTCATTTATATTTTTATTATTTCTCTTATTCTTCTTTTGAATAATAATAGCCTTAATAATATTTGTTTTTCGTTTGTTGTTATTATTTTTCACATTTTTAGTTTTTTTAAGAATAAAAAATTCATCATCGGACGAGTTTAATTGTAATATTCTTTTATTTGAACCTTTATTCACTATAAAATTTCTTTTAAATAAATTTAAATAAATATTAATAACAGCAGTATTTATAAATAACAATAACGTTTATTTTCATAAATCTTACTTTATTTAAAATTTTTAAAAAATTTAAAAATTTCGAAGGTTCATCAAAAATTTTTTGACGATTTCGGTGATCTAATTTTATTATTATCAAGTGAACACGTGATCAAAACTGACTTATCGCAATATATTTAATATAAAGATAGCTGGAGTATGAGGCCGACTTAGGCTTTATCGCGATTTTTATATGATAGACCGACTTATCAAAAATTTTTAAAACGGCTATAAAATTTGGCCGAATTATGTTAAGACCGACTTATCAAGAGACCGACTTATCAAGTTTGCCTTTGTATATCGAATCGTCTTCGTGTTTATATTTTGTTTGGGCAGATCTTTCTGAATTCACATGTTTTTAAAATATATATATATTTTTGGAGAGTTCATCCTAGACCCGAGCAGTGTGACAAATATGATGTAAATTATTTTTTGCGTAAATAAATCACCTAATATATTATATATTTTAGAAATGTGTTACACAAATTGATTTTTTTTTTAAAAAAAAGATGATAGCAATTGTCTTTCTCGCTTTTCTCGACTTCTACTATTATTATTAAAGACAAATTTCATTTTATATACCTACCTAGGTCAAAAATATAGTTCAAGTTATATTAAACGGTGGAAAACACTTGGATTTGAGGTATACACTTTTTTTTATTATTATTAAAAATATTAATAATTTTGTGTATAGGTCGTTCGACTACACTTACGAGCAACTTTCGAGTAGAGTTGCTCGTCAGTATTATTCCTGAGACTATGTAACTTTTTTTTCCTAAACTGTAGGTTGCGTAATACAAACGATAAATGCATAAACTTAAACTTATAATATATATACATATATGAAGTAAGTAGAATTAAAATTATTTGAGAAAAGTGGAAAAAGAAATTTTCTTTATTATACTTCTTTTAAATCTGTACGAATAAAGATATAAATATATAAACAAATATAATGTACATTCGGAAGTATCGAAAAAAAACTATATTATTAAATCTTATACAGTACATTAATGAAAGATATTCATCAATAATTGTACCGCTCTTAAAATAGAAAATAGACGAAATAGAGCGTGTTTCTAACTAAAGGGATTTGTTTTTCAGATCGTAATTACTGGTTGCATGTATTTAATGTATTTATAGAACAATACTTGCATTACTTATACATTTCATAATCTATTCATAATACTCGCATACAAAAATATTATTAAAAACAAACAATGATAAATTATTGGAAAAGGTCTGTCGTCACATTTCGATTAATAATTTAGGAAAAAAAAAGGAACTTGCATAACTTTCATTGAACCCAGGAAATTTTTTGTTACAAAAAATCCATTGATCACATTTGCTTATCAATTTCTGCATTTCAAAAAATATATAAACATTTTTTTTTTTTTACAAATTTTCTTGTATTATCATTTATATATTATTGGTTAAAGAGTTATTTTTTGATTTGCGCATGCAAATAATAAAGTATAATTAAACTTCTTAAATACTAATAATTTAACTAAAATTATACTTTTAATTATACGATTAACAATTTTATTATTCACACAAACAATCAACAAAAATGACCTAAAAAAGAACAAAAAGGTAAAAAGGGAATGACCAAGCCGATATCTCGGTATTATTAATGCACATGACTTTACTTTAATGACTTTTTTTTAACCGTTTTGTTTTACAAAGTTATTAACAACAAATACTTTTATATTAGTTATATTTAGTTTGTTACTCGTGTTTGTCGTGTTGAAGTTCAAATTGTAACTAAAGTGTTTATTGTCATTTTATTCTCCTTTAAACGCATCAAAACTAAATTTAATTCTTCTACTATTTTCTCTAATATCCCTTCCTTCTTTATTATTATTATTTTTTTTTTTTTTATTTATTCTCTCCTTATTCTCCTTTAATAATAATAATTTTTTAATTTTTTATTTTTGAGAGGTAATTTTTAACTTATTCAATTTAATTACCTAATTTTAATACTATTAATTCTATCAATTTAATTTGTAAAGGAAATTTTCACCATCACCTTTGACCCTTTGAATCTTTTTTTTAAAAAATTTTCCTCATTTTCAACCTTTTAATAAAATTAATAAAGAAAAGACAAGGAAATATCACTTACATCTGAAATAAAAATAAAAAGTTTATTATGACCTCACAACAAACAGCCCAACAACAGTCAAGAACGCAAAGTTTCGAAGGGCATCGTTTTATTGGTCAAGATGGTATGGTTGAAACTACTTTACAACTTACAAACGAACGTAATGTATTAAGATCTCAGAATGACCAACTGTGGAAAATAATAGAGAAGCAAAAGTCTGTAATAAATAATTTACAAAAAGATGTTCAAAAGTTAACTTACGAAAGGGATTTACTTATTTCAAAATTAAGAGACTTTGATAATAATTCAAATCGTCCGAATGATGGGTCCACCTTTGTCAAGGAAAGTAATGGAAATAATGAGAATAAAGAACTCAATGGTTCAATCAACAACAACAACAACAACAACAACAACGATGGATATAACAATAATCTCAATGTGTCTTCTCAACAATCTAACAATAATACTGGTAGAACTTCACCATACCAAATGCAAGAAAGTTCATCTTATCAGTTAAATCAAATAAATCTTTCTCAATCACAACAAGAACAGAAAAAGTCAGAAAATGAATTACCAACGTTACGAATATCTTTACCATCATTACAATCCGAGAAATCCGAGACTTCCGATAATTCGTCATTAGGTGATTCCGAAGACACAAGAGGACTTCCACCAGTAGTTATCAGCGAACCTTCTCCCGTAAAATCAAGTAATATTCTCGAACATGAAAAGACATTACAACAACAATTAAATTCTAATCAATCCGGAGAAAGTAAACCAATAATTAATCAAAACGGTATCGTCACACTTTCAAATACTGATCATAATAATATTTTTCAATATTTATTTATTTTTTTGAATAATTAATGTTAACCATTCAATTTCATTTTCTACAGATATTTCAAATGATACATCTCTTGCGCAACCCCCATCACCATCAACTTCAATTAAATCTTCAGAATCTGGAAGTCTTTATAGCAATGGAATTAGTAGTCGACACAAGCGTCATAGTACCCTTATTATTGAAGGTGAATTAGGTAAAATGGAAGAAAATGAATCTTTGGATCAAATTCCTCAACCTGATTCAAAAACATCTCGTAATTCTGATGGAACAAATGAATCTATTGCTATTTCGTTACCAAATTCTCCTATTGAATCACGTAAATTACCTGAACCCCTTAAAGCACCAGGGTTATCAATGTCACAAAAGACAGGTTTTCCACTACGTTCTCCTAGTTTACCATCATCCCCTAAGGCTTTCCTAAATAATGCGGATCCCCCCCAAATACCGTATACTAATATTGACGAACAGAATGACACCAATAAAAGTAATAGGAATTCTGTTAACAATCAATCAGTTCCTGTTAGATCACAGTCATTACCTACTAAAGAAACAAATGCTAAAGAAACAAATGATAAAGAAACAGATGATAAAGAGACAAATGATAAAGAAAACAATGATACATCATCAATAATTTCTAAAGATGATTCTGTGGATACCAATTCACAAAGAAATTCTCTAACTCATAATCATAATGATTCTATTAGTGGCAATACATTTTTGAATTCAAAAGATAAATCTTTACGAACAAGTAAATCTTTTAGTCATATTCCTCAAGGGCCAAGAGCGCGTGTTTCTGCAATGCCTCCACCTCGTGGAGGACAGTATCCAGACTTACAAAATCATATTTCAAACAATGCATTATTAACTCCCGGAAAACAAAACAATCGTCATAGTGTTTTTATGCAACCTAGTCAAAATCAAATGGGTGGTTCCAAAGAACAACACATAAAAAATAAAAGGTCACTACCTGATGCTAGTGTAGTGACTAACCCATTGTATTCTCAACAAATACAATCACAACAACTCCCACCACCGCAACAACCACCACAACAACCACCACAACAACCATCACAACAACTACCACAACAACCACAACAACAACCACAACAACAACAGCAACAACAACCACTTCGCCCAGAAACACCCCCCATAATATCTTCAGAAGCTATTTCTGGTATTGCAGTTAAGGTTATTGGCAGCAATAAAAAAATTAATGACAAAGGAAAGGAAGTTTTGGCTTTTACGATATCCGTTGGACAAGCTAGAGTAATTGATGGTAATATAATTGGAATGGAAAAAGAATTATGGAGAGTTGATAAATTGTATTCCGATTTTCTTTCTTTGGATGTAAAAGTATGTTTTGATTTCGATCATAATTAAATAATTTTTTTTTTCTTTAAAAAATATTTCTAATAAAGAAAATTATTTATTATTTTCTAGCTGAAACAACGTCAAAACAAAAGTACAATAAATAAAATGAAAAGGTTACCGGACAAGAATTTGTTCTATAACAATGCACCCAGCAAAGCGGATCAACGAAAGGTTCATTTAATTATTTAATTATTCCTATTCTCATATTATTTGAACCACATACAGAAATAAAATTTTCTTGCTTAACTTAGGTTTAGATTAATTTATATTAATTTATTTTTAATTTATATATTTATTAGATTGCTCTTGAACAATATCTCCAACATATAATATCACTTCCCATGAAAGATTCCAGAGATTTATGTGAATTTCTTAGCTCAAATGTTATGGAGCAGGATGAAAAAGATTATCAGGTTGGTGATGATCAACCATTTTCATCATTTTTTGTTAATAATAATAAAAGAAAGAAAAGAAATCTCTTCTCTAACATTCTGTTTATTTGAAAATTGTAGCAAACTGGTGTCAAAGAAGGTTACCTTACTAAGAAAGGAAAAAACTTTGGTGGATGGAAAACAAGATTCTTCGTGCTGGGATCTCCATTGTTGGAATATTATGAAACTGTTAGTGAATTATTTTTCATTTTCTTGAGGTTTTTATTTTTTTATTTTTATATTATATTATTTTATTAATTATTGAAAACTAAAAATTTTATAGAAAGATGGAAATCATCTTGGATCTATTCGTTTAACAAATGCACAAATTGGTCGACAACAGAATAATAATAGTAATGATTCAGATAGTGAAAATTCATATAGGCATGCATTTTTAATTTTGGAGCCGAGACCAGGATCGAAAAATACACGTCACGTATTGTGTGCAGAGAGTGATGCAGAAAGAGACGAGTGGGTAGAAGCATTATTACAATATGTTGGCGTAACTGAAGAAGATGCACAAGAAAAAATAAAACAAAAAAAGGATAAAAAGAAATTATTGCTTAAAGATTCAATTGCGAGGGCTAACTCACGTACACTCTCTCAAACTTCAAGAGATAGTAATCGTTTTGAAAAGAAAAAATTATCTAATGATTCAATAACAAGTACAAGCACCCTTAATTCCAATTATAATTATCACCATAATCAAACATCACCAGCGTCTTCATCCCCAAACTCCTCAAATATATATCCCCAAAGTGATCAACCAAAACCTCTGCTAGGCGTTGGTATTAATCAAAACACAAGTCGTGGTAGCACATTAATTACCAGAGAAGAGATAGATCGAGAACTTGGTATGATCGGCAACAACAACTCATATAGCCAAGGGCTTCGAGATGCACAATTACAGAGTCAATTGAGTATAAGTATAAGACATGATCGTGTACAAGAAGAAATTCAGCCACCTCCTGAAAAGAAAGATAAAAAAAATTCACGTAAAACTTTCTTTGGAAACATGTTTGGTAGCAGTAACAAAGATGAAAAGAAGAAATCTCAAGATATACAACATGATTATTCCAAAGTTGTTTTTGGTGTTCCTTTAGATCAAGCTATCGCCGTGTCACGTATAAAAGAAGGATATGAACTTCCTGCTGTGGTTTATCGATGTATACAATATTTAGATGCTCATAATGCTTTCGAAGAGGAAGGACTTTATCGTTTAAGTGGTGCAAATGCCACAATTAAATTCTTAAAACAAAGATTTAATACTGAAGGGGATGTTGACTTGTTAGCCGAAGGTGAAAATTATGATATTCACGCGGTGGCTGGTTTACTAAAACTTTATTTAAGAGAATTACCTACTAGTGTACTTACAAGAGAGTTACACATTGAGTTTGTAAATGTTATTGGTAGGTAATGAATTTACCTTTTATTTTTTTATATTATGGACCTTTAATTGACTTATTATTTCATTTGCTTTTTCTTAGACCTTCTTGATCGAAGAGATCGAATCAATGAACTTGGAAGACTTGTATCTACATTACCATTGTCTAACTATACATTATTACGAACATTGACTGGTCACTTAATTCGAGTTGTCGAAAAATCCGATATTAATAAAATGACCACGCGAAATATAGGGATCGTATTTTCACCTACATTAGGTATACCAGCTGGAGTTTTCAGTCTTTTCATGTCAGAATTTGATTATATTTTCTTTACGGATAGCGATGGTACTGCCGCACCGAGAACTATAGAAGTAACTCCTGAAACCGAAAATAATCAAAATAATCAAAATAGTCAAAATAATCAAAATAATAATAATCCAACAAATGATTATGCTTCTTCGATAAAAAAGATAGCATTACCTTTTGCTGAAAATTCTACAATAAATTCTACATTATTAAATTCTGTACCTGATGGAGATCCTAGTTCACCTACTTCTCTATTGCCGACAGCTGCCTTGCGTCACCGTGATATACGGAATGATCATAATGGTAGGAATAATCGAAATAGTGTACATTATATGGATGGCGCACCTGAAGTTGTTGTGGGATTGGAACGAAAACTCACAGGTGTGATATGATATTTATTATTAAAATTTTTTTCATTAATTTTATTAAAAAATTCAATTTAATTCATTCTTTTTTTTTCTTTCTGATGTGTAATTTGGTTTACAGTAGGGAAATCAACTCTGAAGTCAGATTCTTCCGATGAAGAAGAAGTCAACGATCTCGCTCTTCAAGCCGATGACGATGAGGATGATGATATAGAAAGTATATCATCTGTATCAGGTGATGATTTTGCAGCCACTTCATCCACAAATTCTGCTTCGATTTACTCAGTTCCAGTATCACCTAGAAATGCACCACTATCCTTACCAAGATCTAATTCTACTTCACCTAACCCTTATAGCGAATTATCGGAAGATAGATTAACAGGATTTGATTCAACAGACGCTCGTAAAATGCGTCGAATGACTGTTAGAAATTTCACTGAAAGTGATCCTATGTTCGAAGTTTATTCTGAGAATCAACGAATGATGGAAGCCTTAAATAATGGAACTCCAATGAATAATTTATAGATTCGCTTAATTCCTCAAGGAAAAGAAGATTTATATTTGACAATAGTTTTTTCTCTCACTCTAATTCCGAACTATTTTTTTTTCCTTGACAAGAATAATCCATCCTATCCATTCTTTTGGTCACTTCTTTTATAATTCATTTAATTTATTTTCTCGATAGATCATAAAAATTTATTTATTAGTAATTTAAGCAACAATTGATTAATCAAAATTCATATATGCACAACAGATTGATTTTTAAATTTTGGTTTATTGAATTTGTATTTTTAAATTAATTAATATTATTATATTATTCTTTTATTATTACATTATTTTATTTTATTATTTATTTTAATCTTTTAAAAAATTTAAAGTTTTATAAGACTTCTTAATTATGAATTATAATATTAGTATAATTTTAAATTTTGTTTATTTTGTATATATAAAATACTATACATTTTTTTAGGTTATTATAGGGAATTTTTTTTAATAACTTGTAACTTTATAATAATAAATATGCATTCACCCAAATTCACCAAAATTATCATTCAAACAATATCGACTACAAATTTTATTATTTTTCAATATAAATAAAAATACAAAAAAAATAATACCCGAGTCACACTAAGTCTGTCCCTCAACAACTATAGTAAAAGTTATGTAATCAGTACGACCACCGAGGGAACAAATTCCTGGGCCCTGAAGGATTTTCTTTTTTATGATAAAAAGAACTGACTAAAAAACGGATCTATTTATAACACACCAATATTTAAAAAAGGTTAACAAAAAAGGATCACATTTTTTACAAAGAGAATACGGTCAATATTTTTACACTTTATAAAGGAAATAAGGAAATGGTAAAAAAAAAAGGTCGATTACGCCGTATACTAAGAAAAACATGGGTCTATTGAGAGTTCGCTGACCATAATAAGAAAAAAAGATTCCTACAATTCATTTTTCACGTTAAAGAACTGATTAAAAAAAAAAATGAAACACGCGAATATTTAGTATCACGAGAAAAAGGTACTAAAAACACGTGTTAATACTTTATACAAATCCTTTTTTACTGATTCCCAGAAAACATGGGTCTATTTAGAGTACTACTTTTTAACACTCACTTCCAGTGATATTTCTTATTTAACAAGCTTTTATTGAATTGAAGAATAATTTTATTGGTCTGCATACGTACTTTAAACGTGATAACGTCTTTTAGCTTTTTGGAGTTACAAATATACAAAAGAATACAAGGTCATGAGTACTATAAACAATTAGTAATCAACCATATATATCTAGATTATTATTTTTTCACAATTAATAAAATAGAGAAAACATCAAGTTTTATAGAAAGTTCTACTTATTTTTATAAATGATTGCACCATTTATGCTTAAAATTATTTGAAAATGTATTTTTTTTTTTTTTTTTTTTAAAAAAAAAAAAAAAAAAAAGTAACATACGTATTTATGACGAAATGTTTAACGAAGTCAAATTCGTGTCTCACGAATTGAAAAGGTTAAGATTAAAATTATTTTAATAAAGCTATATACCTTATTTTGCTAATTTGCTCTAATAATAAACATTACTGTATTTTAAAAATTCGGAAGCAAACACATATGAAAAAATAAATATATAAAATAGATTAATAATTTATGCACATTAAGCATTGCCATTTACGTTCATTTATGTTCACCATCAATGTTTCTTTGTTATGTTACATTTGAATATGTAAATAATGTGTGATGTAAATTTATCATGTAATGTAAATTTGTATCGTAAATATGCATATATAATGTATGTATGAATAACATTATTATCTCCTCGGTCGTACCATACAAAACACGGTCCAGTACAACGAAAATATACATTCGTGTCATCAGGATAAAACATATGTAAATATTTATTAAGTCATGTTCATTGAGATAATTTTTTTTTTACAAACAAACAACCACAGGATCCTTTATTTTCAATCAATCAAAAAAAATATTTATAAAGTTGTATTTTTTGGCAACAAAAATAATAATAATAAACTAATTACAAATTATTGATCATCAAAAGAGATGAAAAACATGGAGATAAGACAGCGAGGAGGGTATGAGTAAAAAGTAAGAGCAAAGGGATAAAGGGGGAGAAAAACTAATGCAAAAGAAAAAAAAAATTATGTAAAAAATGTAAAGAAAATAATTTTTTGTTCATTTGAAAAAGAAAGGGAAAAATAATATGCAAGTTGTATAAAAAAAAAAAAAAAAAAAAAAAAAAAAAAGAAAAAAAGAAAAGAAAAAAGGGATAAAACATAAAAATGTGATAAAAACAATGGAGATTTTTGGAGATTTCAATTAATTATTGAAAGAAGTTTGATGATTTTGTTTTTCTTTCGTCACATTTTTGAATAATAAACAAAAAAAAAAAAATTTATACAAGAAGGGGGTTATAAAAAAAAGGTGTAATATTAGGATTATTATAAATGTATTGCCATTGAAGATATATATTTGTTGATATATTTGCTATACAGTCTATTTTTTTTTGAATTTTTTAATTGGATTGAGATTTAAATGATGAATTTATATAAAATGGGAAATGATAATGATTTTATAGGGAGAGGGAAATTAAATTTTCGACAAAAAAAAAAATAATAATAATTAAATTTATAATAGAGGAGGGAGAAAGAAATAGAGAAAAGGAAATAGAATAATTAATCCTCGTGATATTTTGTAATTGTTGAATATCGCTCCGAACATTATTACTGCAGACATTGAACATGATTATCTTGATGGTTTTGATTATTTGAATTTTGTTGATTTTCTGCTGCTTTCATCATTTTTCTCATTTCGCTTTGTAAATCACATCTTAATTGAAGAAGCTCGCTATATTCTTTGAAAGAGAGTCGGGCTGGTTCCATAGAAGTACGATCATATTCATCGTTACACCAAGTTTCATAAATAACATTGAACCGTGAAAATTGAACTGACTTGCGGTGTGAATTTTGGTTGTGATATTCTTCCTCGTGTTGTGAATATTCATCTTCACTACTATCATCAATACACACAGTGACACAGTTTTGATTAGGTGATGATGGAATATAAGTTGAAGCCATTTTTTTTTTTTTTAAAAAAAAAAAAAACAGTAGAGAGTAATAGTTGATAAAGAGTAACTGAAAAGAGTAATAGTAACAGTAAAGAGTATCAAGTAAAGAGTAATATAGTAATAGAGAGTAACAGTAAAGAGTAAACAAGTAGACCGATATAATAACAGTAGACTAAACAGAGTATATATCCAAATAACTGTATTTATTACTTCTGCCAGAAATTGACTTATTGACTTGAACTTAATTTTTTTTTTCTTTATCACAAAAGAATAGATCGATTTATATTATTTATACTAATCGCAATATTATTAAAATGTTAGCAAAAGAAATTTCTCTTTGAAATTTTTCAACTCAAAATTTATTAATTACTACAATTATTTAATGATGGTTATGTGACGATCTATATATTGATTATTATTAATTAATATTAATCAAAATAATTTCAATTATAAATTTTTTCAGAGAATTTTTTTTTTTTTTTTTTTTCGGACAAAATCTTCTTTTTATATTAATTTTGTAACAAAAAAAAAAAAAAAAAAGTGGGCAGATTTTAATATAATAAGGTTGAAAAAAGAAATGACTAGGTTTTTTCAGTTTATTATCAGATGATTAAGATTATTACTAAAAATAATTTTTTTTTTAAAAAAAAACAACGCCTAAAGAGAGACGAGAGGAATGGAAGCAGAGAGGGAAAACTTTCAAATTTATATATCTTTGAAAATCCAAAAAATCGTAAACTTTACCGGTTTTGAGTTCTTTTGTAAAACTTTGGATGGTACAAAATATAACAAAGAAGTACAAAATATAATACAAAATATACAAACTGTTATATCAATGATAAAAAATATATAAACTACGAAATAAACTATTATTACATATCACATATTTTACATATTACATTTTTTACATATTAATAAATATTAACCATTTGACTATTGTAATTGTCAAAAATAAATAAATAAAGTACAAAAGTACGCCAAAAAACATCGGAGTTATAGAGTTATATGCAATACTCCTACATAAAATATTCATATAAGATTCCTAATAAACATAAAATAAATTACGGAGTTATATTTGTTAAATCACCATAATCGCCAGTTAATTGCATTTTCTAATGATAAAATATCACTTTATGTATTTAATAATAACCAATGGCATCCCTAATAATATTCCTAATAATATTCCTAATAATATTCCTAATAATATTCCTAATAATATTCCTAATGCAAAGGTGAAAGATTTTAAAAACCAAAAAGAAAGTTTTAATTTTCAGTCGTTGTGTAAATCGTACACAAAAAAAAAATTTTAATCTAATTATTAGTTACAAAATTAATTAAAATTAATTAGAAAATTAGAATAATTCGTACAAATTCATTTATTTTTAGACAACTGATTTATTTATAGATAACAGATATGGATATTACAGAGATTATAGGTTCCCTTATTTAACACATACTACATTACATTATACATAAATCACAAGATCCGTCCAAGTCTATAATTAGAAAATTGTAAAAATTTTTATTATGTTAATTATATGTGTTGGTATTTTATTATTATAAATATGATTATTAATATATTAACTATTATGTATTATGTATTATTCTCTTATTTTCGTTAACGGAAATAGAAATAATCGGGTGAACCCGTTTATATTTTACTTTTTACAATAAACTAAACCATGTTCTCTCATCTCCCCCGCTTCATATGATTGACTATTTATTATTATTAAAACTTATTTATTATGATTAACTAATAAAATTAACTTAATCAAGTTCGTATTTTATTATATTATTTTATTGTGCGTAAAAAACTTTGGACAATTTTAATTTATTTATGAATTTTGATTATTATTAGAATGAATTTTCTCTCACACATCCAATTCTTCTCACAGGCATATGTCTAAATGTCTAAAATTCTCATTTATTTTAACTCATGACTCCTATCATGCTTTTCACAGAATATCAATTAACTTTAATAGACAATTTCATCATGTTTTAAAAAATAATAATGATGCATGTGTTTCCCTTTTGTTTGCCATTTAACAATTGTAATTTTTTGTTTATTTTTATTTTTGTAACATTTCTTTCTTTTTCTTTCTTTTTATCTTTTTCCTTTTTTCATTATGTTTTTTTATCATCTCATCAAATTCTTATCTCTATTATTTTTATTTATCTATATTTATCTTTATTTATCTTTATTTATCTCTTTATCTTTATTAAAGTATTGGTCTAAATTTAAAATTTTCATTTTTTTAGTTTTATTTTCATTTTTTTAGTTTTATTTTCATTTTTTTTAGTTTTATTTTCATTTTTTTAGTTTTATTTTCATTTTTTTAGTTTTATTTTCATTTTTTTAGTTTTATTTTCATTTTTTTTTTAACTTGATATTATCTTTATCTAATTAATGTCTATATATATAAACATTAGATAGTTTAAATGTTAGAAACTAAATCCTTGATAAATAAATAAAAATATAATAAGATTATCATTTTATTATTATATGATATGTTTATTTTTCCAAGTTAAATTATTACAAAATTGTACATGTTTGTTAAAATTAGACACCAGATTTTATTCAAGTTTTGTTTAAAATAGGTAAGAATATTTATATACATACATACATATGAAAATATGCAATAGACTCATTAATTCATAATTCATGTGAATAATATAAATTCAATTTGGATTATTTAATAAAAAATCAAGAAACATCAGGAAAAATTTAGTTTTTTTATTAATAATAAAAATGTTTATAAATCTATTCATTTGAATCAGGAATTGAAAATAATTATAATTTCCAAAATTTACAGATATTTTTTTTTTTTTTTATTTTTTTATTTTTTTATTTTTTATTTTTTATTTTTTATTTTTTATTTTTTTATTTTTAGAATGTCAGTAAATAATCAACCATTCTTTAGTTTTATAGATAACGAGTTCTTGAGGATATCCGATTTTTGAAGATTTGTACCAAAAAATACTTTTTGTTTTGAATTTTTTCATTTTTTTTTGTTTCATTGAGGTCTTGTCCCTAAAAAATGAAGGTAACCGATTTATAATAAAATCTGCAATGGGTTTTTTATGGATTGCCTTTATTAACTACATTATTACTGAGATATAATAGGTAATTTTAAATAATGGTAAAGAAAGAAAATTTAAGATTACACAACTTTTCTTAAAACAATCACGTCACACAATGGGAAAAAGAAACTTGATGGATTCTTATGGAGTTTTAGTTTTACGAAAATTTAAATTTTTTTTTTATGATTATGAAAGACTACTGTATTTGAATATCGACCTCAAATGTGATAGAAGTAAATGCTGATATATTCATGATTTTTTATACAATTTCATATATTTATATTTTTAATTTTTAAAGAAACATATATAAATACATGTACATAGATATTTTAATGCTTAACGCGTCTTGATGTATCTTGTCATATCTTGATACATCTTGATACATCTTGGTACATCTTGATACATCTTGGTACATCTTGATACATCTTGTCATATCTTGTATATCTTGTTATATCTTGTTATATCTGCAAATGTGAAATGTGAAGTTATCCAAAGTAAAAATTTCCAGTTACTTTCATAAAAAATACAATTTGAATAAAATTCTATACTACGTTAAAAAAAATAAATAAAATAAATATACAATAAATAAAATAAATAAATAAATATTTATTTATTTTATTTATTTATTTATTGAAAAAAAAAAAAAAAAAAAATCAAAAAAGATTCATTATTATTATATAATTATGTTTCAATACTAAATGTCTTCAATCCTGTAATTCCAACTCCTTTTATTAATCCTACAATATAAACTCCAATTCTACGATATACTCCAACTTTATATATCTTAACATTTTCTTTACCTCCAAATATTGCTTCAACAATTTTTTGTAATTCTTTATATCCCTCTTTTTGTCCATAAGGATCTTCTGCAATTGCTCCTGTAAATTTTTCAAAAAATTCTTGAAATGTCAATACGCGTGGTTCCTCTTCTTTTACTGTTCCTTTTTCATCTTCTGTCATAATGTTAGCATTACTTTGTTGTACTAGATTGGAAAATTCTGTACTTGTTTCTGGTAAACAATTGATCTCGTCATTTGGAATAAATACAAATTCATATGGTTCTTCTCCTTCAGAAATATAACGAAGTTGAGAACTCGCTTCGAGCAAATCAGAACGAATACGTTGAACATCAGGTGGATAAGTTGTTGGGTCTTCTTCTTCTTTAGTCTTGATTAAATCTAATTCTTGGGCTTCTAATTGTTGAGCTTGTTGAGAAATTCGCTCAAGAAAAGCGAGGTACTCAATATCTTGAGAATTTTGTAAATCCGGTTCGTTCATCTCTCTATTATAACTCATTACGAAAATATAAAAAAAAAAAAAATTATATCGAGAACAAAATGTTTGTATTAATTGATACAAAAAGAGGAGGAGAGGAATGAGAATAATGAATTAAAAATGAATGTAAAATATGAATAAATCAGGAAGTACAGATTATCTTCAAAAAAGGTAATGATAATGGATTAATTAAAAAAGAATTTATATAACGTCACGTCAGTGTACAATTATCATCTACAAAATGTCACAGTTCTTTTCTAATACTGCGGTTCGAACTATTCTCGTAACTGCTTCTTGGATTCCTGTGGCAATTTTTTGTTTAGATCATGGATTTACTATAGGTTCCATTCATGGTCGTTCAATGCAGGTAATTTTAAAGGAACGTTTTTATCAATACTAGAATGTCTTTTTCGAGAGAGAGAGAGAGAGAGAGAGAGATTATTTGTGTATGTGCTCGAATTGCAACTTCAAAAATGCAATAAACGTATTAATAATAAGTTTGAACTAAAACTTTAAAGCCAACATTTAATCCAGACTCAAACAAACTCTGTCATGATATTGTTTTATTAAATCGTGCCGCTGCCATTACACACAAGTATAAAAGAGGCGATGTGGTCACTTTATAGTAAATATTTATTTATTTATTTATTTATCTATTTTATTTTCTTTATTTTCTTTATTTTTTATTATTTTTACGATGTAGACTTGAAATTTGATTTGGGTGGATTTAATTATTATTATTCCAGTTTACCAGATGATCCAGATAAAATTATCGCAAAACGTATAATCGCATTAGAAGGTGATACGATTTTCACCCTACCTCCGTATTCTGAAAAATGTTTACGAATACCCAAAGGATATTGTTGGGTTGAAGGTGATGATACATTCCATAGTAAAGATAGTAATACTTTTGGTCCGGTAAGAAAAATTATTATCATTTTATCTATTTGAATTTATGGAAATTTATGGAAATTTATGAAATTTATAAAAATTATTATGGTTCACATATTTCTTTTTAAAGGTACCGCTGGGTTTAATAAGATCCAAAGTTACATTTATATTATGGCCATTTTCACGATTTGGTAAAGTTCCTCATATTGAAAAACCTGAACGAGTTTCCGTATTTTTGGGAGATGTTAATTTATTGAACATTTTTGATGTGGATTAAAAAAATAATCAATTTAAATATTTACATTTAGAATTAAAATAAATAAATAATAGAGAAGAGAGAAGAGATTTTTAATAATAATTTTTGTAAATTTTTTTGATAATAGAAAATTTATTTAACTTTTTTTTTTTTATTATTTATTTTGTTCTAATTTAATTTTCTTTGCTTTATATTTTTGATTTCTAATTTCTACTGGTTCATTTGTTTGTCTTTTTTCAATTTTGATATAATTTCGTGTTTTTACTTCTTTTCCACTACCAGTAATAATATATTTTTTTGTGTCAATATTTGAAAAAACAAATTCATCTAAAGTCACATTAAGATCTTTTGTCAGTTCATTTTTTTCATTCATTTCTTGCATTTCATTCATTTCTTGATCATTAGGTTTAAGTTGTTTTAAAGATATATTCCCAAAATCATTTAAAAAGGTTGAAAATATTAATGATTTAGTCATATGAATATTCCATTGTTCATAAATATGTTTATATATTCTAATAGGCATATTAAACATTTTATCTTTATCTCGACCATATTGCCATTTAATTATATTATCGTATTTACAATCATATAATATTAATGGTAATTCATTAGCCATTTCATAATTAGGTTTTGCTGGTGTTTTCGTGATATCTAAAAGATTATCTATAATTGAAGGTGTTTCCAATTTTTGACCAACTAAAAATAAAATTGCCATCATACATCGAACTTGATGCCATAAAAAAGCATTTGCAATTAAATTAAATTCGTAAAATTCTTTGGTTCCCGGAAATTGAGAGGAGAATGATTGTTGTACTTTTTCAATTTTTACTTGAAGTATATTACGATTGAAATTATTAATTTGTTTGGAAGGATCAAGTTTACAAAAATTACGAAAATCATGAATTCCAAGAAATCTATTTGCCGCATCTCGCATTAAATCTATGTCTAAATTACCCTTTACGAAAAAATATTTATAATGTCTATAACGACAATTAAATCTTGCACTAAAATCAGGATTTACAGGTGTCCAAGCAATTATTCTTATATCATCTGGCAGTAAATTATTAAGTGATTCTACAAAAGGAATTTCTTCGATTTTAGTCTTAACATCATTAATTTCGATATTTGTCTCAACATTAGTCTCAACATTTTGTGAAGGCAAAACTTCTGATGAATCATGTGGAAGATTTGATCTAACATTAAATGCTACTACTTGTCCTAATGAACTCACACCTTTATCAGTTCTACCACATTTTGTAAAATTACATTCTGCCGGATCTGATATCATTTTAGCTTGCTTGAGTGCAGAAAATAATTGTCCTTCTATAGTTGGACGAATTTTTTCATTTGGAGCATTTGTTTCAAATCCATGATAATTCCATCCAAAATATGCTACTTTTAATGCAATTCGTCTTTTAGAATATTTAGACATATCAAAAGGTCGAGGACTTTTTTTCTTTTTCTTTGGTATCGAATTTTGTATTTTAGAAACATTCACTTCTGTTCTAATTATCGATTCATTATCTTCATTAACAATTTGGTCATTTACATTATCAATTTGTTCATTATTAATTTGTTCATTATCAGTTTGTTGGTTTTCATAACTTAAAAGTTTAACAATTAATTCTTCCTTACTCCAATTAGCATACTTTTCGATTCCAGATAATTGTGTCGATTGTGTCATGATAAATCTTGACCAAAATAAAAATTTGCAAGTAGAATGAATTGACTTTACAGAATTTCTTTTGAAATAAACACTCATTTATTTTTGTCCTTGTGATATTATTATGCATATCTGTTGACATAATATCACCTGACTTTATAATCTTATAAAAGCTATGTATGAACACAAAATTAATGCATACATTTTTTTTTTTCTTTCATTTTATAATTAGTTTGTAATATATTTTTTAAATGTATTTAAATGTATATAAAAAAAATTATAATAAATAAACAAAAATTTTTTTAATAGTCAAAAAACTTTTATATAAATAATTAATTGTACAATTGTTATTCTTACTTAAACTTCTTAGTTCAATTAATTAAATTTAATTAAATTTAATTAAATTTTTAATTAATTAACTTTTGCTTTCATCTTCTCTTTCTCGTTAATACGTTTTAAATTTTTTGCTGCATCATCTTTCTTTTTCCTATAAGTTTTATACATCAAATCAGTTCCCATAATATGATCCCACCATCTAAATGATGTTGAAAAACAATTTACAAAAGCCATATGATGATAATCGTGATGTTCAGCGCCCGCCCAGAAAGGAAGCAAATGACGAAGAGACCAAGGAAAATCTTTGGAAAAAAAATTATCAATAATTAATATCCAATAATTAATATCCAAAAATAGAGACACGATAATAATATTTACCATAACCAGAATGGGCATCAATAGTTTGGAATAAACGTAGACTGATCCATATAAAAACAGTAATTAAATGAAGGTCGTTGGTTAAAGCTACCCATAGAAGAGGACCTCCAATAGTTCCTGTACCTAAAATAAGTACTTCAATTGGATGTGCATATTCTGCGGTCTATATATAAAAAAAAAAATTAATTCTTTTTCATTCATTAAAATATATATATATAAAAGACATATAAATAGAAAAACATAAAAACATACTAAACCAAAAGGTGCCGAATATTCATGATGTTGCTTATGAATATATTTATAAAAAGGACCATAATGTAAAAGACGATGGAACCAATAATGAAAAGTATCTTCAAAGACGAAAAATGCTGCTACTTGGTAAGCAATTTTATGCCAATGTGGGAAAGGTACGGTAGTTATCTCCATTCCAAAAAGTGTGGCCACGGGATGGAAGGAGAAAATAAGAGGAAGTTCCATAAAAAAATGTGCTAATAAAACAGATTTCATACATTTCCATTGTTTTTTTACTGTGTTAACTTCTTTCTACAAAGATAATGAACGCGTTTGAAAAAATTTTAATTTATTAAATTTATTAATATGAAATTAAGAAGATAGAAAATAAAATTAAATTCTTACAGGTTGAAGTTTATATTTTTGAAAGCTGGGTATAAAGTCAGCAATCCAAAATGGCAAACAGCGACCAAAGTATACAATTTCATGCATAAGGAAAGAAATTATAGCTGTAGCGATTAATTCATTATTAAATGACTTAAACCATTCATCCCATGCTTTCTCAACAAAATTTAAGTCATTTATCGATAAAGTATTGTTGGAATTAAAAGTAAACGACCTACGTATACAAATACAAATATTTAAATAGAATGAAGTTTTATATTATTATTAAAAATTATCTATTTTTTGTTTACCCAAATTTCATATTTATTTAATATTTATTTCGTTCGAAAATAATTACATAAATAATTATAATAACAATAATAATAATAAATAATTACATTTGAAATTAAAGAAAAGTCAAAAAACAACCAGAAATTTTAGGGAATTTGAGAGAATGGAAGGGGGTGAAAACGTTTGTAACATAAATAATAGACAAAAATTGCGCAACCAATCTCGACTAACCTAAAAAATTTTTGATGAAAAAATACAAGTCATTTTCCTAAAATGGAAAACTTAAAATTTATCAATCTAATTTTCTCAAAAGGAGTTGATTTATTGTATTCCATGAAGTAACTTATTGAAGCATCTGATCGAACAATTAAATAATTCACTTTTAAAAGACATTTCATTAACTTTATATGGATGCAAATAAAATTATATTTTTACTGTATAAACACAAGATCACCAAAATGAATCTAATTATTTCAAGAGTTTGGGTTTTTTCTTATCATTTTGCGTAACACCAGAAATACTTCAGGGCATAATTTGGCGGGATAATTCACGTGATGAGTAACGAATATGTTTTCAACATGTAAAAATTGATTATTCGAAGAGTGTGATACAAGGTGATAAATACCTTATCCTGATAAACCCAAATCCTGGCATAGGGCGAAAATTTCTATTATAATAATATGATTGACTGATTATCAATTTAGCCCTTTATAATTTTTTTCTTGTATACTTTGTTCAAAAATACAAATACAAAAAACATAAATGTGTTTCATGCTGTCATATACCTTGTCATTTTGTAAAGATGTAATAATAATTTGTTTAAATAAAGAGACTCTAGTATACATGTTATCAAAATTTAAGAATTATAACCATTATAGAATTCAGTTATGATTTATTGATATATTGTAATTAATATAATACATTAATAACTAATGATATTTTACAGGTTGAAAAAAAATATCAAGTATCTGATAACCATGTTGGTTTTGCTGAATTTTGGATACCTTTCGGATACCTGATAAGTAGATAATATAAAATTTTAAATTAACTATTAGCTACATATAAACATTTTTAACTTTATAATTATATCATTAGTATGTCATTAAGTAAACTTGTAGACAATAAAAATATATATTGACTGTAAAAATATTAGTACTATATAATTAAAATTAAGAGAATTATTAATGTTTTAATTCATATAGCCATTCAAAATTTGATTACTTATAATCCTTTTGATTTTAAAGAATTAGATCTAATATTTCTACAGTCGATGTACATTTTTATTGTCTATGAGTTTACTTAATAACATTTTTACGATTTGATTATATAATCAAAAACTTTTATATGTAGCTATGATCGTAGTTATTTTTAATTTTATAAAAATATAAAATTATCAGGTATTCCAATATAATTTATCAAAATATGAAATCAGAAATAATTTGCAATCGTAGCTACATATAAAAGTTTTTAATTATATAATCTAATTGTAAAAAAAAAAAAGACTCTCTTCTGCATCTGACAAAATCAAAAAATAAAAAATTCAAAAATTCAAAAATCTTATGGATGCAGGAGACGAAAAAATTTTTTTAGGAGTTCAACCTCCTGAAGAAAACACTTCGACATCAAAAGCTTTAGCTAAAGCTCCTCATAGGCCGAGCTGAGCCCAAAAGTCTTAGGCTCGGCTCAAGCCTGAGTTTATAAGTTAGGCTCGAGTCGAGCTGAGCCTTACTTATA